GTTGTGGAAATCGATTGGGGGTTATCGACACAAATGGGGCAAGTCCAGTTTGCTTTAAAAGTGATCCAATTCTTCGGAGGAACCTTTATCTGAAGACAGGTTCGGTGTGAAACTTTACAACAACTTTGACACGTAATTTTGTTCTGTCGAGGCTTGAATGACTCATGACAAGTTGAGCAGTTAAGTCGCATCTCGATAAACAAAACAGAACAATTATTAATAATAATCATATAATTAAATAAAATAATATAATAGGTAATAATGTGTAAGACAAGTTTCGATCAAATATATCTCGGCGACGTAATTCCTTGAAGTTGGAGGAGGTCGCAAGAAAAATTTTTAACTCGGTATCAGCTCACGTTGCTGGGTGGGAGTGGCTCTGTCTATATGTGTATATATGTGGCCAGGTGAGGAGGAATAGAACCTCACCAGTTCCAGGCAAATAATCACAGACTGCCCACACCCAGAGGTTCCTTTTCCAAATTAGGTCCTGGCGACTTAGAGGGGGTTGGGCGGTGTGCGTACCAGGCCAGGCATTGGCGTGCCATTACGGCAATTAGGGAACGATGGAGGGGAGGAGAATGCAGCAGTTGGTAATCAAATTCGCAGTGAAAGAAAAAGTACTATTTTTCACAATTTGTCAACATTGACAAGCTTCCAATTAATCAAATTTTATTAGTGGGGAGTTTTTAGTCACTTTTATATCTTTTTGTCAGTGGGTGTGGCCACTTTTGAACAATTTTAAATATTATTCTTTATTTTTATTTTTTGGGAGCGAGAGAAGGTGCGTGTCTCTCAGTTGAGCTCCCCGATATACTTCAAGCTTGTGGAGTTCATGGGTTACATAATTGAGCATTTTCAATATATGTAAATGGATTTAGACTCACGTGAGCCTCCCCCAGACCTCGTAGTGCAGGTGGAATGGGAATTTTTGGATGTGAAGAGGTTCGAGGGGAGGTATCTCCCACTTGCTCAGCCCCTCCCTCATCCTCCCACGCAATTCCTCAGCACCGGAAACCACTAGTTTTTTCACTTCCTCAACAGCTAGGGTGCGATGCAAAAGTAAAGAAACATTTGAAAAATGCCTGTAAAATCCGGAAAACTTAATTAATTCCAATCGAATTTTTAGGGGTTAAGAACAAGGTCCTTATCGTTCAATTTTTTGCTTCATATGGTCCATAGACCCCCATCCTTCCTATCTGGCGAATTATTTGCCTCGCGGTCCCCAGAGATGCTTTGCCACTCTTTCTCGCTACCACTTTTGAGGTGTGTGTCCAAATGTGATGGAATCTTACCAAGTTTTTGGGTGGTTTTGTTCGACGACTATATTGTCTCTTGCATAATGCCCAAAATCGTTCAATTGGTCTTGCCTGAGGGACGTAGGGAGCATATTCCTTTTTTGCAACAAAATCGATTTTTTTCGACCGCAGGTAGTCCAGAACAACTTTTGAAGAATGACATGTTTCTGTGTCCGGTCAGAAAAGTACATTACGATTCTTGATAAAGGGGATCAAGATCTTCTTTACACAATCGTTCAGATATCTCTCCGAGGTCATGGTGGCTGTGGTCACGAACGGCTTTGAGACGTCCCCCAATGAGTCCAATGCTTGCCCAATTATGTGCTTTGTGGGGAATTTTGACTTCGGCGTGTATTTAAAGGAATCATTAAACGTTTTCTTATTAGTACATGAGTAGTACTTCCTCCCAGGGAGTTCATCTGGATCAATCGAGCACTTGGTCTTATCATTCATGACCAGAATCACGGGCATGTTTTGCTCGACTCGTTTTTCAGCAATCTGCCGACATTTGGGCTTTGCTCTTTTTTGCTGACCTTGGTTGTACTTTGGTGCAGGTGTCGCCCTATAGGATTTGACCCCCAACTTCGTAGGTTTAATGTCATGTAAACTTAATTTTGCTATTTTCAATTTGTAGCCCAAATTACCATCTGATATCCCAAGGTTATTTTGACATTCCTGCTGAAGTCTACGTATCACTTTGGGGGTCGCTACACGAGCAAGACGATTTTTTTATTTTCTGAATTCAGCATTCCTCCTCCCCTCATACATATCTAAAACTGTGCAAATTGCTCCATTACGAATTTTTTCTCTTTCCAAGTGGCTATTAACCATTATCCGGACGCGCTCGCACACGTTTTCGTAGTAATGGCAAATTCTTTTTGCGAGGTGTTCTGAATTTTTTGTTTTCATTTTTGAGCTATTTGAGATATGGACTTCTGGTTTTCAGATTCGGGTAGTTAATCGCATGGACTACAAAACTATCGCGTTCCAACTCACAATGCGACGGTGTGAAGTGTAACCCTCCGATTTGGTTGAAATTTCGAAATTATGTTGCATGTCAATACAACCAACGTTTCTTCAGGCAGTTTGTGCGATAGTCAGAGTTTGACAAGATATTTGAGGTCAAAGTTGAAAAATGCGCAATTTTTAGCACGGGAAGAGAATGGAAGTTGAGTTTGCTTCCTCCGCCTGGCAAAAACTACCTGTTTTTCAACTTTGACCTCAAATATTTTGACTAATTCTGACTATCGCAAAAACTGCCTGAAGAAACGTTGGTTGTACTGACATGGACCACATAATTTCGAAATTTCAACCAAATCGGAGGGTTACACTTCACACCATCGCATTGTCAGTGACAATTTTTCTTTCATACAAATAAATATACCTTTTCAAATGTTTCTTTACTTTTGGACCGAACCCTATGCACATTTGGGCCTCGATCTGCGAATTCAGCTCAACCATCGGACTCATGGCGATATTATTCGCCATCGCTTGCCAATCTGACGCCATTTCGGGTGAATCTGGTATTTCGGAAATACATTTTCATACGTTAAAATTTTCTATTGAAAAATTATTGATGTAGCCAACATTTTTACAAGTATGAAATTATTTAAAAAATCCTAAGTTTTGTCATGTTTTGCAAAACTTTCAGAATTTTTGTTTGAAAACTATGTCACGCCACGCCTGTTAGAAAATAGATATACATATATTCAAAGGGCATTACTTACGCAGGTGTTTCATAAATTTTTGCTAAATTTGTAAGTGCAAAATAATTATCACAGCGGAAATATTTCCGGCAAATATTTGTTGTTAAAAATTAACTGTGCTCAAAATTTCCAATTTTGTAAGTCAAAAATGTAGAAAAACATTCTATTCTTAAAAACTTTGGTTTATTTTCGACTTATTTTCTACGAACTTTCTCAATACCTTAAAATTTCTTATTTTGTACGCCTACCAAAAAAATCTGCCTTCAAAACGCTCCATAAGTTCGGCAAGAGTAGGAAACTTCGTACGTCGGTACCTTTTTTCATTATGTAAATTACTTCCTTATTCTCAGTACAACTTTATGGTAGAACTAAACGATTGATTGGGAACGATTGGGAATTACTTTCGCGCAGAGTTGAGAAATGGGACTGAAAACAAATATCGTGCAAATCTTGGAAAAATATCAAGCTCAAAAGCAATGTCGTGGAACAATGGGACATGAATTTATTTTTATAGTGACATTACTTAATCTAATTTTAATACTTTTGTACGACGGATGTACGCTTCATTAAGTTCACGCGCAAATATTATGATGTGCTCCATTGATTGATTGATTGATTGATTGATTGAAGTTTTTATTAATGGTGTCGAACGAGCGTCAGCACACGTACTGATTTTCAGCCCTGGACACCAAGCGACAGTAATAGAATATAGTTTTACAACATAACTACTCTAAACTTAACTAAATCTATCAAATTAACAGAATATCCGAATGTATAAATAAGTACAGTTAACCTTTGTCTCGCATTCGAATAATATACTCTTTCAATGACTCGCAAAACGCTGAGTAAGTCATTTCATCGAATACCCAGTTTTTAGTTTTCAGTTTTTAGTTTTTCCATGCTCCATCAGAATAAATTTACTCACTTGTTTTTAGTTTTTCCATGCTCCATCAGAATAAATTTACTCACTTGTATTTACAAATACATACGTTTGTAACCCAATAAAAAATGTGCAATAAGTTCGAAATAAAAATTATTATAAACTTCATATTTAAAAACCTCCACGATCTAGATGTATAAGCGAATTTTATTTTAAAATATTCAGTAAATGGTTAAAAATACTTAAAAATCAAAAATGTCTTTACGATCTTGGGCAGTTAAATTAAATTTAAAGCACGAAAGTATTTATTAGCGTCGTGTATGCTATACAATTTATGTTAATCTTGTATTTCTTGAAATATCAGAATTTCAAGAATTGGTTTCGGTTCTAAAGCTTAAAAACTAATGTGTCAAATTTGTATCGTCCAATTAAGGAGAAAGTTTTTAAATGTCAAAATCACCATTAAACCCATGTGAAAATTTGCCTTTACATTACATTCAAACTCAATTTCTCCTTATCGATATATATTTTTTTAATACTTAATAGTCTTTGATGAGAATGCAGACGTTTTCCAGGAAAAATACTGCAGATGGGCAAAGAATTCGAAAAAAAATCCTTCCAATTTCATTTTGACAAATTCTCGATTTTATTTATTTGATTAGTAGGAAAGATTGAATTTATACAAAATATTAACACACATGGTTTTCATACAAAACCATAAGTTCAATTCATCCATTACAACCTCGTAACTCCCAAACCTTTAGACTAAACTGTTCGCTGAGTCTGAAATTATTTCCATGCAGCTCCAAACCTCTGCATAATTATTCGCAAATTCATATGTAATTCGGAGTGCATGTACCTCTCCATCTCCATACCTCCACCTGCTAATTCCGTACATATGTGCATGCATAACTGACTAAACCATCTTCCTACACACGTATCAGTGGCATTCTTCCATATTTCCACGCTAAATACATTCACCCCTTCAGTTTTACCTGGCTGGTTGGGATTTCACACACATCATCTTTTTCACCTCTGCAGCTTTTCTTTGTTTTTCTTACCGTGCAAAATTCCGTCTGGACTGGCATCATCATCATATCTTGGCAATGTCATCACGCTGATGCTGATTTTGCCAAGCTAAACATTTACAACGAGATTTCTTTACCAGATCCCTTTCCACATCAAGGCATAAACCAAACCGTTGTCGTTCTCCTAGGAAAAAAGAACAAGTGTGAGCATGCACCATGCTAAACTAAAAGGCACAGCAAACTGACAATAAGAGAATCACAACACAAAAGCCAACCAGCATAGATATTGGATATGCAAGTAGGAAGGGATCACAGATGAGAGAGAGAGGCCAGGATTTGCACACTAGATTACAAATCAAGCCTATAAATGTGCAACTAGTCCTTTCTTCCAATTTCCAAAATTTTAGCAACAAAAGACTTGAAAGTTCTTCAAAATTTGGATAAGAATCTAATTCCTTCCTTGCACTTAATTTGGATGAACTTGAGATTAATATATTTCTGAATTTTTTTAATAAACGGTGCTGAACTTGTGCTACAATTATTTTACTTCACTAAAATATGAAGTCTGTAAATCCTATGTGCAATAATTTAAATTTGTGATCGTATGTACCGTGTTTTGCTACATTAAATACTTGATATTAAATCGATGTGTTATTAAGTAAGTTATAATTGGTCATAAGAAGTTGCAACTAAATAAAAAAGGCGAGAAATTAAGTAATCGAGTATAAATAAATAAACACTCGTAAATCTCCTGGCATTTAAAAGGAGTCATATCTAATACAACTATAAACAAGTGAAGGAAATCATTTCGTGATAACGGTGGCATTTAAATGATTAACTATTTATGAACTTTATGCCATTTTGAGTGGAACAATTCTCCATACATTCGTACCACCAGGATGAGATGAATGAAATTCATTCAATGAATTACTAATTTGGTAAGTGAGAAATTTATAAATTATAAATTATAAATCTATAGATGAGTTTTTTTCCAAAGTGAAATTGAAATACTTTATGAAATACGTTTTCGGAATAAAAGAAAGTTGTACATTTCCATTTTTTCATTTTATTTTTGAGGAACATTAATTTGTTGTGGTCCATTTACATACATTCGTAAATATTAAATATGATGTTAAAAGTGATTAGTAATTGTGAAACGTGTGCAAATTATTTGAGTCAAGTTCACCTTTTACTTTTGGTATTAATGAATATTTATTTACTTTCATACGGTGTGAAATGGTTTAACCTAAATATTTACGTTATAATGAAATGCAAACAAATTAATAGTCGCTTTATTAATTTGCAAGTAGTTGAGAAGGCGTTGAATTATATTTTATGTACAGTTTTACTCGTAAGTTTTCCATAAATTTATTCGCAAATTTCAATTTTTCATGATGTAGGTTTACATTACTTTTTTAAAAATTTTTGCAAGAAAAAGCATCATAATTTTCATACCCCCCAAAACATAGGAATTTTGAAAAACTCGTTTAAAAAGACTTATTTAAAAAGTCCTAAATTAAAAGTACCTTTTAATACAAAAAGTTATTTAAAGTTGGCCAATTCTCGTCTACGGATTTGTCTCATGGGATTGATTAGTAAGCGATTACGGCTGTTTTTTATGTTTTCGAAGGTCCCTTCACTACCTTCTCTTCTGCTAAAGTCTGGCTTGCAGTACTTTCAGCTCAGCTGTACATTGTGGCGTCGCTACCATTTTAGTCGCTTTGATTACTGTTGACACGTCACCAAAGTACAATGTGTCTCTACATAAGTAAAACGAATGCCTAGGCAAAAGGGGCGAGAAAGGCCGTAATCGAATCAAACCACCTTTTAGGTGTGGTTGTTAACTCTTAACACGCCATGTGTGTAAAAGGTGCGATGATGGGAGGCCGCACAATCCACCATGACGGTAATTAGATTCTCCTTTATTATTAGCCCACAATTTCCACTCTGAAGACGGGAGAATGCGAAAATCTAATTTTACTCGACAAACTTTACTTACTCTCAAATCTATCAATTTATAATCGAATCTCACCTCGCATCCATACGTAACAGATTGAAATCCAGTAAAGTAAAAAGTTCGAGTAACCAAATTGCAAAAACTTACAGGAATGTTTTGCAGTTGAAAAGTTACCAAAAATTATGTTAGACGTATTTTTCGTAAGGAAGGACATCCATATTTAAAATATGTATGGTTATGTTAAAAATATATTTTTAGCTACCAGACTAAAATGTAGTCCTCGTTTTTGCTACAATTATTATTTACTATGTCGATTGTCTTTCTCAATTGGCGAATTAAAATAATGTTCCTTATTCCTTATCGAATTTAAATAAGTAGCTGGAAAGAAATCGGACACTCACACATTTAGAAAATTTCCTTGCTGAAACCCATATTTGTTGTTGCGTCGTGAATACCTTCACCTTGGCCTTCCTTCCATTAGGCAAACAGGATATGCAGAAAATCTCAGCCCTATATAAAACCAAGTAGGGACTCGATGTGTGGACGGATGACAATATAAAATCTACATGTTACACAAACCAAGACTTGAGCACATACATCAAACAAAACGATGTCAATAACTTTATTATACGTTCAGTCAACTCGAAAAAAAACAATAATTTTTGACGATTATTATTTACACGACGTTTTTGGTCATGAGATAGTTTTACGATTCGTCGTCATCCCTTATTTTTAGGCTCATCCAAGAAAAGAAATATCTAGGATCTACAATTTCACAAAGGATTTAGTTTCATCTCATATTTAATTATCTTGGTGACATAAATACCCTTTGCGGTCCGGCAAATAGCACTATTTTCTCATCGCATCGCAATTTTTCAGGTACTTTTTTTGTTCAGCTGCTGATTTAAATAAATTACTGTCCAGTTCACCAACTGAATAATAGCGTTCACATCATCATCAAGGACAGTTTATGATTCTCTGGCCAACATAAATCCTGGAATTGCAATAATTATTTATTTCAGTTACAAATTTTGGCTCGAGGATGATCATGGTGTGCATTATGTAGATATTTGGTGGCTGACTCTGACTCATCCCTTCAAATAGATTTCTTCTTGTGCAAGACGGACAGACAATTTTTTTGCAGACAAAAACGATTATCATCTGCACACATATGCGATGGAGGACCCAAAAGAAAGAAACGAACAAGTAGGCATTGATTTCTCGTCGGCCATGAACATTATTATTAACCATTTATTTGTGAGTGAGTGTGCATGTAATGAAGACCGAGATGAAGATTGTGTTACCAAATTGGTCATGTTTTTCCATATCTGCAATCTCTCTCTTCTGCAGCGTTGGTCGTCCCAACATGTTTGTTCGGCACGCAGAAGTAATTACAAATTAACTTCTGATACATACCTAATGAAGCTCGTCATGTCAAAAATAGGGACTTTTTTTAGGCTACAATTTTACGTGGACGATATGGATTTTTTTTAAGAATATCTGCTACTCACATACTTCCCTTAAAAATGGGATGTGAGCTTTGATAAATTTTGAGATATGAATTTAATTACTAAACAAAAATTTGATAACAAGAACCTGATAACAGCAACTTGATATGCAAAAATCTAACCTGCATTTGTGCCTATCTTGAGATCTTAATTAAACAAATTAGTACAATTTCAATTAGCAAAAATTTTGAGGATGATAGATTGAAAAACAAATTGTGAAGGTTGAACGCTTTTTATAAAATTAGAAACAAATAGTTATTTAATGGTTGCATAAGATACGGCATGTGCAGGACCAAATAAAATCAAAAACTCAAGTGGTGTTATCTGCATACAAAAATTAACAAAAATCCGTGCCTATTTACTTATTTTGTGTGGGTCAGTTGCACAAATTTGGCATGATCAAGACGAAGACGAGTCTTTTGATTATGAAAAAGAATTAGTCTAAAATTATCAATTTGATTTTTCACACGCTTTTGTTACGTTAAATCATCTTTATTTATATTTATATCGTAACTTCCAGTCCAGTTTATAAACCAAATAAAGTTTAACGTTTAATGAAAATCAATTAAAATGCAATTTACCCATGAATGTTAAATATTCGTATGCAGTAATCCAATGCTTTTCATGAATCTGTCGTCGTGTTAAGACGTCCGAAGCAAAAAATTTACTGGCTTCACTTTTCGAAACACTAATCAGATCGAGTCCACATGACTTTTAAATCGTCGAATTTAATAAATGACATACTAGCAAATTATGTATTGCGCCAATGTCGTACAAATTTTTTGTTGGTCGAGGTAGGAAATTCTAAATAGTTGCCATCTTACGTATGCACAATGTACGTACATGGATACTAAGAAATCGTTAAGGTGCAGTTATTGAGGAACGGGACCCCACCCACGCACCATTTTTATTATCATGATCAACCTCGAGAGTTGGATGACCACGACACACAAAGATTCGTCATCCCGTCATCCCGATCTGCAGCGAAATCAGTGCAGTTTCACTCATAAATTATGCTGCAAAACGTAATCCGCTTCCAGTTGACGTTCTTTTCGCCCGAAATTGAATCACAAGTCTGTTTGTCATTCTTCATTTACGCATTTTGAGGCAAACTGTTCAGTCCAAAGGCTTAAAAAAATTGCGTCCCATCCTTTTGTGCAAAGTTACCAACTTAAAACTCCACCGTGGCTAAAGTATATACAAAAATTCCAATTTCTAAAATTTCCGAAACATTTCCATCCGTTTCAAAATATTTAAACGTTTTTTAAAACATCTTTTTAATTCTTTCAGAGTAAACTAAACCACTCAAATATTTCCGACAATGTGGATTCGACATGAGTGACGAATAAGGTCGCCATTTCCGCCAGACCACACCCACTCGAAGGAGAGAAATATCACCGCCAAGTGGGTGGTGGGCTGGACAAGTAATAATCATGGAGACAATTACTACGCATCATCCCACGCCCACAGAAAACAATAATTACAACCAGGGTCCAGGCAAATTAATACCGAGATGGAAACCCTCCGTGAAGACGAAACATGTACCAAAGTGTTCTCTAGTGGATAATTTATTACCATCAAAATGGATCATGGTCACCGCGTCGGTAATGAGTGTCATCCTTGCTCTCACCCACTTTCAACCTGTGGAAGGGTACAGCATCCTGCCTAAAGGTTAGAATTATATTTATGCATACACATACGCTCCGTGGTGGCTTGCGCCATAGTTAAGCTATAACATTGGCGCAAGTGGAGTTGGGTATAATGAATAAAAAGGCTCGAGTGTTTTTAGTTAAGAAACAAGGTTACAAAGTTTAAAGTTTCTAAAGGAATATGAGCTGACAATTCAATTTTTATACAGATCGCTTTATTTTTCTTAGGTGAGGCATAGTAACCATAACCACATGAAAAAGTGCATGGTTACGGCGAAGCCTAAGAATGCAAACAGACCCCCCCTCCCAAAGTTCCACTCAAGTTTGTGACAAAACGGCTAATCGTATCAAAATGGTGTAAAAGACAATCGTGCAGACCTTGCTGGGTAGATGATGCCCGTCAGGTCTAGAGACATGGCAATCTTACTTTAACGCATTTAAAATCGATTTTAAACTTTCAAACGACTGGCAAATTCATTTCTTCCATGCAATGATAGTGCGAGACCCTGATTTTCATGTGCAGAAATCTATAACGCGTCATTTAAAGCAAACCCGAGCGAAATCGGATAAGAAATGAAAAACTTTTCTTGGTGGTATCTGCAACCAGTTACGTTACTTCTAGCAGTCCTCCATTACTTATCATGCATACCTAAATACGAGGTTTCCATTAGTAACCAACATAAGTGAAACAATTGAGACCTGTACTGGCGTATGGAAATATGTACATCTACATATATTATGTGTATATCTAATATTTATGCACACTCTTAACTGAAGTTAAGAATGTACACTCTTAAAACCCGGTGCTAATCGTAACCAAACGGTGTACATATGCCACTTAACCAAAAGGTGATATGTTTTTCACAGCCTGATGATAAATCTTCCAGGCATGGGGACAAATTGTCACTAGCTAGTGTTAATTTTAGGTGAGACACCTTATTACCGCACGGTGAAGTCACATACGCACACCGTTTGGTGACGATTAACACCGGGTTTTTAAGAGTGTAATAGAACATGTAATAGCTCCGTACTAAAGTTTTGCCATATCGGCAGCAAATTTTTACGGACCGGTATAATTTTAATACCACGCAGGAACTTTGATACTGAGAAAACAATACCTACCTGAATATACCAGATTTCTACAGTGTATTTACACTTACATATAGGGAATTTATCTGATATGTAACGCATCCGCACTCAAAGGTTATAATTAATTTGGTATGCAATGCAATGCATCTATACCATAGGGGATGGTGAAGTGAATTTGGGAGGGACTCTTATTTTTAGGCTTAAAAACAAAAAAATAAATGAATTCTTAAAAAAAAGCTTAGGTGAGGCTTGCTTAAAAGAGGAAAACAAGCTGTTATCATCGTGTACTAAAATAATATGCGAAGTCAATGCTCATCTCACGATTTATAATTTTTGGCAAATGTAACAGCAAATTATATGCGTTTGGGACAATTTGCCTCGCCGTGGGCCAGTTTGTGATACGAAGAATTAAAATATATTTTAAAATTTATTAGTGTCCAATGTCGATAAATAATTCATACGGAATGATGCGGGATTTAGTTAATTTCGTTATTAATAATCGCTTGCTGATCAAATTTACGAAGTGTGGGCTATTTATAATATAAAATATTATAGTTCAGAACACTTAATTTTTCAAATATATGTAGGCTGATTTTTGAAACATATTCATGCAAGTCATCAAAAATAACAGAATCAAATAATAACGAAGTTTAATTACTGCAATACGTATCATAGCTAAATATAGTTCAAATTTAGCTATGATCATTAAAAGATATATTTATATCAAACATTTAATCACGGCCCACGGCGAGGTATATTGTCCCAAACGCATATAATTTGCTGTTATATTTGCCAAAAATTATAAATCGTGAGATGAGCATTGACTTCGCATATTATTTTAGTACACGATGATAACAGCTTGTTTTCCTCTTTTAAGCAAGCCTCACCTAAGCTTTTTTTTAAGAATTCATTTATATAAATTTGAAAAAGCATATAAGTTACAAGTTCCGAGTGAATTGCATTGCCTCATTGTCTCGAAATCTATTCAGCTAAATTATATCAAACATTTTGATGTATTTAGCTCAGCGGCGTCTCGGCGATGCATATCAAGAATCCGTCTACTACGACCCCGATTCCCTATTGGAGTTGCATACGAGGAGAAAGCGTGAAATCCGGGATGCTGGAGAGGAATTCGAATTCGGAGAACCACTCCGATTTACATTACATGCAAAAAGCCGGTATTATAATTTCGTTTCATTTCTCAAAACAAAATTTCTCTCAACAAAATTCCCCTATTTGCGAATTTATGTATTTTGAAATTGTCACCTGAATTCAAATAATGTACTATTTTGTTATCTAAATTCACAGCGACTTCCACCTCGTACTAAAACCCGATGAGGAAGTGTTGCATCCCGGGATTGAAATTGAGTCAGCGACAGGACACAAATCCACGTATTCTCCGAAGGGAAACGTCTTTCATGGATATTTAGAAGGTTGCTTAATTTTTTTACTTAACTTAATTTGCATATGTACATATTTACCTCGAACTAATTTTTGCTTTCTCCCGCTTTTCTTAAGACGAACCTGGTTCTTCCCGGGTGGAAGGGCTTGTCACATCAGACGGTTACTTTGACGGTGTGATTACCACGGGAGATGGCGACCAGTTTCATATCGAACCGGCCGAGCGGTATGAAATAAAGCTTAAAATTTACCCAGTCGAACCATTCATGCTATTCAACCCTCCATTCCATTTAATTCCAGCTACATCGACTCCGCTACGCCTCCCACCAAACATTATTCATACTCTCCCGCCGGCGTGCTATACGATTCTGCCACAATTCCACTTCCCCCCGAAGACGAATCTCAACACCTCTTTCAGCACATTTCTCACCCTACGAACCTAAATTTTTCGTCCCCGCCCCGTTCCAAACGTGCCGTTACACTGGACCCACGACGAAAAACGTGCATGCTCTACCTCCAAGCGGACCATTTATTCCACGGTCACCTGGGCTCAGAAGAGGCCGCCATAAACATGATGACCCGCCACATTCAGCGTGTCAATGAAATCTACCGCGTCACGGATTTCGACGGGGACGGGACTCCGGACGGGATTTCCTTCATGATCAAGCGGATCAAGGTGCACAACTCGTCGAGCGGGGTCAACTACCCGTACCTCGGGGACTTCCAGGTCATCAAGTTCCTCGAAAAATTCAGCGAAGGGGACTATGAGTCATTCTGTCTGGCCTACATGTTCACGTTTCGCGACTTTGAAGGGGGCACGCTGGGATTGGCTTGGACGGGAGATTTGAAAAATGCGGGCGGCGTCTGCGAACGGAAGGGGCATTTCCGTGGGGGGCTAAAATCCTTGAACACGGGGATCATCACGTTGCTAAATTATGGCAAAGTCGTCCTTCCCGCGGTGTCATATGTCACCTTGGCGCACGAAATAGGACACAATTTCGGAAGTCCGCATGATCCCGAAAGCGAGCGGGAGTGTGTGCCGGGTGGGCGAGATGGCAATTATATTATGTACGTGACACATTTATTTATTAACTAATCTTGTGTTTAAATATTTAATACTATTTCTAACAACCGGGTATTTAAAATTTTCACTACCAGGTTTGCCCGAGCAACGGCGGGTGATCAGAGAAACAACCAACGCTTCTCACCATGCAGTTTGCGATCGATTAGACCAGTGTTGGCCGCCAAGGCGAGAAACATTCATGGCTGCTTTACCGAACCGAAGAAGGGAATTTGTGGCAATAGGGAAGTCGAGGTACAGATAACCACCTAAGATAACCCCATAAATTAGTAATAGCAACAATGACAACCATCCAATTTTGTTCCAGCCCGGCGAGGAATGCGATTGCGGTTGGGAAGAAGACTGTACGGAATCCTGCTGCTGGCCGAACCGCCTCGACCCTCCCCCCAACGAGACGCCCTGCACCCTGAAACCCTTCACCGCCTGTTCCCCATCCCAAGGCCCGTGCTGCACCTCGGCCTGCACCCTCACTGCGGGAAACGCTTGCCGATCCGACAACGGGTGCCGCCACACGGCCTCCTGCTCCGGCCGGTCCGCCGTCTGCCCCTCGTCCGTGCACAAACCCAACAAAACCGTGTGCGGGGACGGGGCTGCGGTGTGTTTCATGGGCGAATGCACCGGCTCCATCTGTCTCGCGTACGGGCTCAACTCGTGCCAGTGCTCCCCGCAACCCTGGGACTCGGCGGGAAAAGTGTGCGAGCTTTGTTGCAAACAGCCCGGAGATGGCGCCCCATGCTTGTCCTCCTTCGAGCTTAACGACGCTCCCTACGACGTCCCAGACCTTTATGCAAAACCAGGATCGCCCTGCAAAAATTACACCGGTTACTGCGACGCCTACCGAACTTGTCGCGAGGTCGATCCCTCCGGACCGCTGGCGACGTTGAGGAATTTACTACTCGCGGACGAAGGGCTGTCGGCCATTGCGGCGTGGATCGATACGCATTGGTACGCCGTCGTCAGTTTCGTCGCCTTGCTGATCGTCATGATGGTAAGAACTATTAATAGTTCTATGTAGTTTAGTAGTGGAGAGCGGGAATTTTGAAAATTTTGGAATTTCAGGTCCTCACCGCAAAGCTGTGTGGGAAGCAGGCCAAAAAGAAGCTGCGCAAGATCACGATCCTCCACTCGAACGTAGACGCCATTCAGATCGAGCGGTCGTACTGGGACGAAGGTGGCGAGGAACACGTCGTCCATCCCGCCGCGGTCAGGAAGAAGATCCCGCTGAGGAAGAAGATACGAGAGAAGAAGAACAAGGGCGGGAAGAGGAGAGGTTCCAATTTGAATGGAGGTGCCATACTGCAAAATGGGGCAGGTCCGTCCACATCCAGTGGACCTCCGGCAGGGGGCGGGAAGGAAAGTCATCGAGGTGGGGTGAGATATGGGACCCTGTGGAGAAAACGAAGGGCGGCTGAAAGGTGGGTTCGCATTCTGCATTAGCTAAATTCCTGCAATTTTATCGTTTCTTGTATTTTTTCAAGGTCCCGCCTCACCACCGGAAGTAGCAAGCACAAGACTGACAATAATGACCACTCTCCACCCTCACAACCCGTCCAGAGCTTTGATCTCGTCAAACTCAACACGCCTCCTCCCGTGGCCGCGCATCACAATTCCGCAGCGGGATCGTCAGCACCAGTGATTTATCCCAGTTTAGTTGTGGCTGAGGCCGCCACGCCGAGCACGAGCAGTGCCGGACCGCTGCCTCCCGCCACCACGAAAAATGAGCATCAGTACGAAGCCAAAACCGCCATTTTGCCCTCGGCGGGAGACGCCAGGAGAAAGAAAAGGTTTGCGACGTCGAAAGCGACGAATTTTGACTGCTAACCACATAAATAATACTAAAAAAACTGATATCCACTTGGTGCAGGGATACAAACATATGCAAAGAAACGCAATTCTAGTGATTTTTGAACGGTGATGGTGCCTTTTTAACTCTAAAAATAGTTATAAAATCCGGTTCAAAGTCAACGAATCCATGAAAGTTGTGTTCGTTATCCCGCCAAAATCTCGCTAATAAGTTGTTATACCCCGAACGTTTTAATTAAAATACGACTTGAAAGTGGATCCGTTGACCCTGAAGCAGACTTTTAAAAAGTAATTCTTCAATTTAATCTTTTTAGTTTAGTGTCTTTTTCATGACGTTCGCCTGTAATTTTTTAGCGGTGTTAGTTAGCAGGTCCTGAATTTTACAAATCGCGGTATTATTATTGCCGAGTCATTAATTATGATATTATTGCTGAGATTAAAACAATGCATTTATTACCACGTTGTTATTAAATTGTTGATGGTAACATTCTGATCTTGGTATTACTCACGCTCTAATTCTGTACACACACATTTGTAACCAGTAATTACTCACGTCAGTCTCACCTTAATTCACTATCACACACACCTTCATGTAATATTTGAATCTTATTCTCGCCTATTTAGATTCCTGAATAATTTCATAGTCACCACGGGTATTCATATACTTTCTCAAATCTTGCCCAACTTTCACTCACTTTCACCAATTCCCGCTTAACTAGCGCCACTATTAATTGCCACAAGGAACTTCCCATATGTATGATTTTTGTGTGTATAATTTGTGGCATTTTTTGAAAATTCTCATCCCCAGAAGTAGTCGACGTCCTGCCCCGTCGGGATCTCCCCGAGAGAAAGAAGGTAAAATTTCCGGCAGGACAAGCAAACCGTCCTCCTCCTCCCGCAATCCCGCCAAGATGCCCGGGGCAATAGGGAAAAGTAAAAAGTCCCCATCGGGAGCTCGTCCTGGTAAGAAATCTGTCACCACACCCGTCGCAGATAAGCCCAAGACAACCATGCAAATCGTCTACACGCCGCCCTTCTCGGTGAAAGTCGTCCACGTCCCGGTTCCAACGGACGCTGCTCCCACGCCGACGCCGACCACAAGTCAGCCATCGAAAATTACACCGCCTAAAAAGAAAACTCCCGCCATATTGGACACGCCCCTCCCGCCCGTCCCGGAAGGGGCCCTCCTCCCCACGCCGCTGGTGGTGGTGGAGGACACGAGCGGAGGTGGGCCCCCACCCCCCTACACCACGCTGCCCCCACTTCCACCCCAAGAGGCCGCCCCGCCGCGCCCACAGTCGTCGTCTTCGTCCTCGAAGCGGGTGAAATCGTCGGGGTCGTTCCTCTCCAAACCGCGGGGGGCGAGGGGGAGGATCAGGAAGGAGAAAGGCGAACTCAGGGTGCTAATCCCACCGCCAAATTTGAACGATGACGAAACAGAAACGCCAACGCCAGGGACTTAATAATCATTAATTAACCTATACAATGATACCCATCCATAACTAACAAAATGATAATCAATTCATGGCTAGCTTTGTAACTGTCTAAACTTTAGAAAGTAATCAAGTTTACGGAAATCTTGAATGCAACTTTAGTCAGGAAAATGTTTAAGGTTAAGTATCTCTTGAGTTTGCAAAGTATTCTTTTATGAAGTTTACTCATCCTCAGTTTACAAACGTGGCTTGAAGTCCGCCATTAAAAATTAATTTAGTAATTTATACAAACTTTATATGCACGTATTTAGTTTGGAATTTATTAATTTTTTAAATAACTAGTTTATGTAAATTGACGCGATTTTTTAGCCTAATTTATAACCATCCTGTTTTATGTGTTGCATCTCAGCCTGTTAAATATACATTTGATACAATTAAATAAAGGACATAAATAAGATTGCAAAAAGTACTCTATGAAGGATAAATATTAGAAAACGAAATTCTATAAATTCAAAGTCCTGGTCATGCTTTAATACTACAAAAGCAGAGTGAATTGCATATTGCAATAAGGCGTTTATGATGCACGTGGAGTTTCGTTGTAATTCATGATCGAGGAAGCAATTTCACCTAATTTGCGTAGTTTTACCGTTTTTTAGTGCTTGTGTCTGGATCTGAAAAATGGTGTGTAACTCGTGGTTTGAGACACTTATTGAATTAAATAGATTAAACAGTAATAATTAAACACATCGAACTACTGAACACAACCTGGGAATCGATCGAAGTACCAAAAACCACCTCATTTTGGGGTCAATTGGCTTCTCGGCCTGCTTAAATGATGTTAAACTTACAATAGAATTGTTAGAATAGTTAATAAATTTTTCTAATGCTGATGATGTTATAAAATATGAAGGATCCGAAAATATTGATGACATTGAACGAGACCACTCGTTCCACAGTGTATCAGCAACCTTCAAGGCCGAATTTGAAGACTTACAATCTACAATAAATAATCTGCAATATTTTAAGGTCTACAATCATCCTGTATGGGGGCAGGAAAGCTGGAAAGTATTCAGTGCTTGAAAGGGGGCGTGGTTAGGAGAGGGGTTTTAGTCGAATTTTTAAATAGTCTCAAATTCCCCAAGAAATTACACACACTTTGCACAGAGTTTCATGCTGGTTAAATCGAGCTATGCATCATACATGTCCTTAGCTCTCACCATTTTCTTGCAAAAGCATCGAAAGTAATAGAATTTTTATAAAAATTCCTTAAAATCGTCAAGTTCGAAGGGGTCTATACCCTTGAACCAAAAGTACACCAAAACCAGAACATGACAAACTCCGATGGACTTTGGATCTACTAAAACAGTCAAAATTGTAGCAAAATACTGATCCGAATTTCCATAAGTTCCAGTGATAAATAAATTATAAACTTGACTTTGGGAATTGTAAAAGTGTTGATGCGATGTAATCTCGTACGTGTTTTCATTGAAGGGCGAAACACAATGAAATGAAGGCACAATAGAAACCAGAACCCCCATCGTGCTTGGTAATGATTTTCACTATGACCATTTTCAATTCATTCACGCATTGTCCAGTCAGAAGACTTCATACTTTCTGAAGAATCACATTTTCGAGTATTGATATGTGCGTGATTCGCAATAAGGCTGCTATTTAGGATTTAATAAGTCTCATAAAATTCCCCCATTTATGAAGGTGAGACTCCTTTTTTGTGAGGAAAATCGACACTTTTTCTGAATAGCTTCAACGAACTTGAAAGTCGAACTTTCACCTTGACTTACTTTTTTTCTTTAAACACACTGAAAATAAGGTGCAGATGCAGTACATCAATCATTTTATGTACGCATATAAACCTACTTCCATAATATGTATGGATATGTTATGTTCGTATAAAAACTTATGTATTTAAAACTTCTAAATCGTTAAATTTATTTATTTTTGGAACACAAAAAAATATAAATTTCAATCCATGAGCTTGACAAGGACAAAGCATGCAAAAAAACTCAAAATTTCTGACGATAGGACTCGGGCCCCGGAAACAATTTCATTGAAAGCGTGTGAAAAGTTGCGTTTGAAAGCAGAATGATAGATCCTGTCCCTCGAAGGCAAAACGAATCCTGTATCATTTAAAGTTTAAATTAATGGTAAGACCAGGGAAAAAATATATAGCATAAATTTCCTACTTTGGTATTGGTAGTCGATGTTCCCAGAAAAGTAAAAATGGTAAAGACTCGTCCTCGGGTTAATTATGGTCGAGGGATTAATCGGCCTTCGAAATTTGCACCATAACATTTTCCCGTCCACGTCGAAATCGTCAAGGTCAATTACCTGCCAATCGTTAAGTGCTAATTTTACTATTTTGTTTAATTAAATAAAAACCAGACACATAGGAAAGAAGTTGCAGAGGAAAACAAAAACGCAATTGCCAACTTTCACCTCGTTGTGCTGATAGGGAGGCAGTTGGAGGTTTTCGATGAGCAGATGTTCCATTCTGGCCCTTCCTCGCTCCAAGTAGCACACCGTCATGTCCGCCTGGACCAGCTTGCTCAGGTCGTCCCCAAACGCGACCGCAATGTAGGTCTAAATAAATAAACAGTGTTAAACACTACCTCATTTCGTGTTATGTAGTAAACGTAAAGCAAACTAGAACCAACCCTGTTGTGATGAAGACGTCCTCCGAGGGTGAAAGTGCTAGTGAACGTATTGGCGAAAATATTAGTGAAAAACTGGTGAACGCATTAGTGAAAATAATGGTGAAAGTACATTTCGCTTTTGTCCCGGAAGTCCACCCCGTACGAGAATATTAGCAAGGCCTCCGCAGCAGTGCAAGGATAAGCTCCGTATGGACACACCCGGAAACACGCCATGGACGAACCACAGGCATAAGTGCTTATCGCTGTATTTGCATATATTTCTTAAAACTTGTACGGTTTACGGTATCTGAACTTGAAAAAGGTTGTGAATTGTTCTTACGAAACGGATTGAAGGAGAGGACGTTGGAAACTATGATCCAGTAATGAATCCCACGAAGGACGCTGGCTCTGTGCAGACGACAACAAGTCATCGCATGTTTAATGAAATTAGTTATGCACAAAACTAATTTACATGAATCTGATGTCGCCTGCCTCCGCATCTGGTGCGGTCCAGATGAAGGAAACATTTCCCAGCTTCACGGGTCGCCCCTTGTCGATGACCGTGGCGAATGGGAGGTTGAAACAGGGGCTGTATTCGAAGAGATAAGGGAGATATCGAAACTGGCCGATAAGTCCGACCCCGCCTCGCAGCACGTCGTCCCCCGCAACCACACGGGACTGAACCATTAAACCGTCAAAATCTCCACCCTCAATGCGAACTAGGAAGCAATTACAAGAAAAACACTCTTGTTTACTCGCATGCTAATTACGTAACGGTTTCGGTGTAATAAACAAGCTCATGAATTTTGTGGCATGAATAATTCGTGCCTTTCCACTCACCCAAGAGATCGGAGTTCCTGCGATACCTTCGCCCAGTGACGGATATTTTGTAGGGCGGTTCGTTCGAGTAGCCTTCCCCCAGCCCCCCAATCGACCTCTTCTTCTGCACTAGTTTCTTCCCATAGCGATTTCGAATCCGGTACCTGGAAGCCCAACTTCCGCCCTCCCCGAAGCGAGAGGACCCGTAGTACTGGGCGTAATCCTGCCCGTTGTCGTTCCCACTGTCCACGTTCCGGGGGACAAAGTCGGAACAGGAGAGGTCGGAGTAGCGCAGAATTCCGAACACAGTTTGGACAAGGAAGAGGAGTGTGATTAACACGGATAAGTAAAAACCTGGCTGCAGTCGTGTCATCTTATTTATTCAGTTGTCAGTACCGATGCAATCCCAGAAATTAAAAAAATATCAAAAAATCCTCAAATACTGTGATGTGTTTCCCGTAAGCCAGTCAATTTGTAAGTGAGAAGTCTCCAAAGTTATAACTCTCATGAAAAAGTCGTCGTTCTCGTGACATGGAAAACTCCAGACGACGCTACGTATGAAAATACCTCTGGCTACGTTGTGGGTGAGACACGCGTTGGTGAAAGCAGGAAAAAGCGAGGAGTCTCATCATACATGTCGTATCTAAATTCTTGTGAAATTCGTGAATGCATGTGTGCACCACACGTACAAACGAGTTAACCAAGTCCAGTTCGAGCCATGTATTTTCTTCAATTTGTGCAGGTGAGCTTTTCACCCGTCGTGGATATCTATTATGCAGCAATGGTGAGGTGAAGGAAGGTGCGGTGCGTGCAGTGCGGTGACACTGACTGACATGTTAACTAATCGAATCGACAGGAGATGATGATGACGATCAGTAACCTCGAGTGGGGACAAGTATCCATCCAGATAGCGTAATTATGTGATAATAAGATGCCTACCTGTCGCATGTATATATTTAGTTATTGTCCTTCCGCAAGTCAATTATACCGCTGACTCTGACCATTCCTCACTCCACGCAAAAATTGAATATTCGGTAACATGGGGTGCAAAAGAAGTAAAAATGTGTTCCGAAATTATCCTCAACATCTTGGGATTGTCGCTTTCACTGGAATCATTACTTGTGTTCTGATTCTATTTATGACAAGAAACCCAAAACTGTATGCATCATTCTCAAATAATGATTGTCGTCAAAGTGAAAGTGTCATTAATTTAGAGCAAAATAATGACAATGACGATGAATACTCTTCACCGGTGTGGACCAGGATCAGTGATTCCATCCACGTGTACAGCGCCCATTTCGACCCACGCATCATCCACGGACCTCACTTTTCCATATTCTCCCCCGACTATTCCTGGAAAATGAGAACAAGTAATTTGCATAAGTCGAGCTTGGTTCGAATAATCGGAATTAGGCGATTCCCACCCACGGCCACCATCATCGCTCGGAATCCCATGGCCTGGCTTCTCATCAAGGACGAGACGCTGTTCAGTGATGACCACGAGTGCAAATTATTCCTCGCGAATGGCTCCACTTTCTCTTCCGCCGTCCTCACGTATCACGTCGTGGAGGAAGGAATCAAAACATTTGCGGCCTCTTTCTTCAACTGTTATTTCGACCTCGAAGGAAATGACGACTTATTTCGAGGAGGATTTGTAGCTTTGGTCCCCAAAAATGAGGGGGAATATCCACTCAAACTACTAAAAATCCAGAATACCCGTCGGCCCGATGTTGTATCGCCACAGAATGTCAAAAACTTATCATTGGCCATTTGCACCCGGCCCCTGTTCTCGTCCCCCGAGGGAGACTTTGCCCTCGTTCGAAAACTAACTCAATTTATTTCCTACTACGTCGCACTTGGAGTGAATTTCTTTACTTTCTACGAACTCAGCACTTTCCCAGGAGTGAGGAAGTACTTGAGAGAGTTGAGACGCCGTCAGGATTTCCGGCACAATTTCCGGTTGCATGTACAAAAGTGGAATTTGCCGACAGGAAATACCTCCGAATTATGGGTACGTACTTATGTACAAATATGCATAGGATACCACAATAGAATTCAACATAATTGTACTGATACACAGGATTATGGTTCCCTGGCGGCGTTGAACGACTGTCTTTACCGGAATATGTGGGCCGATCATGTCCTCTTCCTGGATCTCGATGAGTTTATAGTCCCGCAAAAAGAACACTCGTTGGGACAACTGATCAATTATTTGGAGGAGAAAAGTGGAAGCAAAAATAGGTGCGTATTTATGCCTGCTGGAGAAAGTCGTAGTGAAATATTTGTGTTTTCGAGCTATGATTTGTTTGCAGGTTGTCAATCTCTCCTCCTCAAATTTTGATCCGAAACACGTTCTTCTGTTCGGAATTTTGCTCTGCAACTGGAGAGAACACAGTGACATCGGCGACCTTGGAGGACACATTTCCCATTACGACGTGCAGAACAAGGACGAAACGAGTTTGGCATGCGAAATTGAGAACTAAATTTATCCTGCGGCCAACTTTATCTATTTCGGTGGGCCATCACACTGCTCATAATTTTTGGAGGAACAGCAGCAATTCAGGCAGGAGGACAGATGATAAAGTCGAAGTGTATCAGGACCCAAGACAACAAAACTCCATCATTGCTGACGTTGGCGTTGCGCTTCTCAATCATTATCGAGAATGTGGACCAATATCCACCAAAAAACAACCCATCCTCAACAGATTAACGATAAAGGACGAGAAAATTGTAAGAATTTTGAAACAAAGGAATTTTAAATGGCTTCGGTATTAATTAGGTGACCAATACATAAATAATTATTTTAAATGTTCTTTATCCCGTAAAACGAGGAACACAGTATTTTTACAGATTTTATAATCGATAAATGAGTAAAATAGAGTATTGAGCAGGAGACCATTAGAGATGATGAAGGTACAGAAGTTGTACATATGTGTGATGTGAATGCATTGGTTGACAGTCATTATCAAGCAAGTCTTTCAACTAGAAACACAATAAAAACAATTAAAGAAATCTTAAAAAAATGGCAAACAATTCTTTGCAGAAAATCTTATTAATTTTCTCGTCCTCCTAGCGTATAAATCTTCTTACAAAAATGATGCATCCATGTCTCTGCAGGAGGGGTGGCTATTGTCCGTCGTCTCCTTAAATATACGATTTTTTTGATTTTTCCTATTCTTTTCTTGATCTTATTTCTTTGTTTGTATTTAATGTTACCTCTTCCGGTCCCAAAGGTTCGCCACAAACGGTGCAGACCTTGTTGGGCCCAACGCCGCGACCTCCGCCACTGCTCCCCTCACTCCGGTCAGTGTGCTGACGTTGGAGCAGAATCCGTGGGGCCGGCCCCACCGTCCTGGCCGATGACGACGAGTGGGGCTGATTGTTGTGGGGGTGTGACTGCTGATCACGTGGACTCATGTCTTCCAAACGTATCCCATCGGCAGTAGCAGCTTCGGCGTCCCTTTCTTGCTCTCCCTGTTTCTGCTGCTGCTGGGATTGTTGGGGTCCTGTTTCATGGGAACAGTTTTCATGAAAACTTATTAGCGAATTGATGGTGACGGCAAAAGGTGTTGTTTAAGTACGGATCAATTTCTGCAAACTGGTAGGGAGGTCTGCAACGCCGATTTTTCTGTCGCACTTGAAGCATCCAACTCGATACATGATGACGAGAATTCCTGACTAATTTTATTCACGGTTACTTACAAAAATTAATTATGAGACATTTGTTTATTGGACTAATTAATTTTACCGATAATGTAACGAACATAACCATAAACCACATGATGAGAAAAGTTACGTTATCCACGCCCATTTTGATAAGGAGAAAACAGTCCAGAGAAGGAGAGTATTCAACCCATTGCTAAAATATAGCGTAGAATTTCTTACGTCTTTCTTGTCTTGAGAGAAAGTCAACCCAATAACATTTGACTCTGAGGAAAAAGAGTTTTATTTTGCATACAAAATATTCCACGTATACAAAAAATAGATAAAAAGTTGAGAGAACCAGAATTACTTAAATGAAAATCGATTTTCACATTAGATCCGGGTTAACCGTAGGATAAAACTAAAATAAAAGAGAGAAGATAGAATAGCTATCAAAAACCTTATGCATGCTTCATAGTTCGTTGTAAATTAGTTGATAGTCCAATTACCCGGCCTTTTACAATCGATCAATTCTCTGACGTTTGTCAAATTTGTGACATTATGCTACCAAATTATAGACTTTAACCCGTTCTATAAAATTGCGACCAAGAATTAAAGTAATAACTTTACTTTTTGCTAAAATAGGCTATTTTTTGAGATGACGATGTGACCCACGCTGGTCCGGAATGCCGAATTTTGTCGCTAAAATCTGTTCCCACCGATTCGAAAATGAATTACCCTCTTTGACATACATTCATGGAACATGAACAATTATGGAAAGTTGGATTTACATCGTTCAACTATTTAGGTTGTGTTTTGAAGTGGCATATGCTGGAACTTGCATTATGAGATTAAGCTAAATTGGAAAAACTACAAGTTAAAAGTCCTACCTAGTCCTATGCTAAATGCATTATTAATTCCATATCTAAAAAGAAATTTGAATCTATTCAAAGGCAAATTGGCATAGGCAAACTACTGGGCGTGCTACAATCACGGGCTTGCCTTGACTTGTTCATGGTAAGACGGACTTATTTGGCTAGCATTTTTGTAGTTTTCCAACCTCCAATGAACTAAAATTAAGCAAATTGATGCACATTAAATTGGGAAACTATTCACCTGATTATGACTACAGGAAAGTGTAGCCCTATCAATTAGCAAGTCTTTATAGTCAAAGTTAAAACACCAAGGTCAAGAATAAATTACAATTTTGTTGTTCACATTTATACTCTTAATGAGACTTTAGTCAGCTATTAGTCACAACTCGAGTTCTAGATATTACATATCTCGACTTATCAACCTTCTCAACTTAATTGCACATTTGTGCCAAAAAAATTAAACAAAGTATTTCATTTTTACAACGGAATTATATTTAAATCGATAAGTATTTATATGGACGCCCAAGATGCGTTCATCGTTCTTGGCGATGATGAAGATATCCACAGTAGTTTAGAAACTGAGGTCAATTCATTGTGGGAGGTAATACTTCTTATCGCCGTTGTCCTTGGAATTCTTATCTTTCTGGCTTATCGAAAATGGAAAATTCACCAAGCAAGGAAAAAAACGTTGGCGATTTTTAACTTTCCATACTCAGGTTCGTGGGGAGGGGATAATTTTAAAGGGTGGAAATCTATATATGTGCAGATAGTATTTGTTAAAATCATTAAATCTAAATGTAAATTTTCCAGAGCTTTCAACCCCGATCGTGTCTGCAGAAGTCTGCAACGGTTGAAATTTTCCTTGGGCACAACTAAATAGACGCATTGAATAATTTACTAACGCGATCGTATAAATTATTTATTACTAATTATTTCGTATAAAATATAGATATAAACGATTTCTCATATTCACATTCACAAGATTTATGTAGGTTTGTTGGTCGTTTCTCATTTTGTCTCATGCAGTTCTTTCGCCATACAGTGAGCGAAAGCGAATAAACAAACTTTTTGTATTTTCACGTGTGACAGCAATTTGCTGTGCTCTTGTTTCTTTAATTTCGTACTTTTTTACCTTCATTCTAACAAAATCACACCATAAACTAACTGGTATGCGACATACCGTGTGCCGATTTATCACCATCTTTCAAAATCGGTATGATCTCATTTTGACTCAATCGTAAAGGTAGTGTTTTTATTGGCTCATTACTAATTCGAGGTTGCTTGACATTTTATCATTATACTAGAGTTGTCAAACAACCTTGAATTTTATTTGAAGACAAAAGACAAAGCAAAAATTGATAACACTATTTTGTTTTGTGTCAATCACAACCCTAATAAATTATACTTTATACTCAAAATTAATGAAAGGCAATTAAGAACCATAACTAGACGACTAACAAGACGAAGTTTACATAACTGGCAGAATGGATATGGATAACCAACAACCTGTTTCTGGGGATTCAAGTTTAGCAAAAAGGCCATTCTACATGACGGAGTCAAAAGGTAATACTTACCATGAATTAGGGCAATTTCGAGGGTCGAAGGTCATGTGTAATCTGTAACTATTTACAAATTTATAATAGAACCCTTGCTAAAGGTACAAGACATCCCTCAATGTGTTACAAATTGTCAAGGAGTTCCACCCCATATCCAAATGCTGATGAGCATCAAAGGGGACCAGGATTTCATCTCTGTCCACGAATTTTCTGCAAGATTGTGCCACATCTTACTCGTCGAGACGGGATTTTTCCCTGTTACTGGAGACGTTTTTCAGTCAACAGGTTTTACTTTTACACCACAGGCACTGATGGATATGCCGGATAGTTTGAGAATTCCAGAGTAATAATCATTGTTTGTTCTGCTTGATAACTAATTTTGGTACATCATTAAAATCTAATATCTGTTACACAGGTTTTCTCGGAAGATGCTGATTTCTTCAATGTTTTCACAACAAGGCATTTATGCATTAAAGTACAAAGTCATTCTTTGCGAGTTGGTGCCAGAAAGTGTGGAAAATAGTGGGGACGATAAAAGTACTGGTGAAAGCTCCGAGGCTAAGCCGTCCGAAAGTGGGGCTGAAAGTGTGTGGCAGTACAATTTCTCGAATGACATCAATGTAACAATGTTGTTTACGGAAGATCGACTAAATATTACAGGTACGAAACGGTATCTATACACGATAATAATTTTAAATTATACAAATAACACTTTCGATTATTTTAATCTGATTTGCAGCTGTGTGCAACATGGGAGTACCAAAAAGAACCATCACCCAGCAATTGACACTGAATATTGAAGAATTTTTTACACAAAGAGCAATAGTAGTCCCGGTTCGGTTAAGAGGAGATCAATGGATGCGAAAATTTGATATTAACTACACCAGATTGTCTGTATACTTTAAGAACAAGTTTGCAATTATTCTTCTGGACCAAATGGATGGAATTTTGCTGGAGCGAAGGGGTCTATTTTCATTGCCATATTTAGCACTAATTAAAATTTTGAAAAAGTCGGATGTCATTACAATTTTACGAATGAGCAAAACCTGCACATGCTTTTACAACATTGTGAGAGACAATAGACTGTGGGAATTCCTACTCAAGAGGTAATTTATGTAAATGTATCTGTTAACTGTGGGTTCTCGATCTATATTACGGACGTAACACCATCACGCTTTAATATTTTAATTTGTAGCCCAAACCAGGGCTTATGTAATCGTCATGTCCGTCTGTCCTTCGATAACTCGGCATCTCGTTTTGACGTACAAAGCACACAAAATTTTTGTAAATCTGAATTAAATCAATACATTTATGTAACTTGCCCGTCAAAACTAGATGCAAAAATGAAAATATTAAACCATGGGGGCGGTACAGTCCGCAACCACTTATTCCCCCCAGTGGATAACACAAGTGGTGGCGGATAAGTCAATCCGATGGAGAATGTACTCTAATTTTTTTTATATATTTCTCCTTTGTATAGGGACTTTCCAACTGACTCCGACCAACCCACCAGTGCCAGTATTTCGTCTCGCCCACCACCCCCACCTCCACCACTTCCAGGAATAATGGCCCCGCCACCAACACCTGCACCAAGATCTACGACTCCCACTGAACCCTCGTCCCCACCTGCTACGGATAATCAACAAAAACTGAAATCAGACGAGGATCCTAATTATTACGAGATTTATAAACAAAAGTATGCTTCCAAACATCGAAGGTTGCACCGAATGAACTCGTTTCCAATAAGGTTTTTCCCGACTTTACGAATTAACCGGAGAATTCCCAGTATTCCGTTTCATTTTGATCGTTTCTAACTTGTCAGAGGCAACCCACAGAATTGTAGGTCAGAATGAAAGTTGGATGATGCCACTAGATTTTGAGTGAGAATCTCTGACAATTGAATGTGATATTTCCTTGTCATATAAAATTTTAGTGTTTGAGGATGCAAACATAGTAATAAACATGCCAATATTTGTTGATAATTCCAAACCAATCAGTTATGCTTGTATAAACCAATATCATCTCCCTCCAGGGTGCATAAACTTTTTTGTTGTCCGTGGTTTCTCCTTAGAAGAAACCACGGACAACAAAAAAGTTTATGCACCCTGATCTCCCTCCAAGTACGATGGCTTTTGTTTCGTTTCACGCCCTTTGGGTTCCTCGGTGCAAAGTTGTATGCAGATTGCGATTAGCTTTCTTAATAAATTAGTGAAGGGGAGTTTGTAAATTCGATAAGTTTAGGAGATATTTATTTCATAGGCTCACTGAACAAATATGCAAATAGGTACTATTTCCCGTTACAACTTGGAATACAGGCTTTTGGAGATGTCTACCCAGTCTTTAGACTTTTCAAAGCAACCAGGCGTCTGTTTCATTGCATTTTCCAAGTGCTTATAAACTTGACCATCGCTCGCACCCAGGCACGAATTCAGAATAAAATCCGTAGGTGCGAGCGCATCTACTAAGGAAATCGCTTCAGCTTTCAATTCCTTACAAAGCTGGATAATATTCTCCCGGATGTACCTGCCGGGTTTGGGCCCTGAGAAGTAGCCACCCGCATACAAAATTCCTGCGTGCCTCTCCAAACAGGACAAGCCGTAAATCAACATTAGTTTTTTCAACACTAAGCGAATATTCCAAGAAATGTCTTCATTGTTTGCAAATTTGTGCCAGAAGACGTCCAGAGCATAATTCTCGACAAAAACGATGGACAAAGTTCGAGCGTGATAGAATTGAGAGTCGTTCTTGGCCGTGAAATTGTCTTCTCCGGAGGCTTGAATCCCTTGGAATTTTTCACTTGTTGACTTGAGAAGGTAGCAGACCAGCCATTTGTACGCTTTCAGAATTGCTCCCGGCTGCAAGAAATCTTCCCGAGGTTCTCGCGATTTGAAAACAAATTTCTTCTTTAGTCGAGCGTCCGCATTCTTCAAGAATTTGATGGCACCGAAGGGAGAACTTGTGGCCATTTCTTCTCGCTTGGTATTCACCCATACGTTGAGGAGCCAGTTACTGGCTTGCTGTAGAAGGACATTGTTATCCCCTAGAAAAAAGTCTTGCACTTTTAGTTAGGACTATTTTTTTCTAATTTCGATAATCTACATACCTTCGAAAGTCAAAAATGAATCTCCATCATCTCTCAACCTCCCAATTCCTGCCGCTTTCAAGTACCCGTGACCCCCACAGGCTTCTCTGCATGGGAACATATATACATGCATGACTAATGAGGATTTTTGCAAGGGTGTTTAATACGTGCATTATTCAGTATTATTTTAGCTCATCATCCAATTAAATGGTCTTACAATAGTGCAGTAATGCTCATGCAGGTATCACTTTGCGTTTGCATTGTTACACATTATTTTGCGACACTACGAATTTGATACTCTACTTTTCATAATAATATGAACCAATTCTGGCCTTCGGTCACTTTACATAATTCTGCTGCATATCTACCAATACGTTTTCAAAGGACACTCGATGAATTTGTTACCTGCTTTCTTGCACCGTATCTCGTGCCAGCCACCTATGCAATTTAATGTGTAATTAAATATGCATACATAACTGTCGTGTGACGATATATTTATCAAGCTACTGCACGTAAGTAAGTACCCTGCAACTGGTTTTGCGGCAGCGCTGATACCATGCAATTCTGCCCCCATTACTGCCCGCTCCTCAGCGGAAATGTCAGGATTGAACTGGCTGAGTATAAATTCAAACAACGTGTCAAACAAGTATCGACTGAAGCACTTGAAAACGTAACACCCAGCCAAAAGTGGGAACAAACGGCATTGCTGCATCTGGTACTCAATGACGGGAAGTTCTGGGCTTCCATCCGGTCCAAATTGTCGCCTCACGGCGCTGTACCGAATAGCGATAGAAATGGCAATGCTTGCATTGGCCACGACCAAACCAACGATTCCGAATCGTGGACCGGAAAGAACCCCAAGCGATGCGCCTGGTGAGAATATTTTTATGATAATCATTCATAAATGTGTAAAATTTTAAGGCCTACTGAAGCGTTTTTTGGTATCCTTGATTGGAGAAATGTAGGTTCCTTCCGGCGTCACTGTGCCGGTCTTATCGAGCAGCCCCTCGATGTCCAGCTCGTAATTGTCGAACATCATGAAGCCATTATCCAACCCGTTGAGGCCGATCTTGGCCCCCATGTCGCCTATCGTCACTCCGGGGAGCGGATTCATCTGCTTGTCCCGAATGGGAACGACGAAGCCGTGGAGACCGTGACATTCTCCGTCCGGAGTGTACAGTTGGGCGAGGATGTATGCATAATTTGCAGTCTTACCAAGATTGGCAGACCAACATTTTGCTGCCTTTTATATACGCGATTCATTAATAACGTGCGGAGGCAACTATTTCATGTACATTATGACTAATTCAAAAAAGGTGGATACATACCTCAAAATCGGGAGTATGCAAAATGAACTTTTGTTTCCGTGTGTCAAATGTAGCCCTGGTTCTGAATGCTTTTGTGTTGGTTCTATAAAATCAAGCATTTGATGATTTACTTCTACCAGTTTCTTGAAACATTTCCAATAAAATCTCGATTACCCATGAGAAATTTCGGTCATTGCAATGCAACCTGTTAGCTAGAATGATGGCGACAATTCTCATTGCATTCGTACAACGAATAATTTTAGATATGCGCATACTTGAAGTTTCTCAGCGGCATTGATATATTTCCTGTGCTTCTCGGTACCCAAACCTCTGACAGCGTTGGGGAAGAATCCCAGCAAAATTCCTCTTCTCAGACAAACGCTCCAGTCATATTGACCAAGCGCAGTAGCAATTTCAACATTCTTAAATTAAATCATGTTTAAATTCAAGTAGTATACATTTAACAACTTATTTATTATGAGGGCGGGTATGTATTTAACCAAAATCGCTGAAACGTGTATCTACGAAAAAAACGCCAAAGCACGAATCAGGCCCGTAGCGACGTGTTGTCCGGCCTGGAGAGTTTGGCCGTGGTACGGCCTCACTATGCTCTCCAAAAATTACTGAATCCCTTATTTTATTGCTGATTTATTGCTGACCCTGATTTTACCTAGTGTATTTTATTGCTGACCTTGACGGTACGGCCCCTTGGGCTGTACGGCCTGGAGAGTGTCTCTCCACCTCTCTCCAGCGTCGCTACGGCGCTGCACGAAATACAGATATGCACGAAAAAAATTTAAGATACATCGCAAAATGTGTATTTCTGAGTATCCAGGATTTATCTCCGGATTTTTTGTTTCCAATTTCTTTGAGCAAAAAAACTTCGTCTCATATCGTCTAGAAATTTACAAAGTCGTCATCAAATGCAAAAGTTGAGAAATAAATACATATCCGCCCTCTGATTATTATGAAGTGGCTAACCAAGCGTGGGTTAATATTTTTGGGAATGAACTCCTGAAATCTGAAAACTTTTTTCAAAGTGGATATTCGATGTTCTTCCAAAGATAAGTCGACAGGGGAATGAGCAAATAAGGGATCTTGCTCCATCTTTTTCCATAATCCGTTCTGTGGTTAAACAATTATTATAAAACTCAAATATTCACTGTATTTTGGGTTGAGTTGAAAGAATCGTACCTTTATTCGAATTGCTTCCTCATCGTCCAGAGTAGAAGCCATTTCCCTCCAATTAAACGAACATTGCTTCCGGTAAACGTCCAATGGGCCGGATTTACTGAAATCCGGAAGCACATTTTCCAACGGTTCAGACCAATCAATTTCAGACTCAATTTCTTTCACCATCTTATTATTTTGAGCGAACTTATTGTTAGTTAGAATTTATGTATTCTATTTTCCCAAATAAATGCAGATTGATGAATGAATGAGCTGTGATAAGCACATTTTACTCGTGTGACAGTACATTAAAGAAATTCAAGGACATATTTATCTTTGAGCTATGTATGTATATGATAATATGATATACAGCTTGATGCATTTAACCTATGAATTTTGTACCATAATATCATGACAGTCTGAATTGTATTTACGTATGTATTTTAAGGTCAAAGGTTAACAGTGAATAGTGCTCGTGTATGTAATTCATGCTGAAATTAAAACACAAAGAAGTTTCGCAGAATCCAATCAACATGTTTGTTCACAATATTTAAAAAACATACCGTCATTCTATAATTAATCAAAATTGACAGGCAATTAGTGCCCATTTGTAGCATTTGGGCGGGTTCGCTTGCTTTTATTACGCGCATAGATTTCGGAGAAAGTCCAAAGTGGGAGTCTACCATAGATCTTGCATATTAAGCAGATGGTACGAGTCATTCCTTTGTGGACAAAGGAGGATACTTTGGACCCTCAGGATTCAGAGGACGCGTACCTTATTGGACCTCTGGAGTGAGCTTGCGCGCCCTTCGAATCGTCAGCCAGCCTAAAATTGTGCTGAGGTAGTTAGCATTTTTAAACTCTGTTAGAATATTTTATCCAACAGTTTGATTAGAAAACGCAGCGCACATCAAGTGTCTTGTCCCACATTTAGCATTGGGGTCATAGGTCACGTGATGCGCGTTCCTGGGCAAACGTTTGGATAAAACTATAAAACTTCTAGCCCATTGGACTTTACCTACAACTATCATGAACGAATTGTGTCCTGCATTGTTCCTAATATAAAAAATATAGATACATTTATGAAACATGATTTTACTGTAAGCATAAAAAATAATTTTATTCTCTATACTACATTTTCCCAAGAAATGTAACCATTTCCTCTTTCCAGCCAGCCCTTTATCATGCTTCAGAATCAAAGGGTTTTCTAATAATCCGAAAATCTCGGGCTTTCTTCGGATTTTATATAAAATCTCTCCACGCGTGCAGGTGACGGAAGTGAAGGAACGGAAATTATATTTTCACAGACTTTCGTTTCGTCTCCTCACCCAGAACTTTCTCCCCGAACGAGTAGAATTTCAATCCATCCACGAAATGGAATGGGAGAGAAAGTCCAACTACTCGTACTGCAGCAGAGAAAAAGAAAGAAATGGAAGCGTAATTGTATTTTGTCCTTTGTCTCAGACAATCCAATCCCAATCGTCCAGAAGCGCATCAATCCTTACGTCGTGTCGCCATCATAATATCCTTTTTCACAGGCTTACGTATGTATGTACATACATTATATTCTGGCTCTTTCACTGAAAATCTTCAAAGTTCAACCGTCCCAACGAATTGCGACTAAATATTGGGCAGAAAGTTACTCTGACGATGCATGCACATTGACTGGTTGTAAATACGTATGCAATGCATACATACTATATGCATAAGGTTTCTCCATCTTGTAATAAAAATGTGACGAAGATGACAACTATATTTTGCATAAAAGCTGTACAAAAAATAATTAAATGAGTGATTGATTTTACTACTTATGTAGGATATTATTTTATATTAAAATAAATGACCTTTATATGTACAAATTGATGCAATCAATTTCTGAGCTACTTAATTTTTACCAATAATTTATTAGATTGATGGACCATATAGACTATGCAAACGCTGTAAGAACACGCTGTTATGCTAGCATGGTATTGGGAAGTTTATTTTTTGTGCGATAAACAATTCTGAAAATGCACGACATATCAACTCGTTCTGAAAATCCTGTCTCATTTGCATCGAGTCGTCATCGTCATTATCACCCTTAAAAGCCATCCAATATTACAGAGGGCACCCAGACTAAATACAAAATGCCTGCATTCTAAACGGATGAGTCACAATTACAGGCTTGAAATCGTTCCATTTTACTTCGGGTGGCCTCTGCACATCTTCTCGAGATTTTCCCTTGATCACGATGATCACTACAAGTGGAAAGCAAGATTACTTTTGATGCAGGCAGTGGTACACATCTTCATTCCCTTATTCGTTCATTTTCCATGCTATATACGTACATAGGCAATAATGACTACCAAACTGTAGAAAATGTGGGCTGGAGAGAGGAAAGAAGATCTCGAGTAAATCCCATCTTTTCACCAAAATCATTCAGCACAGACACGGGAGACTTGAGTCAGAAAGCGAAAGTCATCATTCTTTCTTTTCAGACGTCGTCATCGTCACTGCCGACCACAGACCACCACCACCACGCCCCGATAACTTAATTCCGACAGTCTCCAGACAAGAACATTTCTCCAGGACAAAATCTGCCATAAAATCCCACCGTTCAAGAGGGCCGAGTCTACACCCAACCAACCATCATGCCTGATTGACGTTAACAAGAAGAAGAGTAAGCCCAACCTTGAGATGAAATGTGGACCTCCAATTTATTTATTCCCTACATACCTTTCTCCCTCTGGACACAATATGTGCATCGTAAGTATCATTTCACACCAGGTGAAACTTTTAATTGCATTTGTAATGATGGTAAAATTACAGCGCAATTATGGATAATATGTATGAGCCTATAGTGTTTTTATGAATACAGCAGAACGACAAATATTAATAGCGTGTGGGTTGCTTGCATTTTTGCACACAGACTTTTTATAGGTCTGGGTATGACTACAGGACACGATGGACTGTCAGTGTGATTACTTTTCTTGTTGTGTTATGGTTATAATAATGTCACGTATCCCTTTGGGGAAAGCTTTCATCACACCATCAGCACCACCACCACCATCACTTTTGCTTTGAACATGCTCATCTCATCCTCCTCGCCAATCCGATCTCTCCCTCAACCCCAAGTGAACTTCTTCTTCTCCGGGGAGAGAGAAAGCAAAGCAAAGCAATATCCACCAAAAAACCAACAAGCCATGCACATCACCCTCGTGCCCACGACCGACACACGAAACGATACTGAATTCGATCCATCCATTCCCCATCCACGTCCGACACATCCATCCAAGCTGCACGGCCATCCATGGAGGCCACATGGATTCCGATGTAGGATGGACCCCCTTTAATTATCACTTTCAAATTTGATGACTTTCTTATGTCTAGCCAAAAGTGAAAGTCCTGCAAAATAGCGTAACCAAATTCATACCGAGTGCAAAATTGTAAATTACTTTTGGTCCTTTAAGTTCTTAGATAAACCTTAAATGTTCAATGCTTTATCACAACATGCATGTTTTCACAAATCTGGTGAATTTCTCCCATAATATGTACTACATACATATCCTCATGGGTTTGCTGGGAAGGACTTTCTCCCCACATCTCTCTCACTTTGCACTCTCTCCCAACTTTCTCCACTCATCTCTGTCGAGTTTCGGCTTTGCAGGGAAAGTAGAACAGGTCGGACTCAACAGTCTGCCTGGCTGGCTGGAGTCTGTCTGTGATATTCATAAAATAAAATGAAATAACACAACGCAGAGTCATTTTCATTTCATTCCTCCCTTGCTAACCGACCTGCAGAAGCTACCTTCATAAAAATCCAATTAACATCTGCCCCTCAATTTAGAGCTTCTCTCCGTGTGGGAGACAAACATACGTTATTAACAACACACGTACGTATGTGGATATATTTCAGGATCAGTCGTCAGTGTCACCCAGTTTATTGCTGATTGTATTTATTTACTGTGGGGAAAGTAGGGCTGTAAAATTGGCGTAATTATTTTCCTTGCTGTGCGTACGAGGGGGAATATTTTGAAGCTTGATCTTTCCGTAATTTCTGAATATTTTGCCAATGCTAAAAACTATAATGGCGACAACTTCAAAAAAGGCCCGGAAAGCGGTGCCCGTCCTCACGCTACTCATTCCTTTGTCCGCACTCATCTCCGTGGTCAATGTCGCAATTGCAATGTCCACAAGCAATTGGCTGGATTCTGCGGAGAGGATCCCCATATCCAATACCTCGTAAGTTATTTATATTTGCAAAAAGATAGCTTTTTTAATTAATTAATTTTAATTATAAAAAATTGTGATTCAGTTTTATGGAAGAATTCATGATCAAACGAACAATCTCTGGATTGTGGAACTTGTGCACGTTCAACCTGACTGAGAAGCAACAACGCGACTCTGTTTCGAGAGGTAATAATAATAATAGCAGTTATTACTAAATATGCAGTTAAATAAAGTGACGTTATCATGGCTTATCTAACAACGGAGGTCTCCCAGCGTGAGCTGTGCTCACAGATTTTGACAAAAATTAGTACTAATCGATCACAAATTTAATTAGTGTGACATTTGCAACAGGTCCGACCTCCCAGTGCGCAAGTTTGGCAGGGATATTTGCATCTGAAGAGGAGAAAGCGCGCAGTAAATTTGCGAAGTGTAAAATGTGTCAAGTTTAGGGTGTACTTTCTCCTTGTCGGGTGCAAATATCTCCGCCAGACGTGCGCATAGGGAGATTGCATGGTTTGCAATTCCACATATTTGTGATGGATTGGCACTAATTTGGTCAAAATCGGAGAATATATGGAGACCTTAGCTGCAAAGTGTATTGTAAAATGTAACTGATTGTACATATGTATTTCCAGTTCCGTCGGACTTGATGAACTGCAGCTCTATTGAATACTTTGTTAAAGATCGCTACACTTCTGACCCCAACGATTCTACGAACGCTATACGATGTAAGTGATGTTATTTTTATGAATTTATCAAATACATACCTAAATAAATTCACAATGAGTGTTTACTTACACGCAGTTGCGGTTACAAAGGCTGGACCTCTGTTTGTGATTGCTTCAATTATGTTGGGATTCGCAGTGATCGCTGCGATATTTGGGTACCAGCGGCACCGACGAATTGCCCTGTTCGTATCAGGAATCGCTTTCATTATAGCTGGTACTTAATAATCCATAAATGAATATGCATAGTTATCCATTTTAAGACATGCAATGACCAAATTCTCTCCATTCTGTAGGTCTCATGCTTCTCATAGGCCTCGTTGTCTACTTATCAGCTTTACAGTCTGAAATTGGTAATTTTTCAAAAGTTTAATTAATATTTAATTAATATTAGCCACTTCGGTTTGCCCTCGATCATCCGATTTGTTACTAAAAATTTGCAGGACCTAAACTTCGCCCCAAAAACTCAGTGGATTTGCCCCAGTTTTCATACAAGTATGGATTCTCCTTCGTTCTGGTTGTGGTTGGATTTATGGCGACGGAATTGACTGGGATTTTGGCCATCTTTTACTACATATATTGGCACCAGCTCGACTGGACTCAAAAACTGGGGTCCACCAACGACTTGATGATGGGAAATGGGAACAACAGCTTAAACTTGCGCAGCAGCAATGTGGGGGAAGGAATGGGTGGGAAATCTTGTGACGCAGCCTCATTTCGATGTCACTCGCGTCACCATCAGAGCAATTCGAAGCAGGGCTATAAAATAATGGACATTTACAACACGTCCAAAGTAGGGCCTCACAATCCCTCCTGCAATGCATATCTTCTAGACAAAGACATTCCTTACCCGCCTCCCCCGCCCCCGTCGTCCATGCCCCGTGATTACACGACCCTCACGTCATGTTCGGACGAAGAAGGAAGCGTCATGTTTCCACCCCCACCGGCCCCCTCAATGGGGAGGAGTAGCAACAATAAGGATGGGCGAAACACGTCCACGACCACAGTGTGATATTAGGCTTGGGAGTCTCAGCTTATATAATTGATAAGCTGTCTCCATAATGCGCAATTTTTACCATATAAATACATAGGTATGTATGTAAATAATCCAACCTTACCTTTATTCATTGAACTATGAATTGTATTCGCAGAGTATGCGTTATCATTTTATACATATGCATAATGGTTAGAAGAGAAAGTACTAATATTAAATTAATTATAGAGATGCAAAATGAAAGTCACATTTCTTGCTGTACAATTCTTTTAGCGCAATTTCAGTATGAGTGTCCTTAAAATTGTCAAATTTGTAAAAACGTAGCAAGTTCATGTATGTATGTAAATGAGTGAAGAAGTTTTGTGACAATCGTAATCTTAAGATTAGTACTCATGTATTTACGTTTGGTTAGTCCAAGATTTGTACAGATATGATATTTCGTCGGTAGAAATATTGTAGCGTGGAAAATAAAGCATGTATGTATAAGAATAGTACATTTGTAGTATTAATTCGATATTACACGTGTAGTTTTTAGCCCGAGTCAGGGCTTAATAGGATGACCCATACTGATTTTTCCAAAGTTATCATATCGAGCTGAAATTTCGTAGAGAGGTCTTAATTGAAGAAAACAAAATGATCAAACACGGTCGTAGCGATAAGTGCAGTATACAAACATGTCGACAACACAATGGAGGAGATTGTGTCCAAAAATGGTGCAAATCGGATAAGAAATGGATAAGTTATGGCGAAAAAAAAATTGAGACAGGTTGTTGCGGTGCAGTGAGATTTGGCTGAACGGGTCCCCGAAAAGTGAGAATCTGCACGGCCATTGACCTCGTCAAATCGCTTCCATCTCAAAATTCTGCCTTGCAGATTCTCAGTTTTCGGCCACAATTTTCAGCTAAATTTCACTGCACCGCAACAACCTGTCTCAAATCGTTTTTCGCCATAACTTTGTCATTTCTTATCCGATTTGCACCATTTTTGGACACAATCTCCTCCATTGTGTTGTCGACATGTTTGTATACTGCACTTATCGCTACGACCGTGTTTGAATACAAATTGAATGAAAAATCGAGCTGAAAGTTGATAAAGAGGTTGTTTGTGGGTCTTAATAGAAGAATACGAAATGGAATTGATGCAATTTTTATCTAGAGCGACCCTATGTTGTGAGTGGCCCATACCGATTTTCAGAAATTTCTTTAAAAACATTACATCCGGCACAATGATGGCTTCATTTATCTATGCATGAATTATGTTGACTTTTTCCTAATTTTCTTAATTTAAAAAACTATACATACAGACAGACCTTCGTACTGATCACATATATATTCTAGTCTTAAGAATGCATAATGAAATGATGCATGACAGAGGTAACTTTATTAACTGAAAACATATTTTGCTTGTCACCGGCTTAGATACATGAATATGTACATTCATAACAAGAAGACGCTTATTATTATATAGTTACAAAATAATTTCAAGGAATCATGAAACTAAAAGGATGTGTAATCGGTCCACAGAATTAATGCTATTACACATGCAGTAATAAAATGTACATCAACATAATTGACCAATTAATCCATCTTGCTGCTGGCTGCTGCAGCACTCTGCCGTCTTCCAGCTTGTCTTTTTTCGTCCACTACTGCCACCCGGAATGGGGTCAAAAGTTGATTCAGACCTGCAAAAAATAATTTAACGTGATTAGCGTAACGCGACAGGACAAGTGGGCAGGCAGTGCAGTATCACCTTCTCTCTTCAGGTCCTGCTCAACAGCCTGCAATTCGTCCAACTCTTCTCCGCTGCAAAGGGGTGTGTCCACCTCGTAAAATGAATTAAATAAACTGTAATCCACCGAATACTCGCCCAGTTCTTTCTTGAAGGAAACCAACGGCTCGAACCGATGACCCCACAAAATTTCTGCAAAAATAGATCCATGATTACGATCAAAGATAACGCTTACGGTATGCACATATCGTCCCTGTTCGTGCATAAGTTGTCGGCTGAAAAACCAGTTGGAAAACTAATAAGTTGTGGGGTGAAAATGTGGGGAAAACGTTACACAATATTATACTTATAAAGTCTCATATCTCCCAAAAAGGGATCCGACAACTTATGTTTTCTGGTTCTGAAGGCGACAACGTCTCACTAGTTTCTCAACCGATAACTTTTTCACGAACAGCGACGCAAAATCGTATCGCTTGTACATAATTCCCGACCTGAGGGCAAGTAGGATGTTCGAGCTTGTGTTGTCGCTCCCGTAGATTCAATGACGCCTTCGAGAATTACGACAATTTCAAATTTTTCACGGGCTAAATCTGCAGCAGAGATTGTATAGAGTGGACTGTCTTTGTCAATTTGATGGACAACTACCATTGGCCAGATGAAAAAAATGGCTTGCTGGTCGCTATCCACCCCCACTTTTAACTCATGCTGGTAAAACGGGAGCACTTCTCCTTCCATCGTACTCCGACGTTTAATCAGTTGAGCTCGAACAGATGCGCAGATAATGTGGCTCTGAAATGACAACGCAGTTTTTTATACAAAAGTTGGATTGGATGAGGACTGCATTCCAATAAGTTCTTTGATAGATTATACATTACCAATGGAACATTGTTTCAAGCTACACCGGGTTTGTCTACCGAGTTATGTCATGTGATTCCTAATTTTTGGCCAGATTTTTTGACATAATTCGCTGGACAATCCCGGTGTAGCTTGAAGAAAGGTTCCGTTGAGACTACCTTTCGCATATCTCCGACCCTCAACATGAGACAAAGTGAGCCATCCCTTTGACATATCACAGCATACTTGCTAAACATGAGGGTTTGAGTGCGCTTCTTGGGGCGACTAATTTTGGAAAATACGACACCGACCATGACTGCCTACAACAGATTCATTGTATTCATATCAATTTTTTAGCATGTCATATTTTTAGTTTAGGAAATATGCATGTACCTGAATTATGACTCCTAAAATGGTTTGAACACACTGAAAGAAAGAGAAAATCTTACTGTCAACGAGGAGAAAACACTTGTATTACAATTTGAAATTTGTATGTACCATGACGAAAATTGCGTCTGGACATTCGGTGGTGGTATATCTAAAACCGTAACCAATTGTGCTTTGAGTCTCCAAAGAGTACAGAAATGAGCTTGTGAACCCCCAGAAGTTGGCTATACACGGACTCCAACCTGAACAGAGAGAGACTCGAAATGTTAATCACCAGTATAGAAGGTACATATGTAAAACTTTTAACATTCTGTTCAACTGTTACCTGACGTTTCCTGATTTTGTGGCAAATTTTCCACTTCCAAATCCCCATGACTGAGGGAGATGGACCAGTAAATTATTGCAAAAAATGTCCAGGACAGAAGGAAGCTCATCGTAAATATTAGGAATGTCCATCGCCACTGGAGATCGACAAGCGTTACGAAAATATCCGCTAAATATTTTCTCCTCCTCTTGGAAATGTTAGTTTGATGAAGATTACAGTCCCCATTTTTAAATACGACCCTTTTCCTCATCCGACCGTATCTAAAAAAATCAACGTCAAACATGCTGGAAATCATAAGGCGAAATTTTTGTTAGAAGTAGTGCTCGACGACTTACTTGGAGCTCATGCGGTTCCTAATTTTTCGAAAAGTCGTGGAATCCACCGTGCTCGTGTCGGTAATCGTATTTTCATTATTGTTCGTGAGCGTATTTCTGTACAAGGACGTGGACATGGAGTCCATCGAAGTAATGGTGTCTCCACCACGGAGAGCCACGCTCTGAAATCTGCTAACCCCTTGATGAGTAGTGGTCGTCGCGATTGGAACTTGGTCATCCGACGGTGTGGAGGTGGAGGGGCTGAAGGCTAACCGTTTCCCACCCCCGGTGGTTGGGGTTCGGGGACTCGGAGGTGGAGAAGGTGACGCCAAACTGCTTTTGATCATGGCTTGATTATTACTTGGGAAATTCCAGGGTCGAATGATTGACGGTTTTGCGGTCTGTTTTCCATTTTTCTTAAGAATGGAGTCCTTTTCACTCCCCTCCACTTCAGGAGTGGAGGAGAGCAAGGGTGTGGTCGCTATGGGACTGGTCGTTCCTCCAGTCGGGCTGAATAATGTGGACGAGGAGGAGGACGACGGTGATGTCAGAGGAATTTGGGATTCAATGTCGACCACTTTGTGAGACATGGTGACAAATTGTGTCAAAAATCGATGGATTAATTAAGATGTTATGCAAAACCAAGAATCACGAAGTTAGAGTCACAACAACAAGTTGCTATAAATCCGAGGTCATAAGAGTTGCCAATTTTACGACTGGAGTTATCTATCTACATAAACATTTATCTCACATGTTTAAATTCAGCTTGGCCTAAAACACCACTATTAAACAGAATGGAAACCATACGCCTTTTAGAAAATTTAAACAACTGCTTCGCACGTGAATATGTATCCGTCCGTCACCAGGAGCAATACAGTTTAAAGTTGGAATGAAATCGATATAATTATTATGAAGTATTGTTCTGATTTCATTCATTCAAGGACTGATGAGTCTGAATCTGTCCGTCCTCCGAGTCTGACATACGTGCGATAAAATTCTGCATTTATGTACACTGCTGATTATTCACTTTAACTCATTCATTCATTTACCTACATTGACACGATAATAATACGGATAAATATACCTCGAATAACTCGCCCTGCAGTTGTCACTTTTCATTACAAGCTAGACCACTTGAATCACTCCACACAAAAATCCCAATATTAACATGCAGGACGAATCACTTTAAATTTTGTCCTGCTTTTTGAAGTGTGTCTGGAAATCGTTTTTTTTTCATGGGATTGTTTTCTGTCTTGGGGTGTGCGTCTTAATTATTTTGTGAATCTTAGCACCTGTCATTACACATAAATGTTTGTGGTGCAATTAAGTGGTGAAATGTGATCTGATGAGATGGAGATGAGAGTTAAATATGTAACGGCGTGGAATGCATACAAATGTGCATGCACACGTCCTTTCTAAATAAAATCTGAAACGTAACTAAAAACTGATGTGAACATGAAGTTAGTTAACCCTTCTCCTGTGCAGTAGTTATGCATGTATACTTGATTATTATAATATTAAAAGTCGTGTGGTTTGGCTGCTGATAATTCAGTTATAACACACGGTGGGTGGATGGATGGTGGTAGCGAGGCGGTGGTTGGGGGATGGAGAATTATTTAGAACCTTTTGCTTTGCTGTAAAGAAAGAAAGAAGGATCTCTGGACCTCAAATATTATTGGATGAATGCCGAACCTTTTTATTGCTCATTAAATAAAAATCATGGAAATCTTCTAGTGTCAATAAAATAAAATTGATGTATGAAGAAGCCGTCGAACCACTTGCACTAATAAAAATTACGCCTTATTACAGCTTGTTTGATGTTGATTTTTTTTAGATATGCACCTCTCTGCGTACAAAATAAATAAACAGAGACATAAGCACATATGTACAAGTCGTATAAAAAATATAGATAAATTATATTAGCTTGTGTACAAGTGTACCTACTTGTGTACCTACATATTTACGGAAAAGTTCAAGTCAAATCATTTAAGGACACTTTATGCAATCATGGCTACATGTGTATATAACCTTTGCAATTTTTTACAAGTGCAAATTTGCGATAATTTGTAACCTTGCAAAATCTGTGTACAACGTATGTATGTTTATTAAATATTTATTACTGGTTTACAAACATTCAGGTGAATATTAGCAACTTTGTTAAACTTCGATGGTAAACATGTCACTATTTTTTTGTCCATATTTTTTTTAATTTCCGGCATAAATGCCATATTTTTTCTTAAATTTACGGATCCTGCATAAATGATGTGATGAATTTAAAAAAATTGGTGGGTATACATACATAAATTGAGGCAATTAACGCCGTCATTTGTAACATATATGTACATAAAATCTGCAAATTTTATAAAACAATTTTTTTAACCTTTTATAAAAAAAAGACACAAAATTTGTACAATTTTGTGAAAGTTTGAACGCTTGCAGAATTTACAGTTTATAATGTTACCAAAACCTGTGTGAATTTTCTAATTATAAATATGGTAATTACGCCCTTCAGATCTCAAACACTGTCGGGTTAAGATCCCCTCGAACCAATCACATCCTTTATGCACCGCCCCTCGTAATTTTACCAAATTACAAAACTAACGTCTAACTAAGATATATATTTAAATATGTACACTCACCCAACTAAATTTCACCACGAACTGAACCCCCACAATAAAAAATAGTGGGATATTTTTACCCAATAAATTCAGAAATAATTCCCCTCTCAGCCGAACCGTCCCCACACTTGGCGTCATGTCGAACGATGAGGAACGACTAACACACAAAAATATTAAAATAAACTGCAACCATGACAATGGCATAAATTTGTCACTTTTAATTTTAGACGACAAAAGTAACATGATGGACACGTACATATACATAATTACAAATGTCATGCTTGATTGACGCGAATGCAAAACTTACTCGTCATCTTCTCGCCTGGTTCTTTATGCGTGTACCCAACACAGATTTGTGTTTACATATATTTGTATACAATTATTTTTTCCCGTCGTTCATGTGAAAGTAAATAAATAAATGAGCAAATCAGTGACAACCAAATTCGGACTGAGATTTATGGGTGTATTGTTTTTTTCACTCTGAGACGCGTCTGGTTTGACCAATCTGTCATAAATGGTGGGTCATTACTCGACACTTGTAGTTTTCATGGGATCCACTAATAAATAATGTAAATATGGAGGCGAAGCTGTGAGGAGGTTGGTTATCATAGAAGTAAATTTCACACTGCGTTAAATCTGAAAATTTACAAATAATTTCTCAATTTTCAAACACTACTCCGTTGAGACGAATGTATGTGTATACATATGTATGCACGTACATAGGCACAAAATGAGCAATGGTTCGTATGTAGGGATAACAAATTCAAAACCAACTTAAAAAATTTATCTAACTCACGAAATAAAATTTCCGGCTGGGCTAGGTGAACCGCATTTAGAAAATTTAGAAAAACAAGCGATTTGTAAATATTTATGTACATACATATGGGCAGGCATAACGAGCTTTGTAAAGAAGCGAGCTTGATTAATAAATAAATAATAATAATAATATGCAGAATCGAGCTCAATGTAGAATTTGTTATGTAATTCTAAATGCTAAATGAAACTTTATTCATGCAAAGGACGAACATACACAGTACTACGTATGCAAGTATGCAACTGTGTCTAATGTTGATTGACACTGCCTAAGTACATATGCACCTTCCTCCTACCTTCGAAGGAGCAGGTGAAAAATGGTTTACTAAAATGTGACTTTTATGTGCAATAACAATCTTTAACAACAAACTCGCATTTCTTTTATTCTCGGAGGAACAATGCAACGTGTATGACCATCAAACAAGCAGCATGTGCATACAGATATTTGCCAATGCTTAATTTCATATTTATTCATTATGTTATATATTATTGTGGTTTTTAACATGTTTTAACTGGTGTTTCGTCCACCCCCAACTTCATATGCATATGTACATGCACAACAACAATCTTAATCATTCTATGTTTGTACATTGTCAACTGTCGTAATTTAAATATTGTCTTTTTCTCAGCACAGACACGTACACGAAAATCTACTTCCACTGACAATTCCGGTCCACATCCTCCTTGAGACTCTTGTCATATTGATAAGATTGGTACGCATACGCCTCATTGGGTAAATGATACTTTATTGAATGGAAGAAAACCAACTGTTAGCTTTAAGAGAAAATAAAATAAAAATCAAGAGCGCGATTAGAAGCAATTGTGTGGATAATAGCATATAAAATCCTTTGCTAACTTTAGCCAAATTTAGAACGAAATTAAGTATGCAACTCGATTAAGCAGCTCGTTTTAAAATATGTAACCTGATTAAGCTGCTCATTTGCAGCTCATTTATAATTTTGTTACACAATTACCTAGCTAACTTAACACTCCATCCACACTCTCACATGGCTCTCCCAAAGGTTCGTTTGGACAAAGAAATCTCAACTCAAGATTATGTATTCAGCACTATTCAACCATCTGCAAACTTATTTCGTAAGCAACACCTCTTCACTTACATATTCTAAAATATTTACATTTTACTCTCCTTGTTCATGACATGTACTTACTTGCTTGCTATTCATGTTCATAACAACAGAAGACGTCTGAACATTGAATGCTTCATGTGGATGGACATTTCACTCATTTTGCAATGAAACTCAAACTCTTTGTTGTTAATATTTTTCTTTACACTTTGCACATGGAAAACCACGAAGTTCCAGACAGACTTTAGCCCTACTGGAAGGTCATGCACATGCTTATTTATTAGATGTCGTTATTACAGGAAGCTATAAACCAGAGCAGAATTTCTTCTAATCAAATAACAACTACAACATATTACATGTCACCATTGAACAAAACTAAACCTCCACTCCATCCATACATACATGCAGCTCGGTCTCTAATCTCGCCAGAAATTCAACCCTGCATCAGACGTGCTGTGCCTATTATATCAAACTGAATGATTTGATAAACTGTTGTTCCAAAGGAGCTTTGGCCTGTGAAAACGAACCAGTAATAATTTTGATGTCTAAAATAGATGAACTGTGAATTATGAGGATTTTAAATTTAGCACTGGGCTTTAACTTTGAAAAGGCAGCTACTCCATCGTTTCAAAGACTTTAATTGTGTAATTAATGGAATTGGATATTGTGATATGGGCTAAACTATGTATTGCAGCTCAAAAATTGGCGGTGCTTTTGTGATGCCATTCAACGCGTCAAAGTGTCGGACACTTTAACTCGTGTTAGTGTCAATCTGTCAACAAAATCATGCTAGGTTCAAAGATTTTAAGCACGTGTAATTTAATCTTCCATTTACTCAGATTTTGTAGCGGAGAAATCTTATTTACACATTGGTATTTGATATGTGTGGGTATAGTTCGTAAGTACAAGTAGAAGTGTACTTGTTAAAAAAGTAAGAGTTATGGGGTTATGTTTTCTAATTTTCTGGGTATGTAAATGAAATCAATAGTAAAAGTCATTTTTTTTAGATCTATACAACTAACAATGGAGCGTACGCTGTCCGATTTTGACCAATCTAGTATCACTCAATCACAAATAATTAACACGAATTTTGTAAAAGACGCTATCTCCCAACGCGCACGTTTGGCAGAGATATTTCATTGGCAAATCCTGACTTTTGCCAATTTCAAATTAATTTTTGTGATCGCTTGACACTAACTTGGAGAACATACGCTGCGAGACCTCCGTTATAAATATGTACATACATATGTAAATATATACGTAGATTAATATCTGTATACCAGATTGGTTTACACCCAGTCATCAATTCTAATGTATTTCAACCCCCACTTTGATTAGAGAAAATTCTAGTTTGATTTGGTTATAATAATGAGTGTTAAATCAAGTTTATGACGTGACGTGCAAAAAAACAAGGGGTTCTTAAATTAAATTCTATTCTTCTCCATAATCATTCACTCGATCGATCGATCGGTTCTTGAATATTGATGGGAACAAGGTACAAGATTTTGGTTCAATTAAGCCTGCACTGGAGCTGGACAGACGGTCGCAGTAAGACGAGTTTATTGTTCACAATCGAGAGGAGATGAGATCATGATGCAATTCATATTTATCGTGCAAAGAAGTTCAGCATCACGCCGAAGCAAAAAATTGCATATACGTGGGTGTTTTATTATTAATTTTCAAAATGTATGTTCCACACTGTTTCTGACCAAACTTTTGATGAAATAACAAACTTCAAATACTTTTAGAATGCTGTGATTTTTTTCAGTTCTGTAGGTTAACATTAACACTAGCAATAACTCATTAAAATTTACCTCGAAAATATGCCAAAATTTACGACTTGATTTCATTATCATCCGAAAACCGTTTTCCCCTGATGTTTTTCTTTAAGTTTCGAAACGAATAATAATCACTAAGGGTCAAGTCCGGACTGCACGGGGTGTGGTTTGTGCAGGTAAAGCGATTTTCGTCTGCACTAACCCTCGCAAAAAGCCAGGTATGAGGTGGCGCGTTGTCGTCTAAAAAAAGGCCAACTCTTTATTTTGACCCCACGTTTCTTTTCAACCGGAGGACGCAGCTCCTTCGGGGTTCCTGCATACACGGCCCCATTTATTGTAGTATTTACAGCAATAAATTTTATAAGGAGGGGACCTTTGGTATCCTTGAAAGTGGTCATCATCATTTTTTTGTCAGATTTTTGCACTTTTCAATTCACGGGCGGTGGCAACCCCTCGTGCTTCCAATGAGGGAATTATTATTTGGTCACCGGGTCATAATAGTAAACCCAAGTACCATACGCAACTAATAAAATATTGAGCAGGTTCAAGTCTTCATTTAATAGGTTAAAATTGGCATTGCAAAAGTCGACTCGATCCTGTTTTTGAGATGCTGAAAGCAATTTTGGTACCCAACGGGCGGAAACCATTTTCATACCTAAGTCTTCAGTTAACATGGAACAAATTGCTGGTTTTGAAACACCCATCTCATCTGCTAAATAGGACAGTTTCAATCGCGGATCTCTCATTATTTGTTCCTCTAGTTTCCGGAGCCTTTCTGTGGAAGAAACGGATTTTGAGCGTCCTGGCGACTTTTTGCCCGAGACCTCGTTTCGCCATCATTTAAAATTATTGACCCAATTGAATTTGTGTTTTGTGTTGGGCAGTCTTCATCGTAAATTTTAAGGATTCAACCATAAATCTGCGACACGTATTGCCGATCCAGCATTAAAAATTAAATCACACTACGATATTTAATTTGCAAATCTAGCATTTTTTCCGTCGAGGTAAAGTTTGCCGATTTATTGCTAGTGTTTATGTTAACCCACAGAGCTGAAAAAAATCACAGCCTCCTAAATGTATTTGAAGTTTGTTATTTCATCAAAATTTTGGTCAGAAACAGTGCGGAACATACCTTTTGAAAATTAATAATAAAACACCTACGTATTTTAATAACTATCGAGCAATCGAATCAGCCATCCTTATGACTGGTTCGAACGGAAATTCTTCGCACATGGTGGTTTCTTGTGCTTGTCAGGATTCTTCATCTGCTGGTGTAGAGCCCAAGACAAAGATGCGATATAATTGAGAGAGGGACATGTCTACGCATTATAACAACTTAATTCGTACTGGTGGTGGTGAATCGAAATCAATTGTATTCACATTTTGGAATGTGCATGATAATGTTACAAGCTAAATTTAGCATCTTCACGGCGAGACGAGTAAGATTCTTCATTGCACAAACTGCCAAATCTTACTCTGGGAAAATCATGTTCCTCGACTATGGCCCTATTTTTCGAATCCCTCATCCAAGGGATGGCCTACATAAATATTCCCGTGGATCGCTTGTCCCTGACCTATGAGCGAAAATCGACTATGTTTACATGCTTCATAAATCTATACATATAAGTACTAATTGTAACTATATTTCTGTTAGTTAGTACAATACTAATGTCAAAATTAATTATTAAACCAAGACAAACTTTCAATTCTAAGAATTTGTTTCTTTGTTCACATATTTATAAATTTATTCCACTCACCTAAGAAATACGAGATGTGTTTGTATTATGTACAAATATGTATGTATGTATATTGAGTAAACATGATGGACGGACGAAATAGGAACATGTACATACCTACAATATGCGGCGATAAAACTGTTTGTACAAAAAAATCAACATGAACACGTGCCTCTTATTCTCTTTACATACAAATTGAAAAAGATGATAATTAGCGTCGGTTGAAGTAGTTGAGCCACTAATGTCGGTTGAAGTTACCAAATACGACGATTTGTGTACCGGCATGTCACATGTAAAAAAAATACTGAAAAAATAATTTGTAACTAGTTAAACCCTTTTCATTTCAAATTGAAAGCTAAACTGAATACATATTCCAGTCAACAATTAAATGCTTCTTTGCATGCGAGTGAGAATCATATCGTGAATACTACAGCTCTGGTAATAATAGCCCGACAATGACATGTACAGCAGAGATGAGAGGTATGTAAATACATAGATGGCAAGGATGCGTTTCAATTGTAGCAATGAGATCAAGCCAAATTAACTCAATTAGCTGGATGTGCAATCTCTTGCATATCTAGTGTATTTATATTTATTCAACGATTATTACTGCCAGTTATTCACCAATTGCTATATGTATCTCGTTGACTGGTTAAAAGCGGATTGTTTGCTGTGCATGTTCAATCAGGACGTATGACAAGGCTTGGATGGTACGTACGTATGTATACAAATTAAATTGAAAATATGCATGTAAAAGTCTGCCTGGTCGAAAATGGCATGACCAGTGTCTGCATAAAAGGGGAAACACAATCTAATAAACATTAATGAAAAGCAGGTCAATTAGTCGAGTCTCTAACAAAGAAGGTTTAATTACGGCCATTTTGCAATTTAAATTTGTTTAGTACTTACAATAGTAAATTTGCGGTTCTGTTATTAAGACTTGTAAGAAGATTTTGCATGTGTGATAGATATGGACTAGTTTTCAGTTAGGAGGGTGGTAATTTTCCAATGAGACGTGCAAAATTACCTTCTTGCTTCAATAATTGTGAGGCTGGGGTTTATGACGGGGATGAATTGGTAAATTTATTAATTTCCATACGTATGGAGTGAAATGCACAAAATATGCAGCAAGAAAAACTGAAGTTATATTGGGAAATTTCCATCTGTTGTCTGTGGGCTTAATTCTGGCCGGAAGTGTACAGATAAATGGATGAGCAGTTCGTTCTTGATGCTTTTTAACCCATATTCAGGCATAACTTAAAAGATGGATTATCCGAAATTGGGAGATTAAAAAAAAAGGTTTTAGATTTATCCGATATTGAAAATTTTTCATGAAACCAAATTTTGGATTTCTCCGATTTCTACAAGTTTTTGTCAAACAAATTTTAGTGAAAGCGATTTAGTCTAAACTTGTGTCAACTTTACAGTATAGGCCTTGATCTCCAACTTATTTCCCATAGTTTTTCCCTGTAGAACAAAATATCCACAAGTTGGCTTTTCAACTGGACAAACTCGATGCTACGTCATCCCAAACCCAAGATGTAATCATTTTAAAAATTATTTTGTATAGTTAGGTTGTCTGATTTCCGCTGCAGATATAAACAATCATCTCTTGGCTGGAGCAGGTGGTTATCGAGATATGCACGAGTGAAACTAGTGCACAAAGTATAACAAATTTCCATCCTAACCTTTTACGTCATCTTAATTCTTTCACATTGAAAGTGAAATGAATAATATTGTCCGTGACGAAAATAGAAACGGAAATTACCCTTTTTCACGAGCAGTATTGTATTCATACATATTTAGTTTCACTTGCTCATTTTTGTAGAGAAATCATTTTTAAGCCCATTTATTCATATAGTTCATATGCTCATAATGCTCATATTGTTCGTGGCTTTGTGAATGGAACAGCTTATTTTAAAGCACATTTCCCAAATAAATGGGACGAAAACTCCAGTGCCCAAAGCCAAAACCACGATTTTTTTTTACTAAATATGGAGAGAATAAATTTATTTATTTAAAAAATAATAATTTTAATTAGTGCAGACAAAAATATGTTTAGAGTGTGTTATAACAAACTTGCATTAAACTAGTCTAATCGACTGAATATGATTTGAATAAAGGTATTGGTTTAAGGCTTGGGGCGCGGCTGAAATTCATTTTTAGCCGTGGTCCCATCAAAAGTGAAACGGGGTTTAATATAATCCTGACTTACAGCGGAAATTACGTAAGTTTCAGTTGCAAACTTAACGCATTTTTTAAATAAGTGCCACTATCATTGGAAGGATGAGTACATATAATCTTATCATATCGTGACTTGAACATGACTTATGGCTTCAATTAACCGTTCCACTTTTGCTTCAAAGCCTTTTATTCAACTACACAGCATAGAATGTCTGGTCCCTCCGTTGAAGGAAGAAGCCCTTATTTAAAGGGATCCCCATATCACGTATCCAGGTAGAAAAAGAACCTGTCTCGTCTCATATTCTTATTATGTATTTGTGAGACTATTACATAAAATGTAACATGCACATAATATAATACGACATAAACAAGGATAATCTCTACACGGGATGCATTTATGTATCTTATGCCCAGGATTTGTGGGAACCCTAGCTTTTCTCTGAATTATTTGAAAGGGATGGTTCGTAATGGCCTCATAATTACAAGCACTTACCGTGATATGGCATTTTTCCCTGCAGACAATAATATTGCCTTAGGGAGCGTCCATAAATCACGTGATCGACTCAAGGGGGGGGAGGGGTCTGAAATTTGTCACCAATTATCACCATAGGGGGGGGTAATGGCAGAAGGCACGTGACACGCGTGACATAATAAGCAAAGATTTTTTACTTTTGGTACTAAAACGTGCCAAGATATTTATATTTTGAATATAACGCAAATTAAATAAGTTTGATAAGATTTGCTTAGCCCAATATCTTTCACCTAAAATTCGTTGTGTGACGTATTTTTAAATTTTTGAAGTACAGTAAGCTGGCCTGTGTTTTACTTCATATTCTAGGTCGGATTTGCCAAATAAAATTTTACCTCTATAATTCCGTAATAATATCTTTACTGTGATGTCGGACATTGAATAACGATTTCTATTAAAAACACTTATCTGCATATTTAAATATCTGACATATTTGGTGTACAAACTGATCAGTATATCATTATGTTTGACAATAAGTACGGTAATACATACGCTTGTTCTCCAGACGCTAAGCATGCCAAATTACAGTTTTTACTATACATATATTAGTAAGTAATTTTTTTACATATCTTGAAATTTAATTTAATTGCAGATTTACAAAAGGCGTTAGGACATGGTTTTGACGAATTCGCGGGTGAATATCTCTGGCAGGGAGTTGAATTTTGAACTGATTTTTGGTCAGTTGCAAGATAATACTCTCAAAAAGATATATTTAAAATCTTAGGCCGATAGCTTTATAAATGCCCCCTCCAGTGCCCCTAGAGTTGGAAGGAGCCAAAAAAACACTTTCCAAACTGATTTACTCATATAGCATGATAACCTAAGAGGTCAGAGGTGAATGATTGTTAATATTACAACCCTAGATAATCATTGCATGTAATAATAAAAGAATCTACATGAATTACATAACGTTGGGGTTCAATCGTTGCTGATAATTTTTCATGAAAAGTGGTAAATCGGACCGTGCACAGGAAAATTGACCTGCTGACCTTGAAAGCGGACCCACTCGGTCAAATGAAGGTTGAGGGCAAAGTTCTAAGTGTCCCAAGTCACATTAAATTAAACAGTGAAGATTTTGTGTAAACAGTTTTGGAGAAGGACCCTAGCTAATCAGCTGACGGGGAATAGTAAAAAACTCGTGAACTAATTTGGGAAAATAATCGTCAAATTTTGTTGAAAACAAATTTTAATAACTTTTTTGTGCCCCCTGCTGCAGAACTATTTTATCTACAAGGTACATGTGACAAAATAATAAAATTATTGCGTTTTGGTTAGTTAAATTAATTCTGAAGTTCGACATCGAAAACGACGGGAACTTTTCCAAAAATTTTATAAGGTCTGATGAAAACTCAGTCCGTGGGGTATAACCACTTATCAACATTTTGTCAAAAGTACTTACAGTGCAATATACTATATGTACCTTGGATAAAAACCACGTTAGGGATTTTTAGCATCAAAGTCGTAAAATGTGGGGGCCTTAAAAGTCGAGGAGTTGCGTTCACGAGAGCATTCCATTAGGACAAGTATGAAGCTAGACTACAAAAGGGACTTAAAAGATAAGCATGATACAAAAGTGGTTTTATATAGTGAAAAGCATGCTTAGTCCCTTGATAATAGTCGCAAAAACGATTTACCACCACCAGGACCAGGACCTCAAAAAAAATATTTTGTTCAACGCCATTTTATAAGAACGCTGGTTTGGAAAACTAAAAAAGGACACCTCTCTAAATTTGACCTTGCCTCATTTCGCATAGTACACAAAATCGGAAGCCATATATGTTTATCTATAGTTTAAGACATGGGCTTTCACATAAAAAATGTTAGAAATCTCTACAACTAAATACCATCCTGCAATTAAGGTATGAATTCGTCAAAACCATGTCCTAACGCCTTTTGTAGAAAGACCCCGGAATAATATTATTAATCTACCCAAGAACATAGTTTGTAGGGAACATAGTATGTTCAACACACATAGTTTGCTTTGTGCAATTTGTCTGACTGTCACGTGACCGCAGGGGGGGGGTACTTAATTTATCATCATTGGTCACCAAGGGGGGGGAGGGGGTCAAAATTGCCTCAAAATCGATCACGTGATTTATGGACGCTCCCTTACTTGCACTAAAATTCTGAGTAGCGCATCAAGTTATTTCCTACCAGATAGGGTTTAATCATTCTTGTAAATCATTGACTAATTCGTGTGCTGGATCTAATTTGAACGGACTCCATATTCGCTTTAGCTGAAGAGTCCTAAGCTGACGACATCATAAAATAGACAGGAAAATACCAAACTTCTCACTATTTACTAGATTATTCAACCCTTCGTACCTGGTTAACTTTTTTAGCGACAGTAGAAACGTACTTCCCAACTCTTCACGGCGTTCCTTTTCTATGAATGGCTGTTGTTTTGTGCACCTGTTCCCTGATTGCCTTAACCTTAACCGACGAAGCTGAACCCAATGAAGAATCACAATAGGAGCCCTATCCGATTTATCCTTCAACTCCTTCAGCTACCTGTTGCTTCCATTCAATTCAACGTCACACACAATGTGAGACGACAAAAATGAGACACGCTAAAATATCCCATGCAACAAATCCTCCCGTTTAAGAAGTCATAATAAATATGCAGATGGGTGCCACAATATATGTCCAAAATATGCATACTAAATTGGTTGTAAATACGAAATGCCTGGATCCCCTCAACTTTAGGCACCTGTTTTTCCCTATTTTAAACGTAACCTTAACATAGACAGACTCTGAAAGTAAGCAAACCTCTGAAATAATGCGGACTAGAACACAACGGAAAACAACAATGCCCACAACACCATCAATCCTGCAACTTATTATTCTGCTTTTCTTCTTTGTTAAATAAGTGAGTTTCAGGCAGGCAGGTATATATTGCCCACCGAATCTACCCTCTCGTCGTCGTCATACCAGATAGCAAAATAGGAGGCAGTTGTAGCCAGAGGGGTTGTTGTTCTAACAGCTAAGACCGATTAAGAAGGTGCTTTATTTTATTTCTCGTCGTCGTTTTAACCCTTCTTCATCCTCTCTCACACACACATCATCATGATCATAATGGTAATAATAATAATATAATAATACCTGTTCGTTCTTGGGGTCTCCTCGCAAGAAGAAACTCGAATCTCGTAAGTAAGAAACCATCCCCAGCCGTCGTAGTACCTGTTTGCTGGTGCAGTCGAGTGCAGTAATTCTTCGCATATTTATTTATTTACTCGCATGACACTGGCTGAATTCAACGAGAAGGTATTCTGCAAGACCAATTTTGTGTTAGTGGATTGTGCTAAATTTTTTGCACGTATGAATCAAAGGAGGACTAATAATTATATGGGTTATACTTACTTCTCTTTCAAGACAAGTGATCGTCTCCACATTTTATCCAAGAGCTTGTTAAGAAAAGGGAAAAAAGTCTTTACAAGGACTGAAATTATTGGCGAGAGAGATATAAAATACTTATAGACGAAAAGAGGAAGGATAACGACACGAGAAGAGCGAGGCCTATATGTAAAAGTGTACGGTTTGCATAAAAGGAGGCCCAAGGCGAAAAGGGAAGGATTAAGATTATTAAATTGCAAAGATAGTTTTTTTTGGGAAAAAGGAAGGGTAGAAAATGTGCAGAATCAGAATAATCCAGTGCAAAAATAAGCAAGGGGGCGGTTTGCAAGTCTGAGAGCTTATTGTAAATTTGGCAGGATTATCTATTATATTGCAAATTTACTGATCGCGTTTACCCTATCCGGTTTTTGGTAAAGAATGCCGAGAAATTCTGAGGCCCTATTATTTGTGCTAAAAAGTGGTCACGAAAAATATGAAGGCTAGAGTTTCTTCAGTGTACCGAGTTTTGCCATGAGATTGAGTTTGTTGTATCCTTACAATGAACCTGTGCAAAAATGATTGCGCCTTCTCGGAAGATCAACCGCAGTACAATGGTACGGTGCAATTTCAAGATGTGATTTGGTGTGTATTTCTGAAGTAAATTACTAAATTTTCTCTTTTATCCAGTGATTAGCCCATCCAAGTCTGGCAGTTCAAATAATAATAATAATAATAACAAGAGCAATAGTCGCTACTCTGGGAAAATCAGGGCACTGGACGGACTTTGGTTAGAGTTGAGAAATGCTGCCGTGGTGGAGTCATCGTCAACGTCCGCAGAGTCAAACTCGAAGGGAAGTAACCACACCTCTTCTTCCGGTGGTGGGATGGTCAGTTGTCTCCCAATCCTGATGAGAGAGGCTTCAAGTCCCCTCCTGGGAGGTGATAAAGGAATCAGCAATGGATTCAGAATTGACTGCACGGGTCCAATCCATCGGAAAAGCCATCAAAGAATCATTTCCATTAAGAACTTGTTCTCAAATTCACCAAAATTCCAGAAAAATTTTCAAAGGTAGGTATCTACAAACCAATAACGTTATAAAATGGGGAGAATTTATGAAAGAGGCACGCTATGTGGGTAGTGGGTACATGTTATTACAATGAATGAATGGTAACGTCTAATCGTAAGACAAATCGTGGGAAATTAAGTATGCCTTCACTTTCCAATTGTCATCCTCTTAAACATGCATAGTATTTTTATTGATTTTCACACTATTTCTCCATTCATTAATTGCAGAGGCGTCTTCCTTTCATGTCTGATCTATTCTGAAGATAAAATCCTTGTGACATTGGACGATCTTTTGCCAACTTTTCAAATAGACGAAGATCTAAGCAGTTCTTTTCAACATGATTTTCACTGGCTTCACAAGGTGACATAAATTAATAATCAGACGATGCATTTTAAAGTAAGTACTGATAAACTAATGAAAAAATGTAAAATTTAGATTTCCTCGATATGGAATGATGCAAAATTTCTCAAGCAAGAAATGGAAAAGTGCGATAGTGCTTCGACTCTCCATTTCAGGGTCAAGCTACTGCAAACTGTTGTGACCATGCAGGTAAATATTTATGAGAAAATGTGACTTGTTTTATTGTATGGTTATAAATATCATATACAATTTTAATGCTACATAGGAATCCCTGGATTTGAGTGATCTTGGAAAAGTGTACTACAAACCAATTACAACGGAAAACAATAATGTCACCTTTCTCTGTACAGTCAATCATCTTCGATCCACTAAACTTGTGTCCACTCCGTGTGGGAAATGGATTCCTATCGAAAAGTATAAAGCTAAAAAAATGGTCAGTGATACGTACCAAGTTTTGAGTATTTCTTCGCAGGTAATTAATTAATAATTATGCGTTAAATATTCTTACTTTACAAGTTATCATATGACTTTGTTCCTTTAGAATTTGATGTTGTACCACCAAATGAGTAATATTCCACTGGGAAAGGGCCTATATATTGGATACTTTAAACTAGTCAGCTCAGTTGATCTGCTCAAACTCATTGTACCGGAGAAAACGCCTAGCATAATTCCATGCGTGAAAATTAGAAATAATCCACAAGTTTCAAAGTAAGTAAATCCGAGATTTCTACATTTAAATTACATTATTTTTTTATTGATTGTCCTTGTTGCAGGTCGGAATGGGAGCTCCTCACATCTTTAACCACTGCAAATCTGAATTTTATAAATAATAACGAAGTGGAGAAAGCTAGTCGTTCACGGTTGACAGAGGGACAACTTACATTCAAACATGATTTGGACTCAAGCCTAAAGAAATTATTTTCTAACTTGAAAATCGATCGAAATTCTGCCCTAAATCATAGGTACATAAATTATAGTAAACTGGATTAATTGAAACCATTGTGGAATTTTAAAATAAAATTCTATTAATATTTAGATTTTATACCACCGAAGTGATTGAGGGTATGTTGAAAATTCATGCATCAATTAATCTACCAGCGTATAGTTTCTGATTTTGCCCAAACTAGTGTGAATCGATCACAAATTGATTAGTATGAGATTTGCGAAAGACATGATCTGCGAACAGGAGAAAACGCGTCATAAATTTGACAAATTTTACATTTTCCAGATTTACTGTCAACGTGCGTTTTCTTTTCTTCGCATTGTCAGACCGTGTCTTTCGCAAAAGTCATGAATAATTAAATTTATGAGAGATTTACACTAATTTGGGTCAAAATCGGAGAGCTTACGCTAGGAGACCTCCATTGCAAGAAAAAAAACAAACTTGCAAGTTACAATTTATTAATTCATTTTTTACTCAATTTCAGTTAGCTCTTCAGTAACCCTCCTAATTCTGCTGCCCCCGATAGAAAAAGCGTGCTCAATTGAAGGTGACCCCGACGATCTGAAATGGATCGAGGATAATAAACTAATGGCACTCCCAGTTCAAGTATGAAAGACGTGTGTTAAACAAACTAACAATTATTGTGTTTAAATTTAAATATTGAACAGGTTTTCGAAATGACTCACATGCTAACGTATCATAATACTTTGGCCAGACGACTGATGCGACTAAGCTGTACTTTAGAAGTGGAAACAATTCTGGCACAGCATAATCGTCGCAAGGTATACAAGCTCCGAATTGTTCCAGGGTCGTCTTTTATTATATGATTTCTGATCATAGTGGTTTAAAATTTCAGGCATTTTCTACTGAAGAAATGTCCCATGCCCAAACCCAAATATCTACACTCACCAGATTGCAAACGAAACTTGAGCACAGTTGGAAAGAGTGTCGATGGATGATGGACGTTGTGAAAGCAGCTCGTGCGAAAGATAAGAACTTCATCAGTCTCCGAGACTTTCTCAACCAATACAATACCACGTCACCATCATCTTCGTCATCGTCATCCCCTACGAAGAAATTCAGTACTGCAAGTACAAATTGTTCATCTTCTTCATCAGCTTCTTCTTCTACTATTAAAAAATTTCCCAAAGGAAGTTATGTGAATGCGAATCAGCCATTCAGTCGACTCCAACTACAACAGTTACTCAACTTGAGACATGAATCCCAGCAGCAGAAAAAATGTGAAGAAACTAATCACAGAGGATCTTTAGAGCTTCAAGGACCTTGTATACCTTCGAACCCCAATTTTAAATTTGAATCCTGCTCAAGTCTGCCAATAGTTGGGAAGACCTCGACTACCAATTTGGACAAATTGAGAACCAGTGCAAGTTTGTTTGAATTACAACTTGGGCCAACGAACAAGAACCCTTCGAGTAGTAACCTCCACCAGAAATTGCAGCATTGCACTCAAGAATTTATGAAACTTGGGTTACACTTGAAAACTGAAGATGAACCAGACCACCATTACCAAAATGTTCAAGAAGCCCTAGAAGAGAATAAGAGAGACTTGTCAGTAGTTGATCCTCATGAGTACCAAAATCTCCAAGATTTACAGAATGAATTTATCAGATATCCGCCACCTCTGCCAACAATTTCGGTTAATAGTAATGTCCCAATGCAACTAGATTCTTACATGAGACATCAATCATCTCGAAGTAAATTAGTGAGCTTAACCACAATGACGAACAGACTGAAGGACAACCATAATGAGGGCAACAAGGGTGGAAACAGTGAATGTGTCCCAGGCACGAGTGACCCCGCAGGAGTAAGGACACTCTCTTGGACCAAGCAAAGAACAAGTTTGGATCGGTGTTTTAATATTAATAACTCAACCACGAACACGACCATGTCAAGTTCTTCAATCTGTTCGGATGGAAACAGTCATAGTCGAGAAATTCTTCACGAAGATGGAAATGAGACTGATTCTTCAACCGACGTTCGAAACAGCTCTGCCTTTGCTGTCTCGGGAATGTCTAAAATTGTCGAGGTTTATGCCGCGTACGAGTGTGGTCTTTTAACTGGGACATGCGTACGGTTACAAATTACTTGGGACACTGGCGCCAGACAAATTATTAATTTGTTGATTAATAAACTCAACGAGAAAATGCAAGTTAATCAGGATCAGCAATATCCCCAAAATGTGGATGACTTTTACTTGGGTAACATTTTTCCTCGTTACTATGATTGAATATTTTAAGCAAATTTTGTACTGTACTTTTCAGTTTCCGTAATCGGTGCAAGAGAACGCGTCCTCAGAATGGACTACAAGCCTTTACGACTTCAAAAGCCGTGGGATGGTGCCAGATTGTTTGTCCGGAAAAAGAAAGACGTAACCGCCGCAGTGAGCTTAGAATGGAATCTTAGATCCCATCTTAAAAATCCTGATTGATTAGTGCACATTTAGCACTGTTCAATTTTTAATTGCTCCTCCAACTTATTTATGTGTTTCAAATCGACTATGACGATCTCAACTTTGCAATATTATTATTTATTTCAACCCACGCGAGAATGGAGAAAAATGTTTAATCTTTTCACATTTCCTCTTATTTTTGTATCTGTATGATGATTTTTTTTACAATCACCGAGACAGTATTATCACTGCCAAGATTTTACGTTATATGTAATAAATACATCAAATAAATAAATAAATCTAATTATACAAACTCATTCATTATAGAGTATTTAATTTATTTATTGCGCTATCTCGTGTCGGGGTTATAAGCAGAATTGTCCACGACCAACATGGAGTTCCCATGCTCATCCTGGCTTTCGTACCACGTTGGGAAGGGGTGGACAACGAACCTCCAGTCGAGGTGCATGGGGGTGTGCCTCCCAGTCCCAAAGACGGTAGCACGCTGATCTAAAGTAAGCGGATGTTCGGGATAGTTGTGAGCTCCTCGCCAGGATCTGGGGTCATCGGTGGGAAGGAGTAAGGGTGGATCAAGATGTTCCGCGGTGGCGTGCTCAGCCCTGTTAAATCAGGTATCAGTTGAGTTAATCAAATCTTAAAAATAAGGACATTAGTAATATAAGATTTATTTCAGGTTATATATATTGTTATATCATACTCTGTGTTATATACTCACCACAAATCGAGACAGTAATGGAACGCACAGAGGAGAAAGTAGATCCTCAAAATCCAGTAAAACTCGAACCACCTGAGCCATATGTACGCATGTTGAAATGTAACCAACGCCCAAATCCTGATGATGGACGTCAAGATGTAAAATATCATCCAGAGCACGACGCAAAATCGGGACCTATTTTTCACTCCGAGGAACAAGAGGCCGGCGATGGGGGCGTAGAGAAAGCACGTGATGGAATGAAACCACAAACCTTGCAGGAGAGGGAGAGGCACCTTGCGTGTTAGGCTCTTAAAGTCATACGATTGATATTTTTTAAAAACCTTGTAAAGGATGTTGGTGTGCAAAATGTTATCAATCGTATGACTTTGGGGAAGCAGGACATGTAAATAAGGCCACCTTTTTCCCAGTCTTCATTGTGCTGATGGATGATCAGTTGATGCTCTTCAGAATCGAGTGCAAATTCGTCTTCGGATTCTCGTTTGGTGAACATAATTACGATCCATCCGCACATTACCGGCCAGAACCCGGTTTCCCAGAATGCAATCATTTTCAGGGTCCGAGGTTTCAGCATATTGCGGAGCTTGTGTTTGCACATTTTGCATCCTCTCTTATCTTCGCCTTTCTTGGGATTTTAACTAACGGAGAAAAATTAAAATACTCTAATTGGAGTGAATTGTTGGATAGTTTTTTGCGCAAACTTGGGGAATTTTCAGATCAACTGCAAGTATTTAAATTTTAAACCCTTGGTGATGGATGGTAAATGAAATTCAAATTATTTAATTAGTGGCAGAATGGTGATCGCTCTCGGACCCCTATTTAAAAAAAATTATGAATGTGTTTGTGTCCGAACAAATGCCCTCCGAAAGGGTTAATAAATTCATTCATGATTAAATTTCAATGAAAATTAAATAGTCAAAAGCTACTTTAGATTATATATCGCTGAGATGTTTGAACTTGCAAATAATTTTACGGTTTGTAAAATAATGATGGTAATTATTATCATAGTGAAGTGACGCTCATTATCAGTTTTAGTTAATACACGGTTTAAATTTAATGAGATTTCTCTTAGGAAAGTTTTAGGGGTATATTTATTTATTTCCACTACTTATTTATGTACGTCGTTCATCTACTATGAATGTGGTATTGTAGATACATACATATATTGAATGCGAATTATACTATTTATCACTAAAGTCTTCAGGTTTTGATCAAACTAGTGCCAATCGATCACAAATTTAACTAATATGGAGTTTGCAAAAGACACGATTTCCCATTGAGCAGGTTTGGCAGAGATATTTTCATCCAAAGAGGAGAAAACTCGCCTTTAAAGTTGACTAATTTTACACTTTCCTACTGCACATTTTCTCGAGATGCTAAAAAAATGCTCCTTCTCTTCAGATGCAAATATCCCTACCAAACCTAAGCACTGGGAGATGGTGTCTAAATTAAAGTCATACGAATTTTTGTGATCAATTGACACTCAAAATCGGAGAGCATACAGAACCTACATTTTAAGTTGTAGACCGTGTAATGGCATTATTAGTTTTACACCCTGGTCTTTTACCAAAGCCAGAATATGCCCGAGCCAAACGTATTCTCAAGGTCGAGTGATACAATAAATTGGTTATCAGCTAGTATGTACTTTCTACTCGTATGTATTGATTTTTTCTCTATTCCACTTATCTTAGAAACGGCGTATTAAGCAGGAACTGTGTCAAGCAACATGGCAATATCGATTGGGAGAGAAACATCTACAGAAGTATGTCATAAATGTATCACCTGTGCGTCAAGACTAAATTGATTGCATTTGTTGGACTTGTGAACTAATTGAATAGTGTACAATTCTGCCTTTTATACTGTTTTTCACCCCCTTTGAATGGGTGTGGCAGGCGGAAATTGTGTCACTTTATGGTTTCAGTTGACTCGTAGGATACCATTTACAACTTATTCAAAGGGCATCAAAATCTGAGGAGTAAAAGGCACAGGTCGCGTGCTCCTTAGGAATATGCACATATGCAAACCATTCGTGGTGTAATATCGTTTATTTCACGACTTGCGAATAGTTACTTAAAGTACCTTACTTTTGATGAGAATTACTTACAGTTGACAGTACATAGATCAGAAAATATGATTTACACGTGTACAATTATGCAAATAAACGCTATTTTCAGATTTTGTCTCTACGTACATCATAAAGTGTTGATATTAAACGCATATTATGTGCTTTCTTCATATGGACTTCCTTCCTTACTTCCTTCATTCAATGTGTCAAAGAATTTAAATTGCAAATAGGATGAGTGAGTGACTGTTAAATCGGTGTGAATCAATCAAGGCAATTAATTTAAATGTGAGCATATAGTATAGTACACACCTGCTCATTTCATCAATAAATTGTCCAAATCTAGACTTAATTTTAACTTATAACCTTCTACTTCTTCCATTGTCACCAATCGAACGCAGCGAAGTAAAGAAACTTGTGCAGTCAATGTACATGAACTTTTTAAGAAGTTACATATGTACAATGTGCAATAACTTGTTGACCACTTTCTTGAATCTTGACCATGGCATTGACGCCAACATACATGGAATTGCCATCACTATCAACGTTTTACTTTGCTCTGTAGACAGGCAAAACCAGAATTGTACTCCGTAACCAAATAAATAAGTAGCAAGTAAGCCGTGCTAAAACACGTGCTTAGATTAGATCTATGTATGTATGTACATACATATGTCCTTGGAGTTTTGCCTTGCAACTTGCAAGGCAATTTTTCAATGTGGAATTAATAGTTTGGGAAAATGACAAGGAAAAGAACTGGGTTAGCGAATTGCCGAATGCAAAGTGCATGCGCTGGAATTAACGTAAATTACAGATAATACGGGTATGAAATCCTTGTCATAATTGTGGAATTGGTATAGTTTTATTTTACAGTTAAAAATAACCGTTTTTTTAGATTTCACAGAATGGTTGGACTTGACAGAACTGACTTCACATATTCATAGATATTTCTTTGATGACATGAATTGCCATGAAATACATTGCATGGAATGAATGAGTAACGACTCCAAGTCAGATTTATTCCAGTCATATCTCATATCTTATCACAGTAATTATTGTCTTATCATTATCAACATCCCGTCATGTGATCCAGTGCTTACTGTTTATTTAACTGTCACTGTCGCGTATTTTCCTTTGTTCATAATACAGGTTCACTGATACACATGGTATATGACAAGTTCTAGACTTGTCTGCAACGCATATTTTAATCGGAGAGATGACAAGCTAAAAGTTCTCTCGACAAAAGTTAAACAATCCAATACTGTAGCAAATTTAGGTTTTGCTTCGTAGGAGCAATTTTTAATTGCATAAATCTAGAAATTTTAAAATTGAGATTTTCTTGTACTTAATAAGCGGTGACTCATCTCCCGTGACATCACAGGCCTCAGAATTAGCACATTTTTAATTATTTGTAACATAAAAGGCAAATGTAAACAAGATAAAAAGCTTTCGTGCTGTTGTATTTTTGCTTTGAGATTTTTTGAGACGATTAGTCACATTCTCACATTAAGAAAATAGTTCAATTTCTTCAAAATGGCTCACCACAAGGATAAAAATATGAAATTTGATCTTCGTATTTTTTATTTCACATCCGTCATTCGTACAGAAATGAGACGAGGGATACTAATTCGCGACGAAATGCCCATTCATGAGACACATGAGACTTGATCATGATGAGACAACGTCAATTTCATCATCATTGCAAACCACTTGGTACAAGTGATCGAGTTACAAGTAGTGCTTTGCAACTAGTTTTTGCATGCATCATGCACGGTCAGCAGAGCCGATTTCATCATTGCACTCGAGCCAGTAGTGTCGTCGCATTTCCCATGAATTCAACGTTAAAATTCTCATCTGAAATTACACATTTCTAAACAAACACGTCATGATAACGTGATTCATAATTTAGTCAGTAACCTATTCTATTGCATAATAATACAAATATTATAACAGGATCTCTCGTACCTTCCTGAATATTCCAAACATCTTTCCTGATTAATTTTTCATGAATCTGCACTAATTTGCCCACCTTGATTGATTGATTGATTGATTATGCTTTATTCAAGTGTCTACCAAGTTCACAGTAACAAACCATGCTCTTCCACGAGTGACACATACAATATACAAATACAAATACCTTAACCTCATCAATCATCACGAACCCTGTCGCAGTAATCCAAATTGTTTCTCCTTGTTTTTAATAACACATTTCTTTCTCATTTCATCATTCAAAAAAATCCGAACTGAACTTCTGGAATTATTTCCCAAAATTTCAGCAGAAATATCTAATCGTCTCACTTTTATGCAGTTCTTTGTTTCATTCATTCATTCCACGTTTTGCATACGCATACGCCGGCGGGGTGAGATGGAAGGTTCTCGTAGCTTGGACTTTTGGGGGGCGAGAAAAATCATGTCGTCCAATTTAACCGATCCCATGGAAGAGAAATACAAGATCTCTCATATATGAACCGATCCCATATTCACACTAAAACTACCACTGGCTAAATTATCTACTGCGATGGTTAAAAATGCAAAAATTAATAGAAATAATTATTTCTACCCGTCATATAATTATGCCTTAATAGAAAAATGTAGCTCATAAAAATAAAAGATGCAAATATATTTACATAAAATATAAAAATCGTCTCCTATAATTATGAGATAGAATCTTACCAATTTTTTTATATTTTTTTCAAAATTTTGAAATGCGTACGAAATGACGAACTTGATGGGTGGCCCAAGGTGGAAAATGACCAATGGGATGAGGACTACGTCAGAAGCGAGAGAATCTTCCAGACCAAAAATCCACCACCCATGCATCACCGGTACGAAGGAGGATTCCTCACTCTTTTCTCCTCTCTCTTTTCCTCACTGTATGAGCTCCTGGCAGCACGCAACCTCTCCAACTCTGCGAAATTCACGCCAAGAAGTCGGAAACTTTTCACTTTTTCACAATTATCAGGAGAATAGATAAGGTGAGTTGGTTATCTCCAGTGGGGGTGCCCTTCCTCAGTCGGTGGGGGACGAGGGAAGTGGGAAAGATAAAGTTCTTTTGGGGGGAAGAAAACGGAGGGATGGGCAACAAATAACGGCGTGGTTTAAGCCATGCAGTGAAGTTGGCTTTTTTCTTCTTTTCTTTTTGAGTAACTAATCAAGTTGAATTGTATTTATCCATTTGCAGTAAAATGGCTAAAGCTCCAGCTATCGGGATTGATTTGGGGACTACGTACTCCTGCGTGGGAGTGTTTCAGCATGGAAAGGTCGAAATCATCGCTAACGACCAGGGGAACCGGACCACCCCCTCGTACGTCGCCTTCACTGATACAGAACGTCTTATTGGAGATGCTGCCAAGAATCAGGTGGCAATGAACCCGACAAATACAATTTTCGGTAAGTTTTTTTTGTCTGCTCTCTTTGGTGTACCAGGTATATAATCATGTATTTATCAAATTATAATTATGTTTTAAGATGCGAAGCGGTTGATTGGGCGAAAATTTGAAGATGCTCCTGTCCAATCTGACATGAAGCACTGGCCATTTGAGGTGATCAGTGATGGTGGAAAACCCAAGTTGCAAGTTGACTATAAGGGAGAATCTAAAACCTTCTTCCCTGAAGAAATCTCGTCCATGGTTCTCACCAAGATGAAGGAAACGGCGGAAGCCTACTTGGGAAAGACGGTAATCACCTTTAAACCATAATTAAATAGTATCATAAATTGTGTATTCCTAATTCTTGACTTTTTTATTGAAATTGTTTTAGGTCACCGATGCTGTCGTCACTGTCCCTGCTTACTTTAACGATTCTCAACGTCAAGCGACGAAAGATGCTGGGACTATTGCTGGATTGAACGTATTACGAATTATCAACGAGCCCACCGCCGCTGCTATTGCTTACGGTTTGGACAAAAAGGTATGCAAATATATAAAATCATCAACACCATTTCCTTTATTTGCATCATTACGATTTACGTTTATTATGAATACGTTTGTAATCATTTTTTAAAAATTTATTTACAGGGCAAAGGCGAACGTAACGTGCTCATCTTCGACTTGGGTGGGGGAACTTTTGATGTTTCGATTCTGACGATTGAGGATGGAATCTTTGAAGTAAAGTCTACTGCTGGTGACACCCATTTGGGAGGAGAGGACTTTGACAACCGAATGGTCAACCATTTCACGGAAGAGTTCAAGAGGAAGTATAAGAAGGACTTGAAAACTAACAAGCGAGCTCTTCGTCGTCTTCGAACTGCTTGCGAAAGGGCCAAGCGAACTCTCTCCAGCTCTACCCAGGCCTCGATCGAAATCGACTCTCTCTTTGACGGAATTGACTTTTACACGTCCATTACCCGGGCTCGTTTCGAGGAGCTGAATGCTGATCTTTTCCGTGGAACTTTGGAACCTGTTGAGAAATCTCTCCGAGACGCCAAGATGGACAAGTCTCAGATTCACGACATTGTCTTGGTCGGTGGATCCACTCGTATCCCCAAGGTGCAAAAGTTGCTTCAAGATTTCTTCAACGGAAAGGAGTTGAACAAGTCGATCAATCCGGATGAGGCTGTTGCGTACGGAGCTGCTGTTCAAGCCGCCATTCTTCACGGAGATAAGTCTGAAGAGGTTCAAGATTTGCTTTTGCTCGACGTCACTCCTCTCAGTTTAGGAATTGAGACTGCCGGAGGTGTTATGACGACTTTGATCAAGCGAAATACCACCATTCCAACCAAGCAGACTCAGACTTTCACCACCTACTCTGATAACCAACCAGGTGTGTTGATCCAAGTCTACGAAGGTGAGCGAGCCATGACAAAGGACAACAACTTGTTGGGCAAGTTCGAACTGACTGGAATCCCACCTGCACCACGTGGAGTTCCCCAAATCGAGGTCACTTTCGATATTGATGCCAACGGTATTTTGAACGTGACTGCCATCGAGAAGAGCACGGGCAAGGAAAATAAGATCACCATCACGAATGACAAGGGTCGTCTCAGTAAAGAAGATATCGAACGGATGGTGAACGAGGCGGAGCGGTACAAGGCTGATGATGAGAAGCAGAAGGATAGAATAGGTGCCAAGAACAGTTTAGAGAGCTACTGCTTCAACCTTAAGAGTACCGTTGAGGATGAGAAGGTCAAGGATAAGATTCCAGGTAATTTTCGCTATAATTTGTATTGCCTATCTCAATCAGTCATTCAATATTTATTTATGTAGCCACTTTAATTATTTTAATTTTTTAAAAATATTTAAAATGCAGCAATTGTGAAGTAATTGATATTAATTGGACTATTTTGTGTTCTATTTTCAGAGGAGGACCGAAAAACAGTGATGGACAAGTGCGAAGAGGTCATCAAATGGCTCGATGCTAACCAACTTGCTGAGAAGGAGGAATTCGAAGACAAGCAGAAGGAACTCGAGAAAATCTGCAACCCCATCATTACAAAAATGTACGCTGCCGGTGGTGGTATGCCTCCTGGCGCTGGAGGCCCAGGATTCCCTGGTGCTGGAGCTCCCGGAGGTGGTGCCGCCCCAGGCGCAGGAGGAGCTGGGGGACCCACGATTGAAGAAGTTGATTAATGCCACTCACGTTAATTTCTATTCATAATAACTTAAATTATTACTGATAATAATAAGAATTACTTTGAAACTTATGATACAACTTGTACAAGCTCCACATATACTAGATAGCATTCAACCCCCTAAAAATTCCTGTTTTTTCTTCTTTTTCACCGATGCCAGCTTGTTGAAAGTCTTGTGGTTTTACACACTGATGAATACGACTGTAATATTCACGACTTTGTGTTAACTTTAATAAATAAAAAAATAATGTAAAAAATACACGAAAGTAAAAGTTGTGTAACGTTAATGGAAGGATGCTTATTATTATTGTTGCATATAATAATAATTAGTTAGTTAGTTAGATGTTTTTTTAACAATGATCCCTTCTTACAAACCACCCACGTTCTTTACCCCAGTAGTTCAGTGATTAAATAAAACATGAGAAAATAATCGTGATCTGGTCTTAAGACGTGAAAGGAAACACTGCTATTTGTTAGTCTGAATGCTCTCGTTTTAGAAGTTGGAAAGTAAGCAAGCAGGGAACTCCTCGATGAATGGTACAATTTTGATGTTAAATGAATTGAATGAGTATTAATGTAAACGAAATGTGGTAAACATTTGAACATTAATGAACCAAATAAAAAATAATCTTTAAAAACTCATTTGTGCATTTTTGAGAAATTATTGCCTCCAGTTTTTTTTCCGAAATCGCATAGAATGCTTCAACGTAAATATACTTTTATTAGTATCATCTCTCACATGGTTTAATCCCGAATGAATATTAATAATATAATGACTATGATGACGACTCGCCACTCAATCAGGCAATCTTTCATAATTTGATCTTTTACATATAGCTTTGTAGTAATAATACTTTTCAAATTTCTCAGCATCACAAATCCGTCACATCATTCGTAACATCACATTTATCTGTGCACACATGTACCAACTAAATAAATATACCTTATCTATATACATGGGACTCGTCATCCTCAGAAAACGACGCTACATTTAATGCTCGACTACTCTTTGGTTTTCTCATAATGTGAATCGTGTGAATTATGTACATAATCTTGCCATTCCTAAAATACTTACGTAAATATATGTACAAGCACGGTACATGGTATTCGGTGTTTTACATAGTAATTCTAGTGCTATGCTGTTCGATCTTCCACCCTTTTTTTCAGGGCTAGCTTATTATTATATACGATTAAAATATTAGATTGCTTGTTATCAATACCACGATCCGTAATACCGATAAAGTGCTGAATGAACTTTGGGTATCGGGCTTCTGTTTCATGCATACGTAAACTTTCACTCCAAGCATTATCCTAGTTATTATCTTAACTCTGATGCTAACCTTTCTTTCTAAAGCTTCATAAACTTGGGGAAATTAAGACTACATTTTCTGTACGTATGTATACATGCACATACAAAAGTAAAGTATATATACATAGTATCGTACATACCTAGCTACCTATGCTATGCCCTTGATATTTAACGCACAAGTTTCCATAATGCCAGCATAAATAATTAATTTTAATCAAACTGGAGTAAATTGGCATTTCATGAAAAAAAGCTTTGGTTCACTTGAAGCAAGTAAACGTAAAATTCCCCTAAATGTACTCATCTACTCAAAACAATGTACATGTACAAGCGTTGTGTTTAGGTGGGCGTTATTAAATTAATGGTGTCAGTTATCATATAGCGAATATCCTGTGTCATCTACTTGGTTGTGTTATGTTATACAAATCATCTAATGGAACACACATCCATCCACACGGAAATAATTACAAATTAATTCAAGCGAAAGGTGTGGGTAATTAGGTCACCTTCTATGATGGACCTTAGAATACAAAGCAAGTACAAATGTCAACTGTTCTACATATGTACATACAGGGAAGAAAGTTAAATTATGTACATCTAATCCTAATCCTGATACAATTATTATCGCTACACACGACATACTAGTATTTCACATAACAATTCTCTGCATGAATCTGTACTTTCCTTCAAATTAAAAAAAACTATTTACACAATGCAACATCATCAATGAAATAATATTAACTAAGTAATTAACTAGAAATATTTTAGTTTTAAAAAGTAATTAAGTATGTAACAATGTACAAAATAATAAACAAGTAATAATTTAAAAGGGATAATTTAAAAAGATGAAGATACACGTGGATTTATTTTTTCTCTGGAGAATGACTCCGAGACGAAGCTATTCGAACCCCAACTGGCCACCGTGTAGATAAATAATTCCATTTCGTCACAATTTGCATTCTGAGACCACTTAGCAGAGAGAGTGACACTGCGACGGGTGAAGAACGCCTTGGGCCAGACACCTTCAGAAGGAGAAAGCATTATATAATATTACAGTCTCAATAAATCGGCATCTTAAAAGTCTGGCTGGGATGGTGGATAGATTATTTACCTCCGCAAGCAGCGTGGACTCCGCTTCATCAATCGATTGTACCGGATGTAGGATGGGATCAGCGTCATTGTCATCTCGCTCGCTTCATTCGTTCCAGGAACTGGTTGCTCTGGGTGCTGGTGTCCTGTGGACAAAATTAATTTGCATCATCAGCACACACACACATGAAAGTGGGAGAGAAAAAGTGCAATAAAAGTGAGGAGAGATAGAGAAAGGAAAGAGATTAGACTTCTTTATGAGAAAAATGAGTGGGTAGAGGTTAGCGTTAGGCTTGGTATGACTGTATCCTCCCAATTAGGCGGACAGATAGCCCTGTGACGTCGTTGATTTCAGAGTGTTAAGATATTATCCGGTGAAAATGGATTTTTCTGATAGAATTACAATGAAGGGGCTAATTTTCTTTTCAATTTTCTAGAAATAGGGCAACAACTCGATTTTGTAGTGTGTGTGACGCAGACGGGGCGGCGGAGAAGATGATTTCTTAATTAAAATTGCTAATCACTAAATTACATCCGGATATAAAGTGGATACCTGAGTCAGAGTTGGTCTCGTCATCTCGTCCTCCCTCCGGATAAAGTTGGGCGGCTTGGCGTTTCCAATATTCCGAATCCCCTGAAGACGCCAACTTTCTCGCAGCACTTCCATCCCGCTCTGTCTGGCCGTCTATTTTTTGAATTACAAATTCAAACGTCAGCCCACTCGGTTATGTTAGGATAGTATTTTGCATACATAACATAACAAACAACTGGGTGAATAATTAATTTGCAATCAAATTTGCTTGTGATTGAGTAACGAGTCGAGAACAATGGGATCATAATGAATCGCACAAGTATTGTCAAGTTCACATTTGACTCTTGGTGAGGAAGGCAAGGCAAATACCTACCGATTATTTCCATATTACATAACAGAACTATTTAAATACTTTTAAGCACTCCTTCCTACACAGAATTCTGGCTGCAATTCCACAAAGGCAAATAAATCAGGCTAAATTTATTCTTGGAAGAAAGCCTATCTCGTGCAGCAGCATGGAAAGGTTTCCTTTCCAAAAAGAAATGGAAAAACTTTCGTCAACAAAAGAATGAATTAAAGAATGAAAGTCATAATTTTTCTGTTTCGTTTTTTTCTCTATTTTGATTAATGAATGAAAATATCGTCATATTTATTCATCCACGTCCACGACTTACCCAATGCAATCTCACTTCTTTTTTCGGCTTGAGGTTCGTCACTGTGCTTCGTACCGGTCGGAACGATCCATGGTTCAAACTCGTAGCGGTGCCGGATCCCCCCGTCGCGTCGTTTGTAACCTCTGATTTCCCCCCTTCGTCCCCCGTAGGTTGAGGCCGAGGTGGATTTCTGCGGAATTCTGTCGAGCATGGTCATCGGCATGTCGTCTGGATTGGTGTCACCTCCTCCTTCCGACTCTGGCGGTGACGAGAGGAGATATGCGGCACGAAACAGGGCGTTCTTGTCATTAGTTTGCGTGGGAGGAGATTGCGCCTCCTCCCAAGAAGATGATGCACAAGCATTGCAGGAAAAGGAGGTGGAAGGTGACATGTCGTCATATCTGGGTGACGGTGGCGAAATGACTCCCCGTGTTTCACTGGGTATGATCAAGTTCTGAGGTGCTGCCGTACTTGGGCATACTTGAGACAAAAGAGAAAGTCATAGGTAACAAAGTGGGTACAAATTAAAGGTGGATATCCAACATGGCAAAATGTTCGCTGGTTCGATTTTACCCAATGTTTGATATGTTGCAGAGCATTAAAGTACCCTTGAATTGAAGTCGTCACCTGTGACCGTGTTTTGGAGGTCGAAAGGTCACAGAGCCCCATAAATGGGATATCGTGGGAAAGTTCTCGGCGAAAGGATTCAGAATATCTGCATCTATAACTTTATGGGGTCTGGACCACCACCTTTGACCTCCTGGCTTTTCGACCCTCAAAACAAGGTCAAGCAGGTATATTTCGACTTTGAGGGTAACTTATCTATTGTTATACTGACATATAAGCTCTAGAACATATCAAGAATTGGGTTAAATCGAACGGGCGATCATTTTGGGTGTGTGATATCATTTATTTATTTGCTATCGGAGATGTAAGAAGCTCGGAAAATTCTCGCAATTTGTGAAAATAATGGGAAATTAGTTTATCACGCGAGACATAATAGTTATAATAATACCAACCAACTTGTATAATATTTGACATTATTATGCCATCGACTCCATTGCAGGATGTTTACTACAAACAACCTACGCGCAAATGCTGTTTCACGATTCGAAAGTTAATAAGTACGAAAGGTCAGAAGAAAAAGTAACGCGGTTGCGATAAATGCCTTTGTAACCGCCATCATTACGTAGTGAAATCTAATCATATCGATGCAAAAATGACGAAACTTCCGTAAAATATATGCATCTTTCACCAGCCGAGTGCATGGATCATCAGATTGTGCCGATTGTGGGTGTGTATGCAATATGTATAAAACTGACTTATTTAATTTCAATAACACCTACACTCATTTTGTATGTGCAGTTATTCCAGTTTGCAAAAACTGTATTATCCGCGACAACAACAGCTTCCTTGCGTAATCAGGATGATGAATATGCAGCATTGTCTGGTGCACTTTTCTATACGCTTTAAAATCATGTTTTTCACGCAATATGAAGAACTAAAATCTTCTCTGCCTGATATTATGTGAGCATATTTATGTAGTATTGAATATTCTGGTAGTAATTCCCACAAGGATGGAGACATACGCTGTTTGCATAGGCAAGACTGGATCCACGGACGGACAATAATTTCATGGAAGAGCTGCTTGAACTATGCCAATTGCCTTTGGCCACGCACAACCGAACCAAAATGCTTCATTTATCTGTACAATACCAAACTCTATATGTAAATATTCATAGCACATGTAGTAAATGGTTACAGGTAAATGTTTAGTTTTGGACGTCCAAAACCTTTTTGAACTCCAAAAGTGTCCAAAATGCCCAAAAAGGTTCAATATTGGAAAATGGGGCAACATGTTACAAGTTCTTTATTAGAGACTTTTTGCAAACAGATATGTAAACTCACATTAACTTTTAGCATTTTGGTGCATTTGCAATGCAACGAAATTTGGAAAAACTTTTGTTTTCACATGATTTTATGAGAAATTTCTAATAATTTAAACATAAACCATGTCGTAAAATGATCAAAATTTATGGGAGGTTACACATACTTACGTCAATACATTGACTTGACGAAAGATTTAGTAATAAAGAACTTGTATCATTTTGCCCCCTTTTATACTTTAGACACTTTTTGACATTTTGGAAGTCCAAAATTTAGTGTTCTAAACTCACTAACACCGGTTTTGGACACTGGTCAAAACCACGGCGACACACTGAGGGGCAAATATGCATGCCTCCCATGTAGTACGGATATTTGTAGTTTAATTTTGTAATTTTATGTTTTTGTGCTGTTAGTCTGTTGTTTTTGTTGTGTTGGGTTGCAAATTGGGATTTCAACACCAACCTCATCTCGATGCCACTAACCTTTTGAGCTAATTAACTCGTCCAATCATGGCTTAGTGCAATTTCCTAGTAGCATAATATTCCCAGCTTATTTATCTCGTCTCCATTTATCTAGTGGCATTTACAGGCTGCTACGACAAATTAAACACATTTCTTAATGCCTATGAATAAAGCCTTCTTTCTGACAAGGGAACCTTAAGTACTGTCACCTCTCGATTTCCTTCCAAATAGCCTTAATCGACAGATAATTTAGTGAAACTTAAACTTTGTCATAGAACATGCGGTGCAAAATCGCGTTTTCGCGAAATATTTGGCGAGAGCTGCACCAAAACCTGCCATTTGCCCAATGCTTTTAACATAGCCACCAGCCTTTCGAATGATTAAATGAACTTCATATAATCTTATTAAATTATATTTGTACCTGTCCGCGTAATTTCAGCCCGATCACCAATATGCATAAAACAATGCAAAGATTCGCATATTTTTTGCAAATTGCGAAAATCTGAAAACTTGCAAATTTGAATTTCTTCGTTTCTTTAAATTCAACAAACTTTAACAGTTTAACTGTTAGAAAATATATTTTTCTTATTGCAAAAAATTTGCAAAAATTTGCAAAAACTGAACTTCGCAATTTTTCATGAAAATAACTTAAATAACCAAGGCTAGTCTATTTTTACGTATTTTTCGAAATTATTTGCGGTATTTCTTTTGGTAAGTTGCAAAAACTTACAATTTTTTAATTCAATATTATTATGTAGAATTTGTTTGCAATGTTTGCATGTTTAATTGTTTAACAAATTATCTTTCCCTTTATTCGCTCATATCTGCATATATGACAATTTTTAAGTTTCTCTAAAATGCGAAATTTAAAAAATGTAAACTTTAATTGTTACAAATTTTTGCAAATTTTTTGCAATAAGAAAAATATATTTTATAACAGTTAAACTGATAAGTTTGTTGAATTTAAAGAAAGAAAGAAATTTAAATTTGCGAAAGTTTTCAGATTTTCGCAATTTGCAAAAAATTTGCCAATCTTTGCATTGTTTTATGCATATTTGTGATCGGGCTGAAATTACGCGGACAGGTACAAATATAATTTAATAAGATTATATGAAGTTCATTTCATCATTCGAAAGGCTGGTGGCTATGTTAAAACCATTGGGCAAATGGCAGGTTTTGGTTCAGCTCTCGCCAAATATTTCGCGAAAACGCGATTTTGCACCGCATGTTCTATGACAAAGATTTAGTTTCACTAAATTATCTGTCGATTAAGGCCATTCCGAAGGAAATCGAGAGGTGACAGTACTTAAGGTTCCCTTGTGAGTAGAATATTCGTCAAAAGTGTTGTCTCAAAACGCCCTCTAATTACTTTTCAGAATATGTATTTATGGAAGATATGATTCTATATTATGTACTTAATAATAGGAAAGTTTGTCGTGTACTATGTCGGCTTTGATTGGAATGCACTGCGTGGGTTATATCATAGAACTTGTGTTTTTCATGAAATAAACAAGTTATTGGGAATGTGATGCAACTCTGGAAAAGTGAAAGTTTGACGAACGAGGGAAAGTCTCTCATTTCAGGGTTAGGTCGTGTTTACGTGTTAAATTGCACCTTTGTTCAACTTCACTGCGAGTGAATTCTTTTCGGTGTGAAAGAAACCCAAGACTCGGATTCAGGTGTAATTTGTCACCTGGAGAAAGTGCAAAGGAGATCGCACGAGGCAATCGGCTGCTTACTTTTAGGAGAACATGCCACCGAAATATGAAGTTGGGAAATAAAAACTTATGCTTTTTTCGTCTCAGTTTGATCAAGTTTCGGAGAAAGTTTTTGAGAAAAACCCAACAAGAAAGTGAGTGGATGGGGGTTTGCAATTCTAAATGGTCTGATCCTGAGTAGACGGTCAAGATCCTCATATAACTTTTAGGTGCATTAATTGCTATGATAAATAATTATAATGTTATGAGTGAAAGGGTTTTTTTTGCAATCATGGGAGAAAGGCGACATTATTGTTGAGAACTTTTTTCATTCCAATTTTTTGATATTTTCATTCATACCTACGCAAATTCTTGGCATAACAGAAGCCTTGGGAAAGCAGTGTGTTTGTGATAATTATACTCTGCCTGCACAAGGTTCGCCAATCCCTAAATGTGCACATACATGCATTCGTTTGTCAAACTTCTATGATTTGTCCTCATCTGGACAATTGGCCGTGGTTCCAGTGAACAGTTTGTCGGTTTCAATAATTCAGCCTGTGAGGTTTCGTTCGAGCCAGGAAATTCAAGCTCTTAAAAACTTATTTCATCCCGATAAATGGGAGCTGATGACAATGGAAAATTTTGCATATTTCCGACTTTCGTAGGTACTATCATACCCAGCACGTACTTACATGTTTTAGGTACTTTTTTCAGGGAATTAGGTGTTTACAGTTCCACTGGCTAGGATCAAATAAAGAATAACAAATCCAGACTTTGAACCACCAAAGCCAAACTGATTAAAGGAAAACTCAAGTCAGAGAATACTTTGCACATGGCTTGTGCATATTATTTAGAAATGCGTGACTTCTCGCATAAATATCCTGTCGCTGATTTAATTGAGATGCTGTGATTCTCTATCGTCTGACCTTTACCTAAATATCATACAAATATGGTGTACATACATACATACGTAGAAGTACTCTCAATTGTGATCTGTTTATTTTAATGATGCCACTAGAATCAGCACAAATGCAGATTATTTGTATATAGACATGTACTTATATACGTTTGCATGTACAAGAATCTGACTCTGGAGTCTGTTTTGAGGAAAACGTCGTAAATTCAATTTTACGTAAAACTGCACATGTCCCTTATCTGGCTAATCTTAACTCTCCCCTTATTTGCAGGTCATGTCTAATCTTTATTGTTTACTGTAGCACTATTGTCGAGTGGGTCATAAAGTGGAGGGACGGAAGGAACTCGTTACGTGTTCCCTTCCCCGATCCGAATTTAGCTTTTGCCGTACCACAAATTTAACATTATTTTGCAGAAGTGACTCGTGTTTAATTGAAAGAACCGACCCGTAATGCAACTGGATTAATGCACGTCACCCAAACAAAGTTTATTGATGGGTGTAAATAAAATCGGTGTAAAATAAACTTTCATCGCCTCTCGATCCAGACGCAAAAATCTGCAAATCATAATTATTTAAGTACACCGACCAACCCACATAACACGATGGGAAGTTTCTACATATTTAAGTGCACATTGAAGATTTTTCTTATCTACCCATGCATCCAGTAAGCCCACTCAGTCAGGTCGTAGTCAGATTTAATTAAGATGTCGTCACGCGTCTTATCTTTTCATCTCCTAATTCGGTGCCTACTTGGTAATTAATTGGAGGAGATTGAGCAGGGTGAAGTTAGTGCGAGTTTATGCACCCCCTGCAAAAACAGGAAATGAACCAATTCCTTCTTATGTAAGTAGGTGCAGGGAGTAAAATGAAAGCGTTTTCTCATGCAAAACTATTTTATTTATTTCTTGCGGCTATTGTCCGTGTGCGTGGGTGCAGGCTTAATTCAGTATTTGTTAAGTGGTGTATTGGTGTATAAGTCGCTTATTGTGACCGTTTTGTCCGTCCGTAAGCAGGACCAGTCCAGAACGCCTCAACATAATCAAATGCCGTTTTCGCCATTGTGCTTCTAATTTTAAGCTCTTGGTTGAATTCGATAATGAGATCTTTCGGACCACCTTCCTAGCGCCAGGGGGTGTGTGCCAAAATTAAATTGAACTTCATTTTCATTAGGAGTGCCATTTAAAGGAAATTTCACTACGAAATCATCGTCCTCAATCTTTTTGACCTCCGACCACCCCATGACCCTGAGGATGAGGTCAAGGTTCATTAATCACATAATTTACATATTGATTTCATTTTACATTCCAGACGCCACTTTTTTATATTTGTTTGAGACAGTTTATTATATATATTTTCAACTTTCTGTCAGCTTATTTTTTACACAAGATAATTTATGTGAGACAATCAACCCAAAAATAGCTAACAATGGACATAAATATTCATACATTCTTCACGACCACGGAGCAGTAATATTCTTCCAGATTACTTTCTGTTTCGACTGACCACCTTCTACCTCGCCGCCTTGCAAAACAAAAATAGACTGATTAAAGAAATGTTGGGATCAAAATCGCATCGATAAAGATTAAGTAGGCCGTCAATCGGTCAAATTTGCAGGATCAGGTCAAGGAAAGTGATCGACATACGAGTTGGACTTGATTGATTGGATAAAAAACTTTTCCTCTTGCCACTGAAATCAATGCATCAAACAAGTCATGATTTATTGAGAAATATGTCACATGCTAACTAATCCTAAGATAAGGTGCAGACACGTTTGTGCACAACTAATTTCTATGGACTAAAGATGAGTTTCGTCTGCCTTCCTCATGCAATTGTATGTCCATTAGACATTCACAAGGAACAATGTTTGACAGGGAATCAATAGGATGTCCGAAGTCCCAGTCAATCAGATCAATAAAAAGTAATCAAGGCGAAGGACACAATGTTAATCGTGTAATAATCAAAGAAACTCGTATTGTTAAATGGCAAACCAATTTCATAACTTTCGCCCAGAAATCTAACTATCTACATGTGTAATCATTCCGGAAACTCATTGCAATACGAAATTGATTTGTGCATACATACGTATGCACATACGCCAAGAAGGAATATGTTGTGCACCTGATCTTTCAATTACAAGAAGGAAATTATCATGCATTTATTCTGAAGGCCAGCCAAGGACAGAATGACCGAGACAAGGTTATACAAGAAAAATTAATTTCATTCTGTGGTGAAAGTGGGGTGAGTAATAAGTTTAAAGCAATCCGTCAATTAAGTTAGAATTGACTACAATTAATGTTCAATTATTCATCGAATTTGAGGATGATTGACTCGAAAATATGTATTATGTATGCATGTCATACTTCAGTAGGAGTGTGCCGTTTGAAATTTAAATCAGTCGTTATGAATTTACACGTCTATAATAATTAATCGACTGAATTTAATTTCCATCGATTAAACGCTTATGCAAATTACGGAATAAATAATTTCTGTCCATCAAATAATGCGGGTATGCTTTTAAATTTTAGCTTTCACCAACAGAGCCGACCTGCTGTTTGCAGGGCATAGAACTCATGAATGGTGAAGAATGAGAAAAATGCAGAGACTTGTTCCCAAGTTGGTTGTGTCGCCATTAGGAAAAGCTCAAATCTTCAATTTAGCCTCTGATTCTTATTTTGGTTTGATGTGTCTGTAACCATCTCAAATTTACTGTTTTCAGACGGCTGGTCGGTTACGTAAGAAGAGAATCCATGTTGACAAACTTTTCCAAAAAGGTTCAATCTGAAACGAGGTCGAATTACCAATCTTCCCCGAATTCGACCACTTGGTGTCTACTAATCCTGAGAATAACACGTCTCGCATAACATTCGTCTTGTGTGGGACAAGTGAAAGCTACGTTCAACTGACACGCACAGTGAAGCCAAGCCAATGCACACATACATGTACATACAATTGTATTTGCATAATGAGTTTATAAGATGTAAATTATGTTCTTGTTATTCTCTTAAAACGTCAAATGAGAGTGACTGACCATCCCAGAATAGACCTAGCCTGACAAAACCAAATTCATAAAACCTTCTTGCGCCACCAGCGACAACAATGTGACCAATTCGATTGAGACAGCGACTTTAGTTAGTACAAATAGTCGTCCCTGCTCGTTCTGCTGGCGAAGTAGGTCGAATTAAGTGTACTTTCAAGTTTTGTTGTTCATGCGAATAAGAGGGTGGCAAATTCTAACGAGAGTCATCAATTTCTCGGCCCACACAAACACACACGGCCCAAAAATTCATCAAATTAGTGAATCAAGTAGTAGTGTACATCATACATATCAATCATTATACGGACACATTACGTAGCACTTCCGGTCTGACGTTTCTTATCAATTAGCAAATGAATGTTAGAGTGTTGAACAAATAACTTACTCGACATGATGTGACTCAGCACTACCACAGTCATTGGCAGGATTTGACCCCACATTTTCCTGTTAAATATTAAAATGCGGGTTTTTTAGACCACCGTAAATACATAGGTATATACACGAAGGAGCCGGGGAAATGTCAAATGCGTGCTTGGTGGTGATATTTATGTCAAAATGGCAGAGCTGGCCAAATTACTTGGAAGTCAAATTACAAATTACAATTACAATCACAACATTTCTACAATTACAATTACAAATTACAATTACTCAAGAAAACTCAATTACTAATTACAAATTACAATTACTTCTCTAAAAAAAATTCGCTTCAATTACAATTACAAATTACAAATTACGTAATTGAATTACATTACAAATTACAATTACATTTGAGATTTTTTAATGAAAATTCATCATGTACTAGTCAAATTATTTACAATACTTGTTCACGTTTAACAATGTAAATGCATTTACATCAAAATTTCCACCTAGAAAAAAATAATTTTCGAAGGAAAATTTTGCGAGTAAAAGCATTTGTTAGCATGTATATTGTTAAAAGTGAACAAGTATTGAAATTATTTGAATATTAAATGATGAATATTCATTTAAAATTGTAATTAGTAATTTGTCTTATAATTCAATTGCGTAATTTGTAGCATTTACTTATTTTCATGCATAAGGCCCTTATGCATGAAAATACACCCTAGTAATGAATTCTGACGTAATTAAAAAAAATTGCGAATGGGAAATAATGTTTGTTTTAATCCAAAAAGTGATAGGCAGTGAAATGTTCACGTATGAAAGTACGGCAAATTTAACAAAAACGTTGAATTTTGATTGGTTCTACTCACAGCAGATGGTGATTTAGTAATTGTAATTGAAGAATTAATTGAATTACAATTACACCATGTTGAAATGTGCAATTACAAATTACAAATTATCAATTACATTTGGTCCAATTACAAATTACAATTACAATTACATTTTTTGAATGAAGTAATTGAAATTACAAATTACAATTACTAATTTGTAATTTGTAATTGTAATTGTAATTGTCAATTACTAATTTGGCCAGGTCTGCAAAATGGATAAATGCCATCCATCTTTTTATAAATCAAACAAAACGTTTGACACGATAAATTGATACAGCAATTGATTCTATCTTTCTTTAAAGCTTGGAGTAATCCTACTCATTTTTTGTAAAATGAGAACTTAAGCTTAATAACTCGAACGGATCTAATTTGGATTAAAGTCGAAACGAATCAGACCACCAAAATAGTTTATGTATACTCGATAGTTGACTCGTTTCAAGGATCTTTCCGAATTTGACCTTTTCTTCGGAAAGTATTTCATACAAATCTACGTAATACGTAAAGATTAATCACAATTAATTTTTAATGAGACTCAGCACGTGACATTTATAAGCATCCAGAAATTTCTGGCCATGCACATACATCCGTGTTCCAAATTGATGGGTAAACGCACCGTCATGCAACTTGGAGTGGAAAGACACTCGTTGTTATCTCCCAGTCCACAAAACACACACATAAAAATTGACCATTCCGACTCAGACGTAAACAAGAAGTCCCAAAGGGCAAAACTTAATGATTGAGATGGCGTCCCCCCCGAACCCAAGTGGACAATTGAATGGCACCATGTACATATGTAAATGGAGACGGGCGAGTTTCACTTACCACTGATCAGCAGAAGATAGGATGAGACGAGATTGGGTGATGTGAAAGTCTGCCGGAGTGAAAGTTGTGGGTGGGTGGATGGGTCCGGCTCGAGACTGACTTTTCCTTTATGGCCAAGTCAATAACAAGGGCAGACGAACTTGAATCAAGGTCTTCAATCTCTCCAAGTCTTCGATTATGTAAATCCGCAACTCTTGGCCGTTCTATATTAAACGAATTAAAAGATTGTTTTACATCTGGGTGGACTTGCTTTTGACTCCATTATGAATTTCTTGTGCACGATTTCATTTCATTGAGAAATATCTCAGATTTGCATGGATGGATTTGAGTTGAATGGAAACACTTGAAAGGCATAGAATGAGAAACAGGATCGGGGAATTTGATATCTGGAGATGATTGAACCGATATCTGGAGAAAGGGGACGGTATAAGAATAAGAAAGTATTTTACTTTCTTTTAGGCGCACAATATTATGTCTGTCTGAAGACTATGTAAATCTGAATCATGGCAAAGTTTTGCTCTCGATTTTTGCAGGAATTGCTTTAAAACACAATTGACGTGACTGTGCTAAATGAAATAATATTACTTTGTTTTTAATGGTATGCATAGATGCCAAAAGTTGCGTACGTGCAATCTAAAGTATTGGTTAATCGACAGTTGACCGAATTGATGAAATTTTTTAATGAATTAATCCTCAGCAAGGAGACAGAACTTTTATGGAGAATACACAGATCCAGAGGATTAGGAAGTTTCTCAGTTCAAAAACGGGTTTAAAAAATCAGATATTTTGAAAACTTTGAAAATACATTTATGAAAACTCAATTTGCAAACATAATTCTACCTACGCATGCATGTTTTTGATAATTTAAATCTCACCGAGGTTCAAAACGTCACATCGTTTTTAAAACTCTAGGTTTTTAGGTGAAAGTGATTTTAAAAATTCTGTTAAGTGGCCAAATTCGCGTACTTGAAAAAAATGCAGAATACGATTCTGCCAATTTTTGTGCATGAAAAAATTGAAAGGTGGTCGTAGTCGGAATGTAATCGCCTTGCTTTGTAAAAACTTTGCATTGTTAGTCCTTATTTGTGATAGTAAAACATGTTCCTTGAAAAATATTGAATGCATGCCACAAGTTGTCAGCAGTTTTAAAACTCCTTACAACTTACTCTATTCAAGTGCCTTTGTTCGCATCCAAAATTTTCGTCACACGATCAAAATTTGGCCAATCATGCAAGTAGGTAAATTACGGGATAACGGCATTTTTGACATTCAAGGATTGTGTAAGGTTAAACAAACGGACGGAAATAGTGACCTGCATAAATAACGTGGGAGTTTGTGCCTCTGTGCAGAGCTATTATTGGAACAAAGATTATTGAAATAGTTGGGCAATAATGGGCACCTCGACCAAAACAGAAAAGTGAACATTTATGAAGTGAACATTTATTCGGATTGGTCCGTAATCTAGTGAACAAATATTTGCATTTTGATACACAGATACATTTTAGTACTCATTATGTGCCCATCTTTGTTTGCATTTACTAAAATCATGTTTGTTTTAGCATAACCAAAGGGTGGATATGTATTTCCGAAAAAATACTGAAATAAATATGTCAGAAAAATAATTACAAAAATGTTCGCAAAATTCGTATGTCTGAATACAATGCTCTGGATTTTTTGTGATCCAATTTTTTTAAGAAAAACAAATTTCGTCTCGTATCGTTGAAATATTTACAAATTATGCATTTTTTTATTGTCTAAAATATTTATGTATTTTTCAAATAATATATGTCTGAAAACCTAGAAATGCATGAAAATATTTTGAAATTCTTTTGATCTATTAATCTAGGGACATATTGGCCGTCATCAAATAAAAGAGTTGAAAATGAATACATATCCGACCTCTGATTATAACCTTCTCCAATTTCAATCCACTTTACAATTCGTCTCTGGGCATCACGCTAGTGTTGTAATTTTCAACGTGATCCTTTGATTTACAGGCCGATCTGTTCTAAATATGTGAGGCCTCCTTGAACAAGGTTGTTAACAAGCTCGAATGAATTTTAATGCAAAAAACGTATCTATTTATACCAAAAATAGCATCGGATATGTTGAAATTTACACTTTAATAACTTATTTTTAGCCTAGTCAATAAAAGGTTGTTGGCTGGAGGAGGTGCTGGGCAAGATTTTCAACAAATTTGACTAATGGCATCGTATATGAAGCCTTAAAAGATGTGTAAAAGTTTTGAAAAGTTTGGGGCAATTATTAGCACTCGCGGAGGTGGGAGAAAGCTTGCAAAATTTGTGGCCTAAAGCACAGCCTCCGCTTTCCTTCAAACCTGTTGAACATTTCACGACTTATTTGAAAAAGTGATGCAATTGTGGCTCGGGTCGAGGTTCTCCACACCACACACAACCAATCTCCAACTTTTGTCGAAAACATCCGTTAAACTGAAATCAAATTTTCCCCTTTTGGTTCTATAGTAAATACAAATAATATGGAAGGAAAACTGTGGTTTCTGCATCGCTGCAATTATATTCGCGTTACAAATTATTAGAACGAAACGAAACAATTACGACTTGATCTGAGAGGCAATTTATCACAGAGTAAATTAAAATGACGTCTTTCGTCTAAATAATTTCTCTCTTTTAGAAAAAGAAAACGTGAGACGGTCTCAATTTATGAAGTTGAGAGGATCCCAACCCTTTTTTCAGGCCAGTGATGATGTCACCTTTCCACATTTCGACCACTTTTCTCTCACCGAGAAGGATTGCGTGGTTCTTGTTATTTTCCGGCCACCAAGTGAGAGGCAGTGAACCCATAAATGAGTAAATTAGAATGAGAATGGTGAGAGAAAGGCGGAAATTAATGCAAATGTTTTCTTTCTCCCCAGCAGCAGCAGGAGGAGCAGGAGGATCTCAGCAAACAGGAGATGATGGGTGGCTGGGTGACGGTGAGATTAAATTGGTTTAAGTATCGTCGAGTTGAGAAAAAACTAGCTATCAACCTGTTTATTTCTGCAAAATAGGATTGTCCTAAAAAAATATGAAGGCTAAAAGAATGCCCCGCTTACCTTCTTTCCAAAGACAAAGGTTGTTTCCTCTCTTTTGCGTCGTGGGAAGATTGAGAATTAATTTGGGTTTGGTTATGTATCCAGGTAAAATTTATGTCGTGTTGGGTGGGCGTTATTAGAACGAGGCTGAAGTGAAAGTGGAGTTGGAAATTATATTTCTTGTAGGACCAAACGAGACAAAAATATCATGATACTTCTCAATTTGCTTAATCTCAATTCAATTAAAAGTTTGTATATCAAACTTTAAAATTGTCATGCATTTCTTGCAACTGGAGATGTAAACTTGAAAATAGAATTTGCATAAAGTTTTTGCTTATGAACTTTGATTTTGACTTTGACTTATCTGCTTTAATTTTTGGTGAGGTAATATGTTTAGTACGTTTTTACATAAGTCGTGGTGTAGCTCAAAGTGCTTTCTCTTTTGAAAGTGGGGTAAATTGAGACTGTTAGATTTAATTCAATTTTGTTTATAGATTTTTTGCTAAGATCAGGATTAAATCTGGCCTAGTTTCATTCACGTATTGGTAAAGAGTGGATTATTATCGAGTGGTTATTGTGTTGGGGTGAACGGTTTATCAACTTTGGCCAAAATGAGACGAGGAGTTCGGACGTGAGACGACGAGGTGTGCAGCAGGTCGGACTGTTGAAGCTCAACTGCTTTCACTCCAACCCTACGAAACCCATGGCTTCAACTTTTCCTCTCACTTGGTCGTCCTCCGTCTCGTCAAAGAAGTAGGCAGTGAGCAGTTAGTTTCTTCTCTTGTCAGAACAGAATACCTGATGGAACACCAACCAGACAGGTATTTTCTGTGGAACGTTTAAAGTACGCTCGGCATGCACCACAAATGCTATTTAAATACGTATAGATAGATGGATGGACAGATAGAGGGAAACAATTCCAAGTAGCGCGTGTTAAGTAAGCTAAAACCCGTACAAAAACGTCAACCCAACGATACCGGGAGGTTAATGATTTCGCATTTGTTTGTCTACCTGAATCACTAATTGGTTTAAACGTACGAGTTTCTGCGAGGGGAGATATGTAGGAGAAAAGGTGTGCTGAGATGACCCCATGTACATATGAGATCAAGATGACGTAGCAGAAGGAAATTTATTTCCCCATTAGAAACTACCTACATGTGGATTCAGAGTGGAGATAAGATTCAATTAGATGACGGTCAACATCTCTTCCCACTCGCTCATCTGTTTATGGATGACGACGACGAGAGTGTTATACTGATTGGATCACGGGACGTATGTATTGCAGACTTCTGCAGAGCGGTGGTCACACGTAATCTCTGGTAACGGGATAAGCTTAAAAACATTTTTTTCTTAAATGGATTTTCAGATTCCAGCGACTACCACACAAGGAGAGAAGAAAGGGTGAAAGGAAGCGTGTGTAGGTGTGGTGGGTGAAAAGGGTTTACTAGGAATGCCCACCACATACTCGCCTACATACATGTGTGCTAGAATATTATGCACTATAGAACATAACGACGGTCTGACTGAATGTGGGTTGAGTTTACGACTGTTTTGATTGCTGGGAAGAAATCAATTGGTCCTGAACAATTAAGAGTTTGATCAGTACCACATTTGGACACTTGCTCTTCGTTCCTTCACGTCTTGCTTGGATGGATTTGGAAGTGATTTGTTTCTAAAAATGGAAAATGTGCAGTGGGGCTTGAAATTCGATTTTGATAGGAAAAGAAAGAAAGAAAGCACTCTTTGTCCAGATTGAGGAAGGAATCAGGTTTATAACCTGTACGTATTTGTAGTAAAAAGGTCAAGTTTCTCGTTGGTGTGATATATAAAAAAATCAATTAGAATATTAGCAACTTTAGGACATATATAATTGCATGGACATAAATAGTGGACATTATCAAGATATTATTCACGTCAATATTTTTTTGCGTAGAATCTGAGCATCATGCATTCCATTTGAAGTTATGTGTGTACATAAACGCTCAAAATGAGACCGCTCAGCTCTATTTTTTCATGGAAAGGTTGATGGAATATGAGATGAAATATGGCCAGTCTTAGGTTATCTTTGTACCCAGCATGGCCAATATTATTTCTGATATTTCTTGTCTGTCTAATACTTTTCATCAATTTAATACGGTAATTTTATCTTATCCCACCATTAACATTAAGAATTGGTTCAACTTGTCCTCATTCGCAACCTCATTCTCTCTCAAATGAGGCCAGGTTACACTCGGAGAATGTTCCTTTTTGCAAATTTTCTATGTTGAGGAACACAGTGTAAACATTGGGCTCAGATTTCGGGAAAATGTTACAATACATTTTTAACCATGTATACAACATACGACATATATATCTGAATGCATAGGATTTATTTTAGTCACACTGGAACAATGTCATCGATTTTGACTCGCCGATTTTATTTCTCGACATCCAAGACCATGCATGTCTAATGATTTACATACGTCATCGAATACCTCGTATTATTTTAACTTATCCATAAACAGGACATTGAAATGACAATTGTATTTTTAGAAAAATTCATGCATATGCTTGTCGCGTGACAAATTGAAGGCGAAATCAAAATAAGTTGTTCAAACTTGTCGAATTACAAGGGTCGAATCAATTTCACTGCATTGGATGCATTTCTGGCTGCAGGGATATTGCATAACGTTATGCACTTCAAAAGATTTAAATTCAAGAGGCCGTGATGCGTTAAGTCCAAACTGCCCACATCTCATCATCCTTAACCGACATTGCGAAAATACTGACCTTTTTATGTCAAATATTGCAATTCAAGTGGAAAATCTGGGTTAAATAAACCTGTCTGTCGGTGGATGGAATTAATTCCGCAGGTCCGATAATACTAATAGAAATTAGGCACTCGATGATGCAATTCTCAGGTTTTGAAGTTATTGCCGACAGCATTTTGAGTGCATGCATACATTGCCAATTAGGTTATGAATGCTACCAATTCTGCATTATTTGATGCGCATCAAGTACAGATAATTCAAAGCCGAATAATCCCACTCGATTTAAAAATATCGCTTGACAGGTTGAATAAATTGTTTTATACGAAACCACTCATCAATTTTAAAAGGAGTTAATTTACGTAAGGAATATTAGTAGTGCATGCTTGTGGATGACCTTATGCGAAATTTCAAACATAATTTCTCAGACAAAACAATACGAGTTAAAAAGTTCAACTGAATTTTTCTGTCAATCGCATACTGACAGAATGATGAACCAAGTACGTAGTTCATGGAGATGCACTTATCAACCTCTCCCTTTACGTACTTACAATTTTGAACTTTTCCTCTTTTGATGATTGATGAGCAAGGTTTAATACACTTGATGAAGAGTGTGCCAAATAAATTAGCGGAATTAAATCACCGTCTGCATCTGCATCAAAAGTAAATTGAATATTTGTGCAATTTGAATTACAGACTGAGGATAAGCAAAGTCATTCACTTGTTGGTCTTCAGCGTTGACAAAGTAGCTTTGACTTTGACTCCCACGCCTCGCCACGTCACGGCTCCTTTTCATCGTCGATCATAAAGCGATCCTATGCTTATTGGACGACCTTTCAGTAACCGGTACCCGGAAGATATGGGAAATTCTGTGAATTTGATCCCGCAACCTGTTACTTATTTAGAAAGGACTTTAACTTCTAGGATTTCCTTGAGTTGTGAAAATTTGTTATGATGACACCTATGAAATATTTATTTATGGCGACTGACTTTAAAAACCAAAATTTTTCAGAGTTTTGTAAAAATGTTTCATTTTGCGTGTGTCAATTGAGGAGAAAAGCTACTTACTTATGTAAGAACGAGTAGTTGTACAATTTCCTACGCTGTATGTTTTTCCGTACTTCCTGCTTGGCTATTTCGTCAAAGATTTTAAAATGTGGGCCAACTTCAAACATATATTTGCATACATTTCGAGTTGAAAATTGTACAAATGGATTGAGAAAGAAGTTGGGAAGTAGGCTAACACGAGCACAAAATAGAAAGCTTTCACCCTGAATGACCAGATAAGTACGGATAATAAAAATCGTCCGTTCTACAGATACTCGCTCTCTCTGCCTCCACGAATTGCCGTTACTATTTCCCCCGGGGGATCGTACATAAAGCATGGGATAAGAATTTTTACCTCTACCGGGCGGGGCGGCTGTGGGCATTGGCGGCGCAAGCGGGGGGACATTGTCCCAAGAATTTCAGTAAAATCGTATCTTGTCCATATGTCCCTCCTGCTCCTATCCACAAGGAAAATGTCCCCCCAACGTCCCTCGGCTGTGGGACCGGTGTGGCTGATTGTAAAAGATGGAGAAAGAGGATGTCCCCAACCGACCACACTCTTTATTCAGGCTCCTTACCACAACCACCTACATACTACTACACAAAAAAGGAAGATCTGGAGTACAACGACATTTTCAAGTAAAAACCTTAAAAATCTTTGAAGTTCAAGTTTCTTTAAACTTTATTGCGAAACATTCATGTCTTCTTCTTAAGAGGAAGAAATACACGTACTTCTGGTTCGATCAATGAATTTGTCAACCAGGAAAACTTTCGTTGTGCAGTGCAGATTTTATGATATTCTAAATAATATGCGTCCCGTTTTACTCAATTGTTATTTCAAGTCTTTAAAAAAAAGTGAAAGCTACATATAAAGACTGCACGAAATAACAAAGTTTCACTGTGTCGTGGAAAAATTATTCATCAGGAGAGCGTACGACGATAGTTGTAGAAAGTTATTGCAAAAAGATCGCCATTCTTTCTTTCACCTTCTTTCTTTCTTTATTCCAATAAAATTATTAAAGTGGGAATTGAGCTATTCTTGTCTTGATTTCAGTCGACGGCGTTGGCGTGTTGTGCATATTTGGGTGTCTAATACAACCATTTTGTCACTTTTATGTGTGTACGTCCCTGATAAACCTCTCGAAAAACCAATCTGCCTGGGTGTTTTGAACTTTAGCGTTGAGTTCGTAATGGAATAAAGAAATACGTAAATAAATACATATGTACGTGACTTGAGTGATCTAGATTGGAGGCAGGTAAGCATATGTCAATGCGGGGGTGCGAATGATTGATATATTTAGACCACATACATAAGTGTGATGTAACCTATTACGGAATAATGTAAACATTATTTGAATATTTGGGATAATTGTACACACTAAATTTCACAAAACTAGAAAGTTATTTTGAAATTATTCATTTCATTTGTTAGAAAACTAATCAAGTTTGCCGAAAGATACATTTATTTGTATTGCCTCTATTCACTATCACAAGGTGAATATGTTCATGGATGGGCAACATACTTCGTCAAAATGCAGTGTTTTGATCTCCCTTCTTCACATAGGGTTAGGATTTCCAGGGCCCTGAGACCTACAAAATGTTTAGGTTTTATGAAGAAATTAATTCTTACTGTAGTCAAAATGCATTGTTTTCAATAAAGTATTTTCAGAGTGACAAAAAAGTTAATTTTTTCACAAAAAACTGCAATTTTCGTATGACTTGTGTATTCTCCATGCAGATTCTCGACTTGTAGATGTAAAGGCCCTGGAAATCATGCAAACCTTTGGTAGAGGCCAGAGGGAGATCAAAATACGGTACGTTGACAAGGTATTTTTCCCATCCATGAATACGTTAATCGTGAAGGTATATACATTACGGGAAAGCATTTGATGAATTGTTCACAAAGAATTGAAAATCAGGCCTCAAAAAATGAAACGTAGAAAAAATTATGCGCAAATGAAAGTAATTTAATTTCGCAGTTGTTACATATTTGTTACATAATCATCCTTCTTCTGCCTCCGCAAGTATCGGGACGATTGTCCTTTTGTTTTTAGGTACTGGTCCCCATTTTATTAGTTTTATCAATTTGTAGTTCATTATTACGCTCCAAGACGAACTTCTTCTGCTCCTTCTTCTTTGAACTCGTGTGCAAATAGATCCGAAAAATATGACCCATAATTTTACCAACATTTTCCTGACCCTCATCATAACTTCTTTTAGTGCATGGACAAAGGTTGTCATTCGTACGCTAAATGAAACAGAAAGTTATTTGGTTGCTAATTTATTGCAAAAACCTGAGTGGCGACGTTGGGTGAAGTTGAGACGCAGTTCACAAATATAAACCTGGAGATGCTCTCGTTGACTTTCACCATCAGGCCTAATTTGTCTAATTCATCACATCCCTTCCTTCCTTCCGTCATCAAACCTTCTACATTAATGGAAATTAAACGTTAACAACCCACACTTTAACATTGTCGTCATTTATGTACGAAGTTCATTTGATTTGAATGATCATCATCTCTCTCTGCTACGTGCTTGACATACATATTTATTTGTGTTCACATGTGAAAACAAATTGAGAATGAGGACGCAGAGTAAAACGCTTTTATCATTTGTTTGATAAGATGAAAAGCGGAAGGAAGGACGAGCCCGTTACATCATTTGTACGTGCGTAATAAGAATTTAATTAAAAAAACATCAACACAAATTAGTTTAAAAGTGAATTTCAGAAATCCGGGGTATAATTTAAGTGAGAGTCATATTTTAAGGGTTACACTGTCAGAGACGGAATATGCTCTGTTGAAGCATGTCCTTCGCAGGTGGGAGGCCGTGTAATGAGATGACACGAAATGTGACACGGACGTGACAATGACTTTCCACCGAAATCGGAGGACGGAGGAAATGGTGAAAATTGTCGTGTGTCTCACTTTGCCTCACATTTATTACACTCTACCCAACCGGACCTGTTGCTTATTACGATTTTATGTATGTAATAACACAAAGTAGTTGTGTGTACAAGGCAACAAGGCTGGAAGTTGTACTTTCTCCCGTGCAATAGGACATGCCACTGCGACTTACGTGGTCATAAACGTATTCTGCAAAGGAGAAGCTATTGTTGGTGGGATTAGTGACACCCCGTGGAGGATTAGGCATGATGAGTACGTGCAAACGTACTTTCAGTGAGAATTTGTAACATCTGGTGAAAGTCAGGCCACTCAAAACATGGTTGTCAAAATTGTAGGTTATCATGTAAACTATTTATATCCATTTTTGCATATGTAGTAAAGTAGTAAACAGGAGACAATTCTGTGTCATCACTCAACGTTACGTGGACTGGCTGGAGGATGGGGGCGAGTGAAAGGTTTAACCTGAGAATCGCACCATTCAGCTTTCTCTTTCTTGTGCAAATCGGCGAAAAGAGTTCTTTTGAAGTGTGTTTATTTATAAACGTCGTTTTCCTTATTTTTAAATCAGTCGGAGCAGATTCTAAAACAATGAGGCCGGAATATTTAGAAAAGCCTGTTTATCATTTGACAGAGTAGAGGAACATTATGAGACAGATGAGAGTGAGATAGATTCGATACGGTCGTGTTTAGAAGCCCCAGTAACTTGTTTTATTTCGAGATTTGACCCACCACCATTTATTTATTTTAGTACTTTCTCCAGAGAAAAGTCGAAGGGAGAGGAGGAAACAGCCCAATTTTTTCCAGATTTCAGACGTAACAAGGCGTGGGAGGCACTGATTTAATGCATGGCTACACAATTTGTGTCCTTGGAGAGGTGAGTCTCAATTCCGTTCTGTGAAGTAAAAAACAATATCTACAAAGAAAGAAAGATTGTTGTACAAGGTCCAGGTTGAAGGAATAATGATCCTAATTATGGGCGGATGATTGATTAAATTATGTAAATTATATGCAACACTCGAGTCGTAGTTTTACTTATTCGAACGAGCATATTTATTTTTATTTTTATGAGCTTTCTACATAGAAAACAGTTGTATCAAAAGTTGCATCTTTTGATTTCACGGAATTTTACATTACACATTCTGTGCATGCATGGAGGAGCTGTATCTATCTAGTAGAGTTAATAGATCGGATGACTTTCATTGTAGTTGGTTGGTGTTATCATTTTTTATCTCACTTACCGTTTATGATGGCCACTAATAATTTCACCATGGTGTAAGTGACCAAGGTTTCATTACTCTGAACCAATATAGAAGTACGTATGATCAGTAATCACCTCACTTTGTGGCATGGCATCTTGACAAAGTCGTCGACAAGGCACTCATCTCACCTCCACATACGCTTTTTTAGACGCTTGGCTTTGCTCATGGAATCAGAACTTGTGACAAGATGAGATTTTCAGCCTCTAGCAATCTCATACCATGCTATTTCCGTCGACCAACTAATGTCATATTCATATTGTGCATTAATATTGGTGGTGGTTGACGAGGGAAAGAGATATGCAAGTCGAGAACGTTTTTACTCCGTCTCAATTTCACTGCCTTTTTCTTTCTCCTTTGCAAACTGAGAATACGTTAAGTTTCTGAAAGCATCATAAATATACATGGATTGAACGTACAGATGGCCCATTAACTTTAACTATTTAGCATTTTATATTGTATGAAATTGCACTATGCTGTCTTTCCATGTTACATGCATATATGGTATTTGGTATCGAGTAATGGTGGGGGTGGATATAATATAATTTGGTACAATTAAATGCAGGAAATATTTTACTTCCGTTGCTTGCAAAATGCATAAGAAAGTTTCGTTTGATGCTGAGCAAAAGTTCATTATGAACAGGAAATGGTTTCAAAGAAAGACTACATAATATGCATCCCTTTAAGATATAGATGCACACATATTTTAAAGAAAAATATAATATAATCAACAAGCAGGCCATGTTCACTGCATAAAATATTTTACGCAAAAGTTTTATTCTTCCATACTCTTTAAACGTTAATGGAACATTTGCAAAAACAATTAGTTTATCTTCCAGCTGGCCTTAATGTTGTTTTTTCCTGAAGGAGCATCCTATAATAAACCAGAAATAAAATGATTAATTAATTGTCATCCTTTGCAACGACGGAGAAAGTTTTAAACAGTAAAATATAATATACCTTCCGTTAGCCTCGCTCTACCTCCAGTTGGTTGACAAAGAACTGTGGAGCAACCTGCACAGATAACAACTGATTGGGCATGGCTAAAAACAGTAGTGATCTTGTAACACCCTGAAATAACAGAAATAGATCATGGTTAGCACAACAATACGTCCACCCACACATTTAACGACATTCAAATGCACTACAAATTGTATTATACAACGCATAAATCCTTACCAGGACATTTCACGTCCATAAAGTAAGAGTTAGGATGTTGAACTAGGCGTTTTAATTTATGTGTCCTTCTTTCATCCTCCGGGGAGGGATGCAGCAAATCTCTCGCGAGCTGAAATAAAACAAAGTTTCAAAATTATCCGATAAGTTCAATACACGTTCTACATGCCATGCTCCCCCAATACATTTCTTACGAGGAAACGTCACAAAACGTTTCCTCCAATCTACGAGTGCAAAAACTAGAAACTTGTCACTCCCACTACTCCACCCATCCAGGGACACCTTACAACTACACAATTTGCTACAAACTATGATAATTTTCGAAAAGATTAGAAACTTACTGGCATTTTGAACTCGGTTTTTATGATAAGTTCGCAGCAAAAATACGGTCAGAGACACACAGAGAGAGTGAAGAGTGAGGGAAGGTTGAAGAATGGACCATGCTGCTTGTGGTGGTTCGTCGCCTCTGAAACACGACACCCGAACCAGCCGAAATATAGCACACAATTTTACATCCCCATTTTTCAGAATTTTATTTCGCAAATTGTATTTCTTTTGAAACGTACATCATCATATCTGAATGTACACCATAAGTCTAACATAACGTCTACCCTATCAAGTATATTATTCCCTAATTGTATTCAATTGTATTTAAAGAAGTATAAAAATGCATAGTAGTGCATGCACCTCCGAAGCCAAGAAACTGGTGAATTTATCTGCTCAACTTCGTTCTATTTGACAAATCTACTCAACTAATGTATTGTTCGTTACATTAATTACAAAGCATTTAATATTTAATTAATAGCACTTAAAATTGAAGCATTTAATTCGTTTTTAGTTTCATTTTCCAATTTCATACCGCAGTCCGGATTAAATTGGGCTGTGGTGTTCGCAAGTTCGGCTATCTTTCTCGACTACGAGCCGGTTGAGCTGGATTTGAGAAAATAATACCTCGTCATCGCCCATCGCTCCCACGTTAGGAATTCCGAGAAGTTAGCTGGACCGTGTGGGTTCGTTTAGTTGCAGACTTGTCCGCCATCCGGCGTTAATTCTCGAGCTGGGCAGCTTGTGGGAAAGAACCCGTTAAAATCTGGGAGGTGAGTTGGAATTTCGAGCTGAGTGATGATTGGCTCCTTGGTTTTCAGTGGGAAAATTGCAGAGTGAGCGGCAGAAGGCTGATGGATTTTTTTGCTCGCAGTTTTGTTGTGATTATTTTTTAAAAAGTGAAGCATTTTGAGCCTGAAGGTTCTTGAAGTGTGATCGATAAGATAAGAAGATACGATGGCTGGTAAGTACCAAGGTTGTGAAAGGTCAATGTGTACTTCGTCCTTCTCTGTCGTTGTGGCTGTTCGTTGTTGTGATTAAATTAAATAGATTATGGGCGAGATTTGTATTGTATTACGTAAAGTTTAGTATGCAAATTGCAGAATTGTGTTTTTTTGTAGCTGAAGACCCCAAGATAAAGTCAGACAAATCCTCCGAGATGGATCGGTTCGTCTGCGACGGGAACGATGCAGTACAGTTTAGATTGAGTAAGTGCAAAGTAACGTCAATATATAATTATCTTGATGGACTATTTTGTATTTTACATAGTACGCAACGTAAAGGATTTGGAGAATTCACGTGATGCTTTCCACCCAGAAATGTGCCATCAAGTTTTTAATGAAGGGTAACCTGTTTAATGTTTTAAAATACGATGAAATGAACCTAGTCTTATGCATTTATTATGTGTTTGATTTAGAGAAACAATTTTTGGATATGAAAACTTGTCAATTAATGTTTGCCTGACGGCAGGAAGTCTGAAACCGTACATGGGAATTTCGTACAACAAGAAGGTTTCAAAAGCCCAGAGTGATGGCATTGAGGTTTGTTGGACTTGATTTATACAACAATATTTCTTCTATAGTCCGAGACATGATGGAGCTAAAACAGCTTCACTAATTGAGTTCAAATTTTGCACACATGCATATTAGAAGTAGGCGTTCAGTTCGAAGGTGAGCCAAATCGGTCCAGCGGTTGACCGGCATGTAGGGTTCTGCACCAAAATTTCGAATTCGGCACAGGTCTCTAATGGCTTATAATGAAAGTTTCTGAGGTGCGAAATTGGAAAAAATTTTCAATCAGAGGGACCCATATCGAATTTCAAAAATCATATCTTGAAATGCGAAATTGGGCGTGGTGATTCTCAGAATATGAAGTTAAAAATGAACAAGGTGTGACCAGAGTATGTATGTTAAGCTTAAATAAATTTCTACTAGCTGTGGTAGGTAAGGATGATGTACATTAGTACCATTAGTACGGATTCCTTACAAACGACAAAATTTTATATAGAAATTGTTCTGTAAAGATATAATATTCCATGATATGGATATGGGCACTAAAATACGAGTACTGATTGACATTTTTTTTTACTTTGAAGGCTGACGATGTGATTAGTAAGATGAGTGAAGTCCTCAGAGAAGGCTACACGGAAAATTTAGATGAATTCTCAGGATTCGTCGAAAAAGAGGAAAATGAATTCAAACCTGTTGGAGAATTACTTCACAATTTTTCTACCAACTTCAAAGTCCGACAAGATGACAAAGGTCAAAAGGCAAGGAAGAATACGAATGGCGTGTCATCTAATGGGCATGGAGATATTGGAGCAGAGCGATGTTTCGAGATCTATTTGGTGGATGTAGTCAGCTCTCCCAAATTTATAGAGTATTTGAAACGAATGGAAACTTTCGTACTCTTTTTCATCGATGCTGCGACGTTTGTTCCGATCGAGGATGACAAATGGAGATTCTTCACAATGTAAGATAGCTAATTTTCTAAGCTAATCAACTTGTTCTGCATTTTCAATCACTCTTATTTTTACAATTTAAATTTCTCCTTTAGGTTTGAAAAGTACAAAACGTCACAGGGAAACACGGCGTATGCTTTTGTTGGTTACTCATCCGTCTATCAATTTTATGCGTATCCACTCAACATTCGCCCTCGCATCGCACAAATGCTTATTCTTCCGCCGTTTCAAAAACAAGGATTGGCCCCAAACCTTCTTTCAACGGTCTATCGTTATTACAGAACTAATCCAACGGTTACCGAAATTACTGGTAATAACTTATTTTATTCCCAAAATTTTTCTTAAAGTATGGAAACTTTTTACCTTTAGTATAACCTTTTTCACTATCTATTTTAGTCGAAGATCCGTCGGACGAATTTGAACTTCTGCGAGACTATGTAGACGCCAAAGACTGCAAACAGCTTGATTCATATTCTAAAGATAAGTTGAAGAATGGTTTTAGTGCTGAAATGGCGAAAGAAGCACATGATACTCTCAAAATGACTAAACGACAAGCTCATCGAGTCTATGAAATTTTACGGCTCCAAGTGACAAACGTGCATGATGACCTTGAATTCAAAGAATATCGATTGAATGTTAAGCAACGATTAAACATCCCTTACAAGGTATGCACAAAAGTTCGACATTATATGATTGATATAACATTATTCAAAATTTGTGGTTTGGTTACAGAAACAAGAGAATGACATTAAGCGAATGATTCGTAAAAAATGCTACGACCCGGAAATGAATAAAGCTGCAGCCCTGGATGATAGTACAAGAAAGACGGAGCTCGAAAGCAATTTTCAAATGCTGTTGTCCCATTATCAAAATGTCCACATGCGGCTAGATAAACATGGATGCTAAAGTGCTTAACTTAAATAATTCACTACGGACTCGGGACTATACACGGTGACTTCTTGGACTTCCTTTTTTCATATTGTTTTGTACAATAAGTTTGGTGACCAGTAAGTAGTGTGTAGTCTTTCCTTAAGTAGCAGTTTAGCATAAGGAATATACTTGCGTAGTAGCTAACTAAGATTCAAATAGATTTTTTCATAGGATAGGGGAAGTAGAGATTTAGAAATTAAAATGTAAAAATAAATAGTTAAAATATTTATATAATATCTTTCACCATTTCCTATATATTTTTCCTATATTCAACTCTTTCCCATTAATTTGTACGCTGTATCTGCATGCCAAATTTTAACAGCGAAATTAATTCCCAAGTCAAAATAAATAATTTGATTACAAAAATTACCTAATCAAAAAGTCTAATACGGATGACGGACTAAGTTAATTATCTGGTATGCGTTTGTCATGCATCACTTCAAGTGGTTATAAAATAATTATTCGTTCATTTTCTCACTCATCATATAAAATACAGAACTAGAAATATAGAATAGGTATGCATATGTGTAGATCATCATGAGGAACTCGCCCAACAGGCATCTGGCATCAATTTTTAAAAAGTACGTAATACAAAACAAACACTCATCATTATAACCTAGTCCCGGTGCAAAGTAAAATTGATAAAAGTAGTAATAACAGTTAAATAGCAGTGTAGATATCATATAGCATATCTATCCTTATATTATGTATCTCTATGTATCTATCATACGTGTTTTACCGACGAAATACAATTGAGCTTTGACTCAAAGCCTTTGAGCATCGTCAAAAAAGCGAGTAATGCTTGGTGTTTCGCGTTAGTAAAGACCAGTCCGTCTCTGTTTCTCATCGTGTAAAGAGGTGTTTTGCTCGAATGATGAAAGAGAAATAAGAATTCACACGTTTCTTTACACATATTATTGTAGTACCACTCGTTTACACGATTTACACTGTAAATTTTACAAACTTACAAGAAAATCAGCGCAAATTAATTACAGCTATCCATTCTATGCAAAATATGAAGTCCATTCTTCCCCTGTATGTGAAAGGAAAAGTGGTCAAAGGTTTCGGGCGAGGTTCTAAAAGTCTTGGAATTCCGACAGCAAATTACGAACAATCTGTAGTCGATAAATTACCGGACCAACTTAAAGCAGGGATCTATTTTGGGTGGGCAAAAGTTGGGAATCAGGGTGTGGTGGAGAAGTGCTGCTTATCCCTTGGATGGAACCCCTACTTTAAGAACCAGGTCAAGTCCATGGTAAGCGACTAATTTACATTCTGTTTATTTACATAAATAAACCGGTCTAAGGCATTTCAAATTATAAATTATAATTTGGTCGGTCATTTTTTGTATGAAAAGTTCTTATCCTTATGTGAAACCTAACTTTTATTTTCTTTTCTTTCAGGAAACTCATATAATCCATAATTATCAAGAAGATTTTTACGGGTCCATCCTTAAAGTTTGTGTTGCTGGTCATATACGAGACGAACAAAATTTTAGCAGCATTGGTACACAATTTACAATTTTATGTGTATATATAATATTAGTGTCCTTTAAAATAATAACAAATTGATTTAAATTTCAGACGAATTAAAAATCGCCATCGAAAATGATATACAATTTACTCTTAAAGAACTAGACAAACCGGAAATGCTGGAGTACAAGAACAACAATTTCTTCATGACTGAAAATGGATTCGCTTAGTTAGATTAATTGCGTTATGTGTGGTTAAATGTTAGTATGAGTCTGAATTTGCAACTGAAAATTTAATTAACAAAAATTACTTTGTAATTTCATAAAAATAGTCAGAATGCCTATAAAAACAGAAGAATCTCGCAAAAATTGTACCTGCGCACATTTTATGGAAATATGTATTAAATAAAGAATGACTATTTTAAGGATATTTTTACTTTCCGTTAAACTTGGTTTATTAAATTGACTAATAATACAGAGCAATAAGATTAATGCTAACGCAGACTATAATATTTTCTTAACTAGAATTTTTCCTTGAGATTTAAGTTTCATTTTCGCAATGAAATCCTCCAATTCATCCTCGTTCATTTTCAAGGGCTCAATTGCTGGGAGCTGGGCTTCAATAACTTTGTCTTCTTCGAATAAGAGTGGTGCAGGCTTTTTAAAAGGGAACGGAACCCAAGGCAGTCTTTCTTCGACTTTACTCGTCCAGTGAACGATTCTGCTTCTTACTATGACTTGCTCTGTTTTGTTTATCTTTAAATAAATGAAGAAAGATATAGAATTAAATCATAAGTAATGTCACGTTTACACTTACTGTTACTGTCACATAAAATTCTTTGCCATTTAAAGTAAGGTCTGGTCCTTTTATAGGATTTTTCGGCAATGTTATGGCATGGTCTGGAACTATGATGTGAGCTTTTCTAAATGCTAGAGGACACAATATCGTATTAGATTTCTCGGCCAACAAAAATTAAAAGGAAAGTGCTAAAGTAAGAAGTTAAATTGCTCAACGACGTTATCTTACCTACACGAACATGCCAAGGTTCCAAGGTCCAAGGAACATCTTTGTTCATTGTGATAAACAGGATAAGCTTTGACAAAATATCCATTGTCTGTAAAACAATAAATACATGCAACTAAAATGTATACTGAAATGGAATCGAAAATTGCAATCTATAAATAGAGATAAATCTTACATTTTTTACATATCTGGAACTGTAATTCATAATATTTAAAGCAGTCGCATCCCTATACTTTTCCTTATTTTCTGGCGTTGGGTAGACGGCTTTATGTTTTAAAATCAACTCACGTCCAGTTTTCGCCCAAATTTCGACACATTCTCCAGGTTGTCCCACATCTGAAGGTAAATAACAAAGTTTATCAAACAATCAAAGCTTTGTAAATCACATTTATGATAATATCCACTCACTTTCAACGTATTCGGTGAGCAAAACATTCATCAACGGGCGCACATAGGGAGTTGGATTTTTATCTTGGACTGTATTAAAAACCTGGTGACGTCTCCTTAAGCTAGGGTATTTATGAATCTTGGCCAATGGGGCTGGATATTTTCGTTCAACAATGTAAGTAGCTGTCTAAAATTAAGTACAAAAAATCCTAAATTAAATATGAAAAAATATTTTTTGTAACAAAATTATTGGAGTTGGTTGCGTTCATTATTTTAATAGTAGTTACCCACCCTGAAACTTTGTTGAAGGAACGGTCTTTTTGCGACGACCTGGAAAAGCTGCAACAATTGTTTCCCACTGGCAGAATTCATTTTCATAAATTTTATGAAATTAACTAATTTGAACAAAAATAATTCTTGTCCACATGTGCACCGGGTGGGAAATGTGAGACTTAAAATTTGACTTTGCCGCGACTCCAGTAAATGAGGTTTGTTGAGCGGTTAGAATTTCTGCTGTGTTGATTATTGTAAGAAAGACACGTTACAAAGTTTCTTTCTAGATTACCGTTAGTTAAAAATTAAAAATTAAAAATTTGAATTTGAATACAATGGTCCTGAGATAAGCGAGTCAAGAAGAGATTGGAAAGCAGAAGAAGAAGAACTTTAGTCGGAGTAAGAAACGGTAACAAAGTCACATTTTATTCACTCTTTACACTTTACATTTAATTGATTTAATCATAAATTGCAAATTGTATTTACAACTTTTTAGCCCGAGTCAGGGCTTATAGAGCTATTATGTCCGTATATCTGTCTGTCTCTTGCTAAACTCATGGCTAGACTTTAGTTAACCGTCGGTCTCCGATAGGGTTAAGTGATACGTCATTTTGTTCGTCTCGGCGAGCTGAACAAGAATATCGAAGCCAGAAGGCGCGGAAATGTCCCGTTCAAAAGTTATGGCGGGACAAAGTTTGAAATTTTTATTGCATTTTTGGACGTTTCAGAGAATTCTACGACTTTGTCTCACTTTGCCCCAAAGCGGGAAATTTTTTGGGGTATATTGAGATTTTAGGGGTAACGTGAGATTTTTAGTTTTTATTGCAGAGTATTGAATTTCAATCAATTTCCGACATGGGAGGACATTTTTGGGGTAAGATGAGATTTTCGGGGTAACGTGAGATTGTGGCAAAACGTGGCAAAACGGGGGCCCTCACATGGCGACCGCGAGCGAAGCGAACCTGGAAAATGCGAAAGCGGGAGCCCCGCACTGGTAGTAATTATGTCGAATATTGGGGTATTGTTCGTATTTTAGCGAGCGAAGCGAGCAGGTTAGGTTAGATTGAATACGCGGAAAGTGCTACCTAGGAGAGCTACCTAAAAGTGTTACCTAGAAGAGCTACCTAGAAGAGCTACCTAGAAGTGCTACCTAGCAGTGCTACCTAGAAGAGCTACCTAGAAGTGCTACCTAGAAGTGCTACCTAGAAGAGCTACATAAAAGTGCTACCTAGAAGAGCTACCTAGCAGTGCTACCTAGAAGAGCTACCTAGAAGTGCTACCTAGAAGTGCTACCTAGAAGAGCTACATAAAAGTGCTACCTAGAAGAGCTACCTAGCAGTGCTACCTAGAAGTGCTACCTAGAAGAGCTACATAAAAGTGCTACCTAGCAGTGCTACCTAGAAGTGCTACCTAGACGAGCTACCTAGAAGTGCTACCTAGAAGAGCTACATAAAAGTGCTACCTAGAAGAGCTACCTAGAAGAGCTACCTAGAAGTGCTACCTAGAAGAGCTACCTAGAAGTGCTACCTAGAAGAGCTATCTAGAAGTGCTACCTAGAATTGGGGAATTGGATAGGAAATAACCCCAAAAGTCTCAAAGTACCCCGAAACCCCTCCCGCCGTGCCGTAAAATGATTGTAATTCAATATTCTGGAATAAAAACTAAAAATCTCACCTTACCCCAAAATCTCAATATACCCCAAAAAATTTCCCGCTTTGGGGCAAAGTGAGACAAAGTCGTAGAATTCTCTGAAACGTCCAAAAATGCAATAAAAATTTCAAACTTTGACCCGCCATAACTTTTGAACGGAGCGTTTCCGCGCATTCGGGTTTCGATATTCTTGTTCAGCTCGTCGAACTGAACAAAATTACGTATCACTTAACCCTATCGGAGACCGACGGTTAACTAAATTTTTTCCAAACTCATTCTATCGACTTGTTCCAAAGTGATAGTACAATGTCATACGGACGAAATTATTATTTTAAAGGACCCCAATGCTTTTCTAATTTTAGATTAAATGTAAATTTACATAATCTAAGGCTCAATGCAAAAACTGAATCCATTTTCGTTGCTAATATTTCCTGCTCCCTCCAGTCGAATTAGCTCCTAGAGATCGCTCCTCCACCACCAGCAGACCCACCCCCCGGAGTAAACCGTCCTTTTCTGGTCTTCGCCTCGTACAGAATTTGAGACTGGCGTTTCACAAAATTTCGTGTCACAGCCTCCTCTTCTTCACTGGAGTCCTTTCTCCCCCTCCCTTTTCCTCCCTTCATGCCCCCTGCACTGTCCTCTCTTTGTGAGGACTCTCCTCCGCCTCCCACATGCAACCCACCACTAATTCGGTCATGGTCATGAACTAGAATGGAAGGGGCGCGATCTCGAAACGAGGCCAGAATATCGGATGCGGACCCTGTCGACATGTCTCCAAGTGCATGACCCCCGCCTATTCCTACGTCCAGGTCCGAGATGGAACCTCCAAGTCGGAAACTGGTCGTGGAACCCACGGGTGAAGGCAAGTTGAAAATCGACGGCCCTTCGGCTGCAATTTCGAATGGGATCAGGCCACCACCACCTTCCGAACTGGTATTGAGGTCGTCATTGTTTCCATATTTTTGAGCGAGTGTCGTCGGGGTAGTTGGGGGCATAGGAGAAAATGAAAATGACGACGACCCAAATTCAAACCCACTCCCCAATAATCTTTCCAATTGTTTAAGTACCAGTTTGAGTAAGCTTACTACATTTTCTGCCGGAATTTCACTGCTCACAGAATGAGCTGGGACTTTGAATTCATTTATTGTGCAGATTTCGTTAAGTTTTGCAAGCATTTGTTCCATGACGAGGATGTGATCTTCACGCCAACTATTGAGCTTGTCCCTTTGCATAGAAATTGACGACATCTCCTTGTTGATTTTAGAGGTTCGAGTATTCAGCTTTTCCCTCTTGAGGCCTCCGCTAAATTGGAGTTGGCTCAGTTTGTCGTCGAGGAAGCGTTTCCGGAGTTTCGCCTTCCGAACGACTGATTTTACGTTTTCTTCTTGCACGAGGAGCTCTTTCGCATGGTTTCTTTGTTCCTCAAACCTCGTGACAATGAGAGATGGATCAGATTCGCCAATCATTGCTGCCAATTCGGCGTAAACGGTCTCCACGATGGACTGACCTTTTCCTTCTCGCTTATCATCTGCAGATTGGTAGCCGACGTAGAGGCCTCCACCATCCGCAACTGAAGAGTCGCGATGAATCATATGGAATTTTGGGAAAGATAACTTTGCTCCAATTTGCTCCATTTTTTCTCGAATAGTTTTTAGCTGAAGGCGTGCCTCGTGGAGGTGTTGTTCTCGTTCAGAATAAGCTTTAATTGTCGTTTCCTCAATCTAGGCAAAGTTACCATACATTTTGATCATAAATAATACTTAAGAACTTAAATACCGAGATGATGAACCCATATTTTCTACCTCGGTCAATCTTGTCTTCGCCACCTTCTTCGCTTTCAACGAATCAGCTAGCACTTGTCGAATCCGTTCAATTTCTGCAACGTCAGAGGCCAACTTCTTATCATTTTCTGAAACTTGCATGTTCAGAGAAACGTTTTCTTCTTTTAAAAGAGTGATCATGTTTTTGTAACGGGATCGAATGTTGTCTGCCTCTGTAATTTTCATCATCATTGCGGCCGTGGACGTCTCGGTATGTTTTATCCCATCCAGTCTTCTGTAGTTGCAATTATACATATGTACGTTATGCATTATATTAATAGTTAAAATTAATTAAGCAAAATAGTGGCAAAATTGCCGTACTTTTTAACTGCTGGTGGAACAGTTTTATTATTAGAACTGGTCCGTTTTGGTCTTAAATTGCCTTCCATCATCTTATGCAATTGTTCCTCCTCCTCGGCCACTTTGCTCATTAAAGCGACTTGTTGTTCTTTCGAGTATTTCAAATAGTTTTGCTTGTTTCGCAACGTTCCAATTTTGCATTCTAAAATGTCTACGACCTCTGCAAACTTTTTGTTTTTGAATTCATACGCTTTCTTCTCTCCTCCCAATCTGGCAGAGATTTCCTTTACAAAAATCTCCTTGGACTGGATCATCGTCTTTCTTTCACTCTTCAACTGAACATTTTTTTCTTTTATCTCCTTTAAATTGGTCTCGTTCTTCTTTAACGTCTCTTCATTGGACTCGTAGTTTGCTTTTCGTTCTCCTTCGACCAGGTGAATGCGGCGTTTTAGATAAGAAATTTCCGTGTAAATTATTCGATGAGTGTCACTCACAAAGATATTTTCTAAGGATGTGGCTCGTGCTTTTTGCGACATTTTGAAAAAAATCTTTTAGTTATCAGACGGTTTTAAAAAATGTTATATTAATAACTTTAATAATTTGTCTTTAAAAATGCACAGAAAAGAAAGCTGGCATGTTAAATCAATAATAAATATTGATTCAACTCTTATGGAGAAGGTTTCAGATTGGTGTATTGATCCAACTGCTTAATTAAGTATGTTTTTAGTGCTTATAAGTTCATGCTTATATACATGTACTTATTTGAGGAAATTGTTTCTTACAGATAAGAGCCAAAGGTTAGAACAATGCCCAAGAGGGCGGCCGCCAACACCCCGGCGAAACCCAGGAAGCGGGGACGCCAAGCGAAAAACAAGGAAGGCGCTGGCGAAGATGTTGGAGAGAATGACGAGGACTTACTTCATCAGATGAAAAGACGTGCAATCATCGAAGCTAAAGATGATGAAGAAGACTGGGTTCGTGAAATGGAAAAGGAAGAGGGTGGGCATTACTTGGAGGACATTTACATCCCTCCAAAAATCACTCGAACGGAGCATCCCTTCACCGGAGAACGTTTAGTGATTGAGAAGATTGTTTGCGAGAACTTTAAAAGTTATGGAGGAATTAAAGAGATGGGACCCTTTCACAAGTCATTCTCTGCCATCATTGGGCCCAACGGGAACGGAAAGAGTAACATAATTGACGCCATGCTGTTCGTGTTTGGATATCGGGCATCTAAAATCCGCTGCAAGAAAGTATCCACTCTAATTCACACGTCAGAGTTGCTTCCTGATCTCAGAAGCTGTGCTGTCACTGTTCACTTTTTTAAAATCATTGACGACGGGGATAAAGTGAAAGAGGGGGCGGACGACTTTCAGATTGTGGAGGGGTCAAGAATCGCAGTTAGGAGGAAAGCATTCTCGGACAATAGTTCCAAATACTATTTGAATGGAAAGACTGTCAAATTCCAAGAAATTGCAAAATTTCTCAAGTCCAATGGTGTGGATTTGACACATAATCGGTTTCTTATTTTGCAAGGAGAAGTAGAGCAAATTGCTCAGGTATATAAATCATACACTGCTCACTTTATGTATACATTAAATGAATGAATACGATTAAAATATGCTTCTCTAATACATTTATAGCTACCACCGATTGGCTCTAATGGAAATGATGGCTTATTAGAGTTTTTGGAAGATGTAATTGGCACCCGTCGTTACATACGTCCCTTGGCTCAATTAGAGGAACGAGTAGAAAAGTTGGATTATGAACGTGACGAGAAATTGCAACGAGTGGACAAGGCAGAAAAAGAAAAGGCTGCTTTAGCTGAACCTGTCAGAAAGGTGATTGCATATTTAGGCTACATTGTTATATACAAAATTCAAATTGACTTATTTAGACATTTGTTCCCTTAATTTAATTCCTTACAACAGGCAAAGGAATATCTTCGAGATCAAAATGCAAAAATGCGCTACCAAAATATTCTTTTTCAAAAACAAAAGTACACGGCGAAGCAGAAAGTGGAGGAGAAGGAAAAAATCAAGCTGGAGTTGGAAGTAAAGATTAAAACTTTACAGATACGTCTCGACGAAATCCTTTCCACCAATCAAAAAAGAAAAGAAGAGACAAAGAAAGCAGAAGTTGAATACAAAACTGCAGAGAAAGAATATGCCAAGGTGAAGAAAAAGTTTGATGCTGCTGACGCCGAATTTATCCAACTTAATCAAGAGTTGCAACGGCTAAACGAAACACGTAAAAAACATTTGAAAGAAGTCACAAAGTTACAGGAAGACATCGAAAGACAAATCGGAATCCCAGCTACTCACAACAGGGACATTGAGCAGTTGACAAAACGACAGTTGGATTTGGATACGGACATTGAAAAAGAAGAACGTTCCGTCAAATCAGACTTGGAAAAATTGAACATAAAAGTTGAAGAAGCTCTGAAAATGAAGGAAATTACGGACAAGCAGTTTGCTGAACAAAAAGCTGTACGGGATGAAAAGAAAGCTGTGATGGACAAGCTTAAGAAACAATTGGGCAATTCAAAAGAGCGTGAGGGAGTCGAAAAGCAGAAATTGAATCAAATGGAAGAAGACCTCGAGAAATTGAAGGAAACTATTAGCAAAAAAGACAAGGAAGCAAGAACCAGTTTGGGAAATAACAAGATAGCTACGCTGGAGGGGAAACTAGAGCAATTGATCAGCGAGGAGACTCAACTTCAGGAGGTGGAAGCTGGAAAAAGAACTACATTCGAGCAGGCGAGAGACGAGTATCAAACGGCTCAAGAAGCATTGGAGGGTAACAATCAAATGGATAAGGTGAGGCATTAGGCATTTTGTTCGGCATTTATAAAACCACCCCCACCCTCGTCCACCCCCACCCCCATCCACCCCCACAATTTTTATGGGGCAACGTGAGATACCTTGGGGCAAAGTGAGATTCTATTTCATATTGGGGTATCGTTCGTAATTAGCGAGCGAAGCGAGCAGGTTAGGTTAGATCAACTAGGTACGCGGAAAGCCTGGAAGGCTGAGCTAGCAAATCTAGCTAGCTAGGCTAGATAGAACCTAGGTAGCTAGGGTAGCTAACCTAGCTAGCTAGGCTAGATAGAACCTAGGTAGCACTTCTAGCTAGCCTTGCTAGCTAGCAGAGCTACCTAGGTTAGCTAGCTAGAATTTCTACCTAGGTTCTATCTAGCCTAGCTACCTAGGTTCTATCTAGCCTAGCTACCTAGGTTCTATCTAGCCTAGCTACCTAGGTTCTAGCTACCCTAGCTACCTAGGTTCTATCTAGCCTAGCTAGCTAGATTTGCTAGCTCAGCCTTCCAGGCTTTCCGCGTACCTAGTTGATCTAACCTAACCTGCTCGCTTCGCTCGCTAATTACGAACGATACCCCAATATGAAATAGAATCTCACTTTGCCCCAAGGTATCTCACGTTGCCCCATAAAAATTGTGGGGGTGGACGAGGGTGGGGGTGGGGGTGGTTTTATAAATGCCGCATTTTGTTTACAAAAAATATGACCTCAACAAAATAATCATGTAATTTTATGCATTTATCTATATCTGACCTAATTATGATATAGGTTGATCGTGCCTTACTCGAAGCGAAAGCTGATGGGACACTTGCCGGGCTGTACGGAAGGTTAAAGAACTTGGCAAAAATTCCGGAAAAATACAACATTGCTGCAACTGTGAGCACCGGACAACTTGAGCACTGGATTACTGATAATGATGACACGGCCGGAAAATGCATTGAGTTTTTGCGAGCAAATGATCTCCCATTTCAAAACTTTGTATGCCTCAGCCGACTACATAACTATGTTCGACAGGCGAAAGAACGATTTGACACACCGAACCAGTCTCATCGTATTTTTGACTTGTTAGATATTAGTGATCGGGATCTTATTCCTGCTTACTACAAAGCGTTCAGAAATACTTTGGTGAGTCAACTCAAAACATTATACGATATTTCCTGTTTAATATATGGCATGAATTTTTTATGACATTTCACAATCTGACATCTTATGAATGAATATGTCGATTAGTGTCTTGTCAATTTATCACGTTGGTACTTAATGTCGTATGTTTTCTCCTAATTTCCAGGTTGCTGATAATATAGACATTGCTACAAAAGTTTCTTATGGTGGAAGCCGAAGACATCGAGTCGTAACATTGAAAGGAGAAATTGTAGAAGTCACTGGTAAGAGCGATTAAGTAAATAACAAGTAATTGATTGGGTAAGTAATTGCGTGCCCTGTCTTTCCTTTTAGGATCCCTTGTTGGCGGAGGAAGACCAATAACAGAAGGGAAACTGAACTCTAATCGGTCAGGTATTACAGTTACTAAACAGCAGTTGGCTAATTTAAGGAAACGCCACGACGATGCTCTCCAACACTATCAAAAGGCACAAGAAACTCGTCAAGCAGCAACGCAAAACGCACGAAAACTCAGCGAAGAGATTGAAGAAATTAAACGCAAATTGAATAATTTCACTTCGGATATGGCCGCACTGAAGGCACAACTTCCCTTGAAGCAAGCCAACGTTGAAACTCAGAGTAAAAAAGTGAAGGATGTAGCCCTCACTCCTGCTGTCCTAAAAGCGAAAGAGGCTGAAATTGAGCAAGCCGTCAGTGAATTCGACGAATTGCTAGAAGCATTCCAAGAGGCAGAAGAAAATGCTAATCGAATTAATCAAAAAGTTCATGATCTCCAAGTCATAAAGAAGAAAGAAATCACAAAGAAATTAGACAAGTTCAAAGAGCAGAGAAAGAAAGTTGAAGAGGAGCTTAACAAGAAGATCGTCGAGTTGAAAAATTGCGAGACTAACCGCAAAAAGTCGGAAAAGAAGCTGGAATCTCTTCAACAAGAAATTGTTAATTTGCAAAACACAATGGAGAAGAAGAATGAAAGGAGAAAGAAGGTGGAATCTGAAGCCAAGGAAATTAAAGATCTAGACGAAGGGCTCTCAGCAAGAGTGAAGGAAACTAAAAAAATATTCGACGAGTTAAATTCACACTCTCATGAAAATCAAAAAGAAGAGAATACGTTAACAAAACAAAAACTCTCTCTTGAGAACCAACATCAAGACGCCGCTAATGAGATGAAAGGATGCCAAACATATCTCAAAAATGTGGACGATTCGAGAAGCAAATTAAAGTTGCATGATATTCCAGAAGAAGACGTTGAGCAATTTAAAGAATTCACGGACAATGAAATCCGGGCATATCCTGTGCCAGAACTGGAGAGAAAAATTCAAAAGTATTCAGAAAAAATTAAAAGTAGACCTACTCCGAATTTGAATATTTTGGACGAATACAGAGATAAGGTGTGTATCAAGTCTCTTTGAGTGAGTACTGATTTGTTGTATGGATAAAAATGTTAAGTTCTTTCCTTCTAGATTGAGACATTACTGGAACGGATCAAAGAATTGGACATGATCACAACCCAAAGAGATAAATTTCGAGAAGCCTACTGCCTGCTGGACCAACAGCGATCTACGGAATTCATGGAAGGATTTGCTTTAATTTCATCACGTTTGAAGGAAATGTTCCGGATGATATCAATGGGCGGAGACGCTGAACTGGAAGTTGTGGACACGCTAGATCTCTTTGGCTGCGGGATTAATTTCTCGTGAGTATTATTTATGTACATTAATACTAAACTTGTTGAAATAGTTAAGAATGATGTTTATTTCTTCTGACACCTCTAATGAGCCGTGTTTTTCACAATGATTCAACATTGCATTAGCAACTTACTGACTTTTAAAAATAACTCCTTCTATAAATGTTAATTATATAAAGAGTCAAGGCAAAGAATTGTAATTTGATTATTTCGGCGTATTTTTAGGGTAAGACCGGCACGGAAGACATGGAAAAAGATTTCCAACTTGTCTGGTGGAGAGAAAACCTTGTCGTCACTTTCTCTGGTTTTTGCCTTGCATCATTTTAAACCCAGCCCTTTTTACGTCATGGATGAAATTGATGCTGCCCTGGATTTTAAAAATGTATCAATTATTGCGAATTACATTAAGGTAAGGTTAAAAATTCTACTACTTGTATTGAACATTTGTGTTATATGATGGTAATAAATTATTATTTTACTATTTTATGAATAGGACCGAACAAAGTTTACCCAATTTATCATCATTTCGCTGCGTTCCAACATGTTTGAACTGGCCGACAGTCTTCTCGGTGTTTACAAAGTGGACAATATGTCGTACTGCATTCACTTTGGTGTGAAAAAGATTGTTGCTGAACTTCGACGTAAGATTGACAGAGCGCGAAATCCATTGGCAAGCCAAGGACAAGGGAATACTGGTCCTTCTACGAAAGAACTCCAATCCCAAGACGTTCCAGCGTCACAAGTTCCTCCAGTGCAAAACAATTCTCCTATCGCCGGCACAAGCAAAGCTGCAATGTTGGAACTAATGCAGCAGCAGCAAAATAGGACGAGAAAGTTTCCAAGAATTGATTTATCAGCAATCATCGATGAGGATGTACAAGTTGACGTCGAAGAAGAAGAAGAAGATGGTGAAGAGGAGAATCATTCCCATTTACCAAAAAGTCCGACAGTTATAGAGAAAACTGTTTTAGAGCAACAAAAAGAAAACAGTTTTACACCTCCAGGACGAGTCTCCGATGCCCCAAGTGCTGCTGCTGAAGAAGCTCTTGGGAGTGCAGACATGTTTGAAGACATGGATGCAGATGCAGATGTAGCATCTATCCCCCCAAAACGAAGTTCCTTGCCAAAGTTTACCTCCACACCCTTTGTCGGTAGAAGGCCAGCACATGCAACGAGAAACCAGGGTGGTGGATTCATTAATGACAGTGACGAAGAGGGTGGTGTTATCGGCCCGACTGATGTCAGTCCTGAAATTTCTCCGATAAAGGGCAACCCACCCGTTGTGCCATTCACTCCCGCACCTGCTGGTGGTGGTGGTGGTGACGACGAGGAGGATAGTTTTAAGTCTGCTCGAGATTCTCAAGATTCTGACGTCGATGAGATTGGTCCGTCTCAAGAATGAGCCAGCTAACAGACACCAAATAATATGGCAATAACGGGACGATATGGTTTCTATCTATGTAATAATCATAATCATAATAATGACATGTTTATAAAACAAATCTATCATAAATTCCTTCTTGTCAAATTGTTCGTTAGAGTTTTATTGTATTTAGATTAATGTTTTCTTGTAAGATTCATGAATATTCTCTCTTCTCTCTTTCATGTCATTAACCAAGTACAGATATTTACGCTTATACCTCACGTAGCACAAGATTAGACAATATTAACCTATAAATAGATTCGTGACATTTTGCACTTTTTTATTGTCTACAATTCTACAAATCAACTACGGAGATTTAATAAAAGATGACAGAAGTATGAAACTAAAAACTCCTCTCATGCACGGCTCATCACTATATCAGATAATATCATCATATTAAATATTCATAACCAAAATGAATTGTATCCGTTCCGATGAGACCAAAAAGTGCACATAATCCATAATAGCAACAATTTTTTGCTTCTTCTTGATCTTCAATGAATCAAGGTCAAGTGAATCTCCTCTTCACCAAACCAACAATGAAGCTCGTCTTTGAATCCAAGAATCTGTTCTCCATTTGGCCAAAGCAGTGGTCAAGTCACAAAAAAATAACGATTTGATTTATGCCAAGTCGACTCGACCAAGCAACACCAACCTCTCCTCTCAGAAACAATGGATGGATGAAAGAGATGCTGTGCAAGTTGGATGAAATACATAAACCTTGTTTTCTGAATGCGAAAATCAAGTGCATGGTTATGATACCTATGATTAAGGTGTGTAATTCATAATTGAGTGATGAGACTAGAAGTGAGGTTAGCAGTTTGGAAAATCTGCACTTTGGGTATGTATGTACACATGTAAGTAAATACAAAGGTGGACGGTCAGTCAGTCAGTGAGGCATGCTAACTATCCACTTCTTGGTATCATTATATCATCATCTCACTTACTCATTGCATTCGTAATGGTAATGCTTTAACATTTAACAGCAGTATGGTAATTGGAAATTATTGGGTTAAACAGAATCCGGCAGCAGGGATAATAAACCTTCAAGAAATACCAGCACCACCATCATCGCTGCATCGCGTTTTGTTTGTTGCAAACAATAATGACGTGAAGGAATAGTGCTTCGAGGAAGATTCGTCAAGATTTTGGAGTCTTCGTAGTCCAGTCTTCAAAAAATAGCGATATTGAACAGAGTGCAGTTTCCTTCAAGCCGTGTTACTGATCGAGTTTGTTCATCTTATTTAATAATTAATTAAGCAAGTCAAGTTAAAATAATGAATATTCGATAACCAATTTCTATTGTGAAATACAAGTATTAAGCACGATAGCAAGTGTCTAAAATCTACAGTTTTCTGTAACAAATGCACCTCGTCTCAAAACTGTGAGCAATATGAGACTGCCCCAAACTTCTACCCCAGGAATCGTTCTCTTGCTCGTCTCACTTTCCCAGATCCACGGACAAATCGCGTTCGATGTGGGCAATCGTGACTAAATATCTTAAAGTGACAATTTTAATGTCATACTACTTGGAATTATTGATATGCATTCTTGATTCTAGGGACTTCAGACGATAGTGATTCAATTTGACGATGCCGTAACAACAAACGCGCCTGCTTGCAGCACCCCGGACGGTGTACGTAATGCGTTTTGGTTGGTCGTTTAGCAGTAGCTACCTAGATTTCGAATTTGAATAAATGAATTAGCAAATGTGTCAAGGGAAGCGGTTAAAGAAAATAATTAGCAATTCCCTTAAAGCTATTAATGATCCGTGTTTGAATGTCACTGGTGATGAGATGAATGTGGTTTGTTGCATGTCTGCATAATATTGAAATTATCAATGTTTTCATGCCTGAATTTTAAAACAGAGGCAAGGTTTCTGCAAACCTCTCGCTCAATGTGCCATCTTCTACGCGGAAATCCCCACTTTGCTGGAAAGGTACACACAATTATTGTCATCATTTTATTGTCCCATTTCCCATCCCGTATCATATCGCGTAGACCCTGTGAAACTAAGGCTGGTCAAAAAGGCGTTTGTTGTCCTATCGACAACGCCCAACAAGTGGTTGGACCTCGGCAAAAACCGCAGGGCACGGGCGTGGGTGCCAACGGAGTTCTCACGGCACCCCCGCCCCCTCAAGTCGTCATTCCTCGATTGAGTAGGAAGGAACTGGAGAATATTGCGGAGCGGAGTGTCGCAAAGTTTCAAGAACGGGTGGAACGTATTTCAGATTTGTTATTTAACAAGAGAGTTAGTTACACATTATTTCGCCCAATTAAATTGGGTAAAGAATTTGGATTAATCTCGCTATAATTAATTAGGTGACGATTCCGAAAGGGTCTCCAGCAGCAGCGCATCAAAAGTTTTTTGAGACAACGAACCAAGTTTTGGACAAGGGGAACGACGCCCAGCTGAACATTGAAGCTTCACAAAACATCGTAAACGAGTAGGTTTACTTTGTTGCAATGCTAAGCAAATTGTACTTGCAGAATTATCTTATGTACAATTTTCAGCCTGAACCTATCTCCGGAACAAGGGACATTTGGTCTGCCTCAGATAACCGTTCGTGGAACAAAGGTTAATATATGAAGGAATCATTGAGAAACTTGCATTCAAATTTTTAACACTGTTCTTCTTTTGCACAGGTTGAGAGTACTTGCCCCCCAGTGTCACGATGCAACCCAAACTTTCCTTACCGTACAATGGATGGAAGTTGCAACAATAAGCAGAATCCTGATTGGGGCGAGTCGTTAAACAATTAAATAAATTCTTTAAGTTAAAATAACAATTTAAAATTTTGCTTGTGCAAATTTTTAGGTAAAAGTCAGACCGCATTTCAAAGAATCCTCCCACCCAAATATGGAGACGGTATGCAGTGATTTGAGCATGAATACAAAGGTAAAAATGTTTCAATTCTAATTCCACATTTTTTAGGGATCAACAGTCCAAGGGCTCAAGCAAATCGTCAACCACTCCCGTCAGCAAGGACGATAAGTGATCGTTTCATTACGGATGAGAACAGACCGTACAACAATCTGACGTGAGTGAATATTTGTCCGATGAGAAACGTCAAAATCTTTAATAAAGTGAGGCATACATGTTGAAACGATATTATTTACAGGCTGATGGTAATGCAGTGGGGTAAAAAACAGTGTTTATCAAACTCATCTCGTGCATGACACATGTAAATATCATAATAGAATTTATGTGACTTTTTTGTTAAATTAGGTCAATTTTTAGACCATGACCTCACCCACACGCCAATTGTCAAAGGGAATAATTCAGTAGGAATCTCTTGCTGTCAAAATGGACAACCTCTCCCAGAAAAGTAAAACATTCCTGCAATATCCGAATTTTAATTCAGCGTCAATTTACTCTTATGAAAATATTTCAGCTTACGACACCCAGATTGTTTCCCGATTGAGGTGAGTGATACAGAGTCTGTACAAAATCTGTAGTAATTTAATTTATTTGCTTTATTTAGATCTCATCAGAAGACTCATTCTATCGTCGGTTCACGCAGCGTTGCATGGAATTTGTTAGGTTTGAATAGTGCAATCCTAGAAATATTCCTTAATAGTTACTTGATCATTAATTTCCTCTAGATCCTTGCCAGCTCCTCGAAGAGAGTGCAATTTTGGTCCCAGGGAACAAATGAATCAAATCACGGCGTATATTGACGGCTCAAATGTACGATTTTCAAATAAGATTATCTCGGTATTTCATAATGGAAACTTCTATAATTAATTTATTTCTACAGGTTTATGGATCTTCTGACAACAGGGCACGATCCCTCCGAGAAGGGGTCGGAGGCCGTCTTCTCGTTCAAACTAATCAACGCACCGAACTTCTCCCTGCAAATTCAAACGAGTGTTCGAACGCGGCTCAGGACCGATTCTGCTTCAGAGCTGGAGATCTTCGAGTTAATGGTAACATTTTTTCAATAAAAGAAATATGAATGATGTCGATAATTGTTGACATTTCTATTTCTAAGAACAAGTCGAACTTGCCCTCATGCACACGATTTGGCTTCGCGAGCACAACCGCATCGCTCGAATCCTTCAGGGTCTCAATCCCACGTGGAGCGATGAAATCCTGTATCAAGAAACGCGACGCATCGTAATTGCAGAGTTGGAGCATATCACGTACAATGAATTCCTCCCACTAATTCTTGGACCCGATTACATGCGAACCTTTGAGATGCAACCGAGGCAAAAGGGCTACACTCGATTGTACAATGAGGAAATCGATGCCAGTATCACGAATGCATTTTCAACGGCTGCCTACCGATTTGGACACTCTATGGTTCAAGGGATCATTCAGTGAGTTGCCTTAAATAATCCAGAAAGAAATATTTATTCGTATCGTGTTTTCAGAACGTTTTCGAAATTTGGTTCTTCTCGTACGATGCCATTCGCGAAAACCCAATTTCAGCCTTTTCAACTTTACGATTCTCTGGATGACCTAGTTCGTGGCCTGACTAACCAAGAGTCTCAGAGAATGGACCACTTTGTCTCAGAAGCTGTAATTGCATACGCTTTCTTTCTTTTCATATTGTCATTTCATGCCAGGTTTATGATGTTTTTGGCAAACATGTAGATTACGAACCATTTGTTCGAAGGGTCATCTGGGTTTGGATTGGATCTCATGGGTAAAATTGGACGCGATGATCTTTCCCCTGAGAATTAAGTACCTCATAAAATTTACGCTGTACTTGTTTACAGCTTTGAATATTCAACGGGGCAGGGACCACGGGCTTCCGTCCTACAATGATTGGAGAGAAGTTTGCAGTCTTAAAAAAATTGGGTCGTGGCAGGAACTCGTTGGCGTAATGGATGATTCGGTGCGTGAATATTAACACGAGGAGGATAATTATTGTGATACCGTGTTTTTAATGTTTTTTGTGTACTTACGAAATGAATCACCAAATGGTGGATTAATAGGCAGTCCGGATTCTGAGCCAGTTGTATCCAAGTGTGGACGAAATTGATTTATTCGTGGGAGGAATAGGAGAGCGACCCCAATCTGGAGCTGTGCTGGGCCCCACCTTCGTCTGTATTGTGGGTGTAAGTGTACAATTACGTCTCAATTTAGTTAATATACTCCAGCAACGGATATAATGAAGCGGAGTGCGAATTGTCGGAGGTTAAAAATATTGACGGCGTTGGTAAATTCATGGTGAAATTTCCTATAAATGGCGAGACATTTGAAAATTAAGGCCCAATGTGGCGTTTGACCTAACGCCAAGGATAACTTGACCGCAAGGACCCCATTTTCGAGTTAGACCGAGGGTCAAAAATTAGAAGCACAATGGCCAAAACCATGTTTGATTATGAGAGATATGAGTCCTACTGGGGATATCATGCTTGCGGACGGACGGACGGACAAAACGATCACAAAAACTCTGCATCTCTTGGTTCCGCTCGTTGATAAAATATGTACAACTTATGTATGTCATCCACTTTCAGGATCAATTTTCGAGGTTGAGGAGAGGAGATCGATTCTTTTATGAAGAAGTGAGTTCCAGGTTCACGGAAGGTACTGGTGAAGACGATAGAATCATAACAAACTGTGATATAACAGTAGTTTCATAATATTTATGGATGCATGTGTTTGATCTTTTGAAGCCCAACTGGACCAGATACGGAAAGTGAGCTTGGCCAGAATCATTTGCGACAACTCGGACGATATTTCCGTTATACAACCACTCGTTTTTCAACAAGCTTCTTTCTTGTAAGTGATCAGTTTGTTGCACTTTCTCCTCGTGTATGTGCATATGCATGACTTCAGTCCAGTCCCTGAGACACCTTTGCACATATACTCTCCATCGTTGTGCTGTTTTGCATTGAAAAATGCGTAAAAAATTGAACTACAAAAGGATGACTAGAAATTTAAATTGTCAGACATTTGTCCGTGACAGTTTGCTTAATTAAATTGAATTTGTAACAGGAACCAAAGACAACCATGTAATACGGAAGTCATCCCAAAATTGGATCTAAAATTTTGGACGGAGAAACGAAGAGAAAGCACTCCCACTCAAGGACCACCACCACAACAAAATCAAAATTTTAACCAAAATCGACCTAATCAGAGCTTTAACAATCAGAATCAAAACCAAAACTTTAATCAGAATCAGAATTTTAATCAGAATCAGAATTTTAATCAAAATCAGAATTTTAATCAGAACCAAAATTTTAATCAAAATCAAAACTTTAATCAAAATCGGCCAAACCAAAATTTTAATCAGAATCAAAACCAGAATTTTAACTCCAATCAATCCCCCAACAGAAATCCGTTCCAAAATCAAGGCCAAAATTTCCAAAGTAGTAATTTCCAACAAGGTGGCAATAGGCAAAATTTTGGGGGAGGAGGAAACTTTAATCGTGGATAAATCTTAGTAAATCTTTAGCTAGAAATAATATTTACTTACTGCACATAATCATAAGGTGTTTGTTAATCCTGTTGTTTTCTGCCTGTTAAAATAATCGAATTTCTTAATACCGGTGACTAAGTAAATATACTCAGAGTATGGAAACTGTATGCAAATCAATTATTTTAGCACACTTACCGAGTCTTGGACCAAAATTCTTGCACTACCATAAACTTATTTCGTTGCTCCAACATCCAACTTGACTAGAGCTGAACGAACAAACGCTTATAAATCTGGGCAACGCTTACCCGAACAGCTCTGGTCAACCGGTCTGCTTTCTTCGTTACTTAATTATTAGCACAACGACTTATCGAAAATTGGTACAGTAAAACCGGGATGATCCATGAAATCCCATTACTGTACAGACGGTCATCTCTCTACGTACTTACCAATACCGTCCCGTTACGCCGAATGCAATTACGATGCGTATCTACTCGCAGAGTCTGGACAAAAAAGTAGAATGTCTGGAAAATGGTTGATACTGCTCCAGCATCGAATTAATTTATTGCTGACACGTACCACCAACATATTGATTCGTGCATCCAGCAATACGAACGAAGGTAGCATTGTCACCGCGATTTTCCTAATATTTCTCATTCATCATTATTAAAATGTGAGGAATACATAAATAAAAGTGTGTGGGAGCATTATGATGGAGACGACAGCGACCAATTTGTTTTAGGGGAGCTAACTGGTGGCTTTTTTGGACCCTCCGTCCCGTACATCACCCAACGAGCTGGGCTAATTGTATAATAAGTTTTGTGGTCGACGAGTGTCGTGCACCTGTACCAGGTGTCAAGTGGTTTGCATTACACTGGTGGTGAGAATCCGCAGCCATTTTCACGAGCATAACCCGATTAAGTAGCTTTGGTGTTAAATTGGGTTCTAATCGGAACTGGATTATACATGGATTTAGTACGTATATTTATGGATGTATGTAGATCCTCATTTTATGGAATTGAACTCTTGGAACGTTCTCTCCACTTCCGTCAAATATGTACATGTGAATATTTTTAACATTGTTTGGCTAAATTACGTACTTAAAAATAGTAATAAAGTAAATATTTTCGCTAGAAGGGCGTGATGTCCCATTGAAAGTACAATGCTTGAGGTTTTGCAATTTGAATTTTATTAATCATACACGTAACATATTGATTAATATATATTGACTCCACGTTTACATAATATTTATAAATTGGGATTATTTTTATTCGCAAATTTCTAGCATGAAATAAAGACACAATTATTATGAGAGTATGTATTAAAGATGAATGCAAATCGTATATTGCGGTATAAGTATAACTCATTTACATATTAATAACAGCACGTGCATATATTTGCGAGATGGTGTAAATTGGAAGGAAATGGAGGGCTCTGGATAATTGAATTAGGTATTTCATTTACGTAAATGCGTAGCATTGTTTCATGCGGCCTTATTTATTTCTTGTTTGATAAATATTTTATCAATGTCCAGTTTTTGTGGTTGCATTTTTTCCATTAATAAGTATATATGCACCTTAAACTTAAAAACATGAATTGAAAATATTGTGTGGCAAAGTTTTAAAAATTTAGTCCTAATTGTAAAAGTAAATTTCCACCAAAGCCACAAAGAAATTAATTTATGCACATTATTCCAGCTATGCCATAATTATCTGTAATAACAATAATTACACACGGAATTTTCCATTCTCGGTCAATTTTACATTAAAGTATTTCCCAAGTGTTCAAAGTATTTGTGTTTTCACGTATATTGTTATGCAAATATTAAGTATAATCAAACCGTGGATAAAAAATACTTGAGAATAAGCCCAGCCAAGTGTATAATTAATTCTTCTTAAAAAATTAATTTGTTCATGCGAAAAAAAGAAAAATTTACACATGAGTTGAGAACTTGATGCCTGAAAGTGCGTATGTCGCATTCTCTTAATTGCTGCTGACCACAATTTATCACCAGCACGTTTTGACAACCTTATATGAAATAAATGATGAGATAGAATTTACTCATTGAGCGAATTGATGGGCAAAAAATATTTTTGTTTGTTTCATAATTTTCCTACATCCATCCTTCAATTATGTGGAGTAGTAGTTTGTTCACAAAGCATGGTCCTCAAATTGGTCTGACACCACAAACCAACCAAGGTGAGCTTACCTTATTATGGATCAAGTACGAAAGAGGTTTCGACTGACAAAGATGCATAATTATGGCAAATAAGGTGGTCATATTCCACGATTTGGTCTCCATTCTCTGTACCTGAGTCGTTGAAATGAGTTGAATTCGACGCTACAAATTTCCCTAATATAGAAGCTCAATTGTAACATTTGAAGTAATTGGAAAAAGTCCAACGATTGTTTTAAAATTGTTGTGTGCCAAAAAAATAGAGCTGTCGTTGAAGCAAGAGCGTTACAATTGCTCCGAGTGTGTTAAATGTATCGAAACCTAAAAGTCTTTGAACTTTCAAGTCAGAAATATTTACTTGCGTAAAAGTGCATCATCCACGTTTTTTACAACTAACTGCATGGCGTTGTGAGAGGTGTGCAGTGCAGAGGAAATTTTAGTTGAGCATCCCATACTGCATATTTCTTAAGCGAGTGCGAGCGTAAATTTTACAGTTCTCAAGTTCAACGTGTGGAATGAATGACTTTATCTTCAGAAGTGCATAAGTAGATGAATCAACCTCATTTATGACTGTATAAATGCTTGATTATAAACAGTCTCAGTTTATTTAGTTGCATTTGAAATGCCATTCGCAAACAACAAGCATGATTTTATTGAATTTGCAAAATAATTGAAGTAAGGTAAAGTAGATATTTAGTTAAGTCAACATGCAGAAGCTGCCCACAGTATTTGTGTGGGGAGGGGTCTTGTTCTTAATTGTGTCTGTGATATGTGGATGGATTCTGGGTCCTTTTGTGATACGAGATCAAATTGTCAGGGTAAGCTACAAACACAAGGTTTTCCTGGGGTTTTAACCACTGGTCAAAATAGCCGTCCAAAACCGGCATTAGACACTGAATTTTGCACGTCCAAAGTGCCTTAATGAAATGTCCAAAATAGAAAATGGGGCACAGTGTTACAAGTTATTCGTTATTGAATCGTTCGATAATCCGACGATGTACATATGTGTAATCTCCTATTAATTTTCAGCATTTAGGTATGTAATGTGGCATGGGTTTGAAAAGGTCTTCATTGCTCACAAAAAAACATGTGAAAACAAAGTTTTTCCAAACTTCTTGGTATTACACACCAAAATGATCAAAATCAATCAATCAATGTGCATTGATTCGCAAAAAAGTCTTTAACAAAAAAATTGTAACATTTTGCCTCATTTTTCAATGTTGGACGCTTTTGGACATTTTGGACACTTTTGAACGGTGTTCAGTCCAAAAAGAATTCTGTGTAAATATCAAAATTTTGTGATGCATGCAATAAATCATGTTAAATGACCACATTGCTTTCACTCCTATGAAACATGTACATTTTAGTAAAATGCATGTAAAATTTTACATTCAACTGTGACAACTTTCATAAGGTTTGCGCTATTTAATTTTGCAATCCGATCTACATAGATGGCTCAATTACGAAATAACACATTTATCTGGGACAAATGGACAAACCCCACGAATGAGATGTTCCTTCGCGTCTACTTCTTCAATGTGACCAACCCCTCGGACGTCGAAGCAGGGGGAATTCCTATCTTCCGACAAGCCGGACCATTCACCTATGAGTATGAACTTCCTTTAGCGTATGAAAGTGCGCTTTTAAATTGCAACTACCTGATTTAGGGAAACGCGATTCAAGGAAAATCTTGCCTACCACGAGCAAAATGACACCATTAGCTACACGCAACCAGTGACGTATCACTTTCGCCTGGATTTATCTTCCGGATCTGACAAAGATTTGCTAACCGTTCTCAATATTCCATTGGTGGTAAATATCTATGATACCCTGTCAAATAATCTGAATTGATGCTAAGGTGAAGTATGTAAAAATGCTGCATTTTGTAGGGAATTTCTGCCCGTCTTCATACCTACTCATCTTTTATTCGCTACATGGTTGGAACGTTCCTGACTCAATATGAGGAACCCCTTTTTGTTTCCAAAACCGTAAAGGAGATGCTCTTTGATGGGTATTATAACGAAATGGTGGACGAATTGCAACATTTGACTGGGGAAAACTTTTTTCCCGATGCATTGGTCGGTGTTTTAGTAGGAGTAAGTAAATAATGTGGATAAGAATATCGTCGCTGTTCTTGCAAAAGTTGTCGGTTGAAACACAGAAATCGCCTTCAAAACCAATTGGGAGTTATCGGATGCATTTTTGGGAGATATGAGACTCCATAAGTATAACATGGTGTCACGTTTTCCCCGCATTTTCATCTGACAACTTCTATTTCCGACTGGTTTAGAAGGCGACAACTAGTGCAAGAACAGCGACGACATGTTACAGATATTTTTCGTTCCAGTAATTGTCTCAGTAATCAATTGATTCGTTGTTCTTCCACAGAGAAACAATTCTCACGAAGGTTTGTACGAGGTTTACTCTGGAATAAAGGACTCCACTCGGCTGGGCGAGATTGCCTCGTTCAATGGTCACCGTCACCTCTCCGCCTGGCCCAGGGAGCCTTGCAACATGATCAACGGAAGCGATGGGTCCGTTCTCCCCCCGCTCTTGACCAAAGACTCCGTCCTCCGAGGATTCCATCACGATGTTTGTCGCTCATTTTACATCACATTTACGGGGGAGGTGGAGTACGAGGGTGTGGCTGGGTACAGGTTCGAACCACCAGAAGCTCAGTACCTGGGTCCCAAGAAGAATCCAGACAACGCCTGTTTTTGCTTGGAACCCAAGGAGGATTTCTCAAACTGCTTTGAAGACGGGGTTTACTCCGGGGCGGGGTGTCATCGAGGTGGGTGATTATCTGATTACTTATCAAGATGGATAAGATTAAGATGTGTGTAACATATTTCTTAGACGGACCAATCACCATTTCTAATCCACACTTTATGTATGCGCCATTCTACCTGAACAAAACCAAAGGGTTGATGCCAGATAAAGAGAAACACGGGCTGTTTGTAGACCTGGAACCGGTGAAATGCTTTTAGATACTCGTCGAGTTTTATAATGCATACATCAGTAACATTAGTAATAACTCTTTGCATTGGTTTTACAGAGTTCCGGACTAATTCTGCGGGCAGCGAGACGAATGCAAATAAATGTGGATTTGAAACCGAATCGGGCCGTGGATGGGATGCATAATGTGCCATCCATGCAATTTCCTATTCTTTGGGTGGAGGAGGTATCCATTTATTCAGCTTTAATGAAGTGAAAAATTTGCATATGTACTTAAAACCTGATGATTCGTGTTACTACTTGCGCAGACATTTGTGCTGGATAAGGAGGTTCACTCGAGCCTCCTGTACTACTTGGTGCTGGCGGAGACAACGCTTCAATTTGGGAAGTGGGTGTGCCTGGCAGCCAGCTTGGCTCTCCTCGTCGTGGCCATCACCATCTACGTCGCCAGGGCTCGGAATAAATCCTATATTTACAATTAGTACGAGTTTCTAGTTTAAAATCTGTTAATTTATAATACGTCCATAAATAAATCTATTCTTCTATGCATCACTTTAAATTTTACGATGAATATTTTAGAATTTTGCTGCTTTACATGCAAACTTTACATTTTGACAGCAAACGAACAATGGAGATCTCCCAGCAGTGAAGCCTCACAGATTTTAACCAAATTAGTGGCAATCGATCATAAATTTATTTAATATGAAATTTAAAAGAAAACACGATCTGCCAAGACTAAGGTTTGGCGGAGATATTTGCATCCAAAGAGGAGAAAACCGGCAGTAAATGTAGAAAGTGTACAGTGTATCAACTTTAAGGTGCATTTTCTCCTCTTTGGATGCAACTATTTCCGTCAAACGTACCCATTTGGAGATGGTGTATGTGAATGTCACACTAATTAAGTTTGTGATCGATAGATACTAATTTGGTCAAAATTGGAGAACATACGCTGGGAGACCTCCATTATATGTACATACTTGTGTAGCAATTAAGGCTCACTGATTTCCTAAAATTGATTTATCTGGGTAAATCCATCATTGAGCAACTTTCTGCTTATCAAATTGACGTGGAATTAAGGAACGAGTCAAACTCCACAATTGTATTGCATCTGGATTTAGGATGAGACATGAGCCAGACCGGAAGCAGTTTTCCTTATTTCCTGACCCTGACATCATGAACATGAACCCACAAGCCAAACCCTGCCTTTGAATGAGCACATATTTATACACGACTACTGGTTCGTTGGATGGCTTGGTGGTGGTGGTGATCGGAGGAGAAGAAGAAGAGTCGGTTAATAAATATATCATCATCCGTTTTGCATGCATTAAGTACTTACCTCCACAAACATTTGACTACTTTTTTCCCAAATGCTTCTCATGTACTTACGTCCGTATGTACGTACGTACCTCTTAAGAAGAAGAATAGACCAGAATATGTAATGAGTCGTCTTCTTCACAACATGAACATTTTTCGAGCCCGGCCAAATAAAAGTTTGCATTTTGTTTTACATTCGAGTTAAAAAGACGAACAATAGGACATATTATTGCTTTTTCTGTACAGTTCGAATTTGATGAAGTATTGATTACATTTATTGATCGGATATGCATATTTAATGTAAAGTAATAAAGTATATAATGCCAAAGAAAAGTGAATATTTTATGCTGAAAGATTGTTTGTCAGTCGTCGTCGTCGTCGCCATGTCATGTCGCATGCATGCACGGATGCTTATGCCTTTTCCTGTCCTCGAATAAGTAAAGTAGGGTACCCGTGGAGAGAGCCAAGCTAACCACGAAAATAGACAAGGGGTAAGTACTTTATGTCCCATTATTGAATTATACTTTGCGTGGTTTGGTTCCACACTTTTTAGGAATTATTTCCCCATGAAATTATTTATGAATGAGGACAAAACTCGGACTTTATAATTTCATATTTACGGCCTGTGTAAAGTGGATTAAATACAGGCTTATACGTTCCCCCCTCGCTTTTAATAAAGGTGATTTTGCATTATATGTACCACGGCACAAAATGCGGTATCATGACATGGATGAGGGAGACGAGGGTGGTTTGAAACGCTACTGCCCATAAAAAAGGATACCTATTTACACTGGACAAAATACCTGCCCTCCAAGGAACCACCAACAACCAGCGCTGCACACACGGTGGAAAACTAACTGGACAGAAAAAATATGTAACTCGAGTTGAACTTAAGCCTTTTTACTTTTTAGTGTTCAGTCGGTTTCATGCCTTTTGCCCGGACAGAGGACCGGAAACATCAGACCGGACACTGACTCCACTCCACTCCACTCGACGCAATAAACGGAAAAGTTTCACCCTGTAACCGACAACATTTTGAAAAATTCTGTCTGGAAGACTAACGATTTCGTTGCTTTTCTAAAAAATAAGGCAACGTGTCTTTGGTCTTTATTCAGAGTTGTTCTCTCTCCGCCGAGACGAGTCTGGAATTCGGGAGGTGGGCTGGCAGCGTGAGTAATTTGTCAGTAATTTGTAATTAGTCATTCATTTCGTACGGATTCATGTGACGGGGGCATGTTTAGCATCACGTTGTCTCCATCAGGGCAGCAAGTATCGTATTTGCAAAGGCTTGAGTGCATGCCAACGATTATGTACGTGTCCTTGCGTAATGTTTGTTATGTGGAAATTTGCGCATTGATTTGCTCATGACTCTCGCATCTTCACCAACGATTGCAAAAAACAATTGCAATGCCATTGCCATTAGCAGTATTATTTTATGGGAATATTTTTGTGACTGGATTTTTTTTATGTTTTTTTCAGATAAGACGCACCATCACCTTGAGACACACCTCGTAAGTAAGTGAGTGAGTGAAATGGATTAGTGGAGACAGCTTGACTCCAGCAAGGGCAAAGGTCACAAATCTTGACCATAATCATAGCAGTGAGAGAGAGAGGTTGTTAATGTAAATAAACAAAAATTGATTACGATTTGTAGCGCATACCTAAAAAAAGTTATATAAATTTAGCCACGGTGTATGTAAATGCATATGTAAACATATTATGATTCGCGACTAACAGCACTCGAATTGCGACGATCCAAGTACTTCAGACTTCATTCATGAAAAACCCATAATGCATGGAATCTTATTGCTAAAATATTTCCGCAATTTGCTACCTCCGTCTGATTAGCACAACCTGGAAAAATCCGTTCCATTCCCCAATGATTCATTTTCCTCACCAGTTGTGAAGCTGTAGGAGGGCAAAGGTTATCAACTCGAATAAGTGTTGAGTTATGAAGAAGAAGATATTTTTATTTATTTACATTTTACCCCAAACTGTAGTCGTAAACTAATGAAAACGTATTACTAACACTAATAAAGAGCTGTATGCATACATAGTCCGAAAGTATTTAGAGCCATACTGTCTACCACAACGATGACCTTTTTGCCACCACGCCATTTCTGATACATTTGGTCTTTTCCCTCTTAACCCCGACTAACCCCACCCCACCCCGTCCATCCATACTACGCGTCTACTATGTATGGCAGAACTTATTTATAAAATTTTGGCATAAGGAGGGCGGCGGCTCTCTGGTAATATTCCATGTCATTTCGGAGCAGTGATAGCTTGGAGGATCAACCTAGACAAGTCAATCAACAAGGGAAAAAGTCAGTCAAAAGTTCACTTGGATGTTTATAATTTATTAAAAACTACGTTGACCAAATCCATACAGATATAGTTTAAATATTTAATTGTAATACAAAGTTACAACTTGACGTCCTTGATGGAAACGTTGTAGGATTCATTCAAATGTTAAAATGAAACGACACGACGCCTTGAAGGGGTGGGTCGTAAGTTGGAGGAGACGTGACACGCATTCAGCATAGCTTACGTGTCCCAATAGTCGATCAGATTGAAAAAATTCAATAATATTCATTTATTTATGTAATTTATATTTATATTTGTACTCACAAATCGTTAAGTTGACCTAATTTCGTGACAAATGACATTTCTCGAATAATTCCGCATTCGTTGGTGTTGTCACATAAGTCATCATCATCATCATCATGGCTGGATTATATCATATCTAACCTCAGACTTTGACTATTGACTGACTGAGAGAAAAACCAATAAACATGGTCTCAAGTTGTCGATGATCTCATAAAAATAAATGTTTTTTCATCTAAATTCTTTCCTTGTGTTACTTTGAACTCTTTGGTAGTAAAAAAAATATTCGGGAAATTTGCACCAGTTTTATAGCAACAATGATGTCAGTGACATATGTATGATATCATTATTCTCGGGAATCAGTTCCGAAATGGTAGGTTGAGATTGTGGGAATAAAAAATGAGAAATATTTGCATAGATGTAACAACCGGTAATGAGTCTTAAAGATTCATGAACTGTGGTGCTAACCATTTCGGTAAATAGGATATTGCGATGTATCAGGAGTATTGGAATGTTGAACGAGATATTTCCAGTCTCCTATCTAAAAATGACGTTTTTATATGGTGCTCATGTTTTCGTCAACTATTGACGAATTTTGGGGGAAAGTGGTATAAATTAAAATTACAAAACGTAACAAAAAACATTACGATGTCCTTTGTAATTTCCAGTATTTCATGAGGACAATGGTTTCCTGTGTACATTTCCATACATCATCATTCATGATACATACGTACACCACTTAGCACATTTTCTTTCAATTCGTACTATTTGCCAATCATGTGAGCACTGTTTTTACCACAGACGTCAAAGAAAATCGTCACTCTAAGACGTAATTTTTTGTATCGGCAGCAATCATGCCAAAAACCGGTCCAGAAGGTTTATTATGCCATCCACGAGGTGAGAGTTTCACCAGCCAATAAACAATAAACCACGTTGTGCTCCATGCTGCCGACGGTAATGATGTCATGATTCAGCACATTTGACTGCGTACAGACAGATGGATTCACTTTCATTACAATTACCACGTCAATTCGCAACTCTTAACGAGTCTGGAATGTGAAAAAGGGTGACGTTCCGAACAAGAATGAATCAATATTAAACCAACTTCCTACACCGGCTGGAATGTATTGGATGCAGTGGGATTCCCTGCGATAATCACTTATCATCATTCTTTGATTCCCACCCAGAGCTTCATACATAAGTAGAGAGAGATGTGATTGTATTACGGAATTGTCAATATTTGATCATGATATTCAATTGGCTTTGGCAAGTGTGTGACACCAAATGATTTTTACCACTTTTCCAAATCGGGCCCCGTAATTGATTCCAGTTCAAGTGGATGTGTAACCAATCAATCAATCGGACGAGCCATCGTCTCACCTCACCTCATCCCACCAACTAATGTAGTAATGAACTAGATATAGTTCATTACTTCATAAGTACACGTTCATATTAATAAACGCGACACCAAGTAGACTACATTGCAGCCCATAAATCATGATGATGTCGCGTGTCAGGGATTTCATATAAATATCTCGTCTAATAAAAGAGGCTCGGGATTTGCCCAACCCAACAAACATGTCAATAAAAATACTTATACCATCATCATGCCTAATTTCACACCGATTAAAACGGAGGCGGTGGGGGTGTAATTGTATAAAATAAATGCATGCAGCATGTAATGTTTCTCTAATGACTGACACTTGAATTGAATGATTTTCACAGAACAAATATCATGACGGATTTAAGGAGAGAATGGATGGGGCAAAATCCAATCCAACGAACGAGAGGTAATTCCAGGAGGCAGTAAGCTATACAATATTAACGAAATAATCTATGGCGTCAAGTGGTTTGGACTCTGTCCATATTTCCAACGTTTCTTCTGCCTCTTCTTCTCTTCCTCCTCAAGTCAATGAATCAATTTGTGAATGAATAACAACGGCTGCTAATCTGCCTGCTCCTAATAATAAAAGAAGCAGGATGATGTGGGTGAGGAATACCGAGAAGATGTAAAAAAAAGTGGTGAAACAATGCAGGGGAATGTGGAGTGGGAAGCAGAAAATCCCAGTCAGTCAGTCAGTCATTAAGTAAACAAAATTTTTACGCTCTTTGCATCACTCACACTACGCGTACGACGACGTAACGAGTGCTGAGAGAGATTATGATGTGCTAATCGATCTAATGTATTGCAATATATGCATGAAATCATATCTATCATGCTTACTTGTCCATTGCATTCGCAATTCGTACATATCATCCGTGTTGGACTGAATTTAATAAAAGCGAAATCAGATCCCAGATCAGAACTCAGTTTGAACAAAGCAGTTAATTCGGAAAGATCGCGAGGTGCGAGAGACAAAATCGGAAGTTCAAAAAAGCGTATCTGTAAGTGCTTACCTTGGTGAAAATAAAGGATAATTTATTCAGTGCAAAGTGCAAGTTTGCAATAAAAGTGAAGCCAAGTATAATAAAATTTTGTACGTCAATTCCAAAGTTGAAGTGAGACAATAAAAAATATCTGTAAAATGCAGTACACGGCTTTGTCAGTTATAGTGGTTCTGGTAAGTTCCTATTTTTCAATTAATTAGTTAATTAATTAGCAATATTAAAAATATGCTTGGCTATAATTTCTTCTTTTTTTGGGAAAATTACAGATTTCCATGCTAAAAGTCTGCACCTCTTTCCCCGCAGACAAGGCGAAACCTTACAAAGTGATAGATCCACTTCCACTCTTCGTACTGAGGTAAGTTGAGACAAGTTGAGGCAAGTGGGTTTCTAGCTAGGAATGAAATCTCATTTTTCTCAATTTCCCCCAAACAGTCTCCCCATGGAAGTTGATGAGCCAGGAAACACTGTTGAGAACCTGCCAGGAAAACCGAGCAGTGAAAATGACCAAAAACCAAAAAGGAACGGAATCTTTAGCGACAATTCGGACGCGTGTTGTCCCACCGTCGTTGAAGTGATTGAACCACTCGGTGGCAAAAACAGATCAGGTACGTAAATCCAGCTCTTAGAAAAATCCTCAATTTTAGAAAAAAAATCTAAATTTTCTCTTTTACAGGAGACCTTGTCGAGCTTTATCAAGGCGTGGATGGCGTGCGCCAACGTTTTTACGAAGTTTCCTGCTCTCCCTCCATAGTGGATAAGCACTGTCGTTTTCTGGACCGGAAACACCAGCACAATTCCAGATGCGTGCAGCAGTACTCGTACACGTACGCGTTGGTTCGAGACTTTGGGGTTGATTACGACGACTCGGTGAACGGGGGTGGTTGGAGGCTGGACTATATTCAGGTCAGGTCGGGCTGCTCGTGCAAAGTGAATTCCTCCAGGCATCACAACAACGGAGGGTCAAATTGAACACTGGAGAGTTAAGTGAGATTTCAAAGAAAAGAACTGATGGAGCAAACCGAAAAGTCTTGATTTACCTCTCATCTCATCTTACTCACATTATTTAATTAAATACCTTTAAAATAATAATGATGCTAGTGGATTAACTTGTCAGTTAGGTCGGAAGGTGTCTGTTACCCACGCTTATGAGACAGAAACTATTAGTGGTGTACTTTTACGTTAAGAAATGAATCTCAATTTATGCAGTATTCCGTTTATTCTCAGGTGTTATATATACTTTGTGGATAAATTATGCAGTTGGTTTTAGAATTAGTTTTAGATTTTTGGTTGGAGAAAGTTTTTTATTATTTTTTTCAGTTTGTGATAAGGAAACTGTGATTTATTTTTTGTTACTAAACGTGGTTTTTAATTTAACGAAGGAGGGCGTGAATTGCCTCTTTGCGGATGTATAATAATTGTTAAAAAACAGTATTTGGCTGGTCCACATGCCCTTTTACATTTTAAATAGATTGCAAAACATAACATATTTAGAAAATTAGTTTCAAATAAATAAATAAATAATGAATAAATATTATGTATCAATCTACTGTGTTTCTGCATAAATAATTTCTCCCATTAAATGCAACATTCGTATATTTGACTCACTCATTAAACCCGAGAACTTAATTAATTCTGCAGGGAATTAACCCGATTAGCCGGCCACATTCGTCGGGGTTTCGTTTGGTTGTGGTAATTGGCTATTATCCAAATTAGTCTTTTCAGCGTAGCCGTCTCCTCCTCCCGGTTGCACAGGTTGGTTTTGGTAGTAATAATATGGATAATTATTTTGTGCAGAACTTTGCACAGATTGTCCTCCTTGATAAGCTTGGCTATAATTTTCCTCCAAATTATTAGGCAGCATTTTCTGTGGCTGTGTTTGGTCGTTATTGTTGCCGTACATGTTGGAGAGGTTGTCAATTGCGGTGAGGATGGAGGTTTGTCTGGAGAGTCCTCCTCCTCCAGGTGACCCGTAGGCTGGAGATGGAGCCCCATAAGAAGAGGACGGCACGCCGTAAGCTGAGGATGGGGCGGGGGCATAACCTTGACTTGGGGAAGACCAACCATACCCTGAATCGCTGGGTAATAATGGATCCACATTAACATTTTGATAATAAAATAAAAGTTGGTACATAGTTTTTTCTTGAACCGAACCTATCGCTGTCCTCGGAGGACTTGAATTTTTCGAAAAAATGACTCGTAACACTTGGGATCCAGGCTACAATGAGTCCGATGACTTTGATGGCAATCGCGACCCCAATTATGGTGGCGGGGGCGATGATAAAAATGGGGATTTTTACAATGTCCCAGAGTTGGAGGGCAGTCTGAGAAGGAGATATTTTAAGACAAATTTTATATTTTGTCGTTGAAAACTTACTTGACCACACCCTCCTCCACTCGAGATTAGACCGCTGGTTTGGTTTTGCACCGTGGTCTGGATATCATTTCCAAGTCCACTCGCAAGTAGTGTTATATTCGTAATAGTGTCATAAATCTGGTTTTGCAACATTTCGAAAACTGAAAATGTTCGACCCACTTCAAAAGTGTCCTTTCCAGAATTTGATGGTTTGACATTATCCGCTTCTAAAAAAATTGCAGGCAAAGTTTGCATAGTCTCGATTAATACATAATAGCTTTAAAAAACCTATTTTAAGTTTTAGCTGCCAGCAATTTATCGAACCGACAATTTAAAATGAAATGATACTACTTAAATAATAATTTCCTCCATTTCTGCTTACCGAGCAGTTTGCGTCCTTCAGCACATGAAAATCGGGAGGGATTTAATGCACAAAACAGTCCCAAAATTAATGTAATTTGGCTTTTCCACTGCATTTTTCCTTCTACATGGAGCAATTTGTTGCAATATCCGACCCACTAAAATGGCTGACCTTCTCTGACAACTTTTTAAAAACAAGTTCGCCTTTTTTCTGCAGAGAAAAAATATGAACGTGGGCTGGGTACTAAAATACGTCACATTTAGTTTCATGCTAAAAACGGCCTGCACCGATTTGCAACTGTTTACCCCACTTATTGCTTAAAATTGGCAATGTTGGTGAAAAGTCAAAGTTTTCGGTAAAGGCAAAGAGTGATGCATAACATAATAAAGCGGCTTTTTTACCGTTCAACACCACTTTCTATTCCGAGATAAATTTACATTTAAATGATTTCAGGTAAAAATGTCGTTGACTCTGCAAGGCAAGAACTTTAGGCTAATTTAAGCCACCAGTGCTGCTTAATTTTATGCGAGTGGAAACGTCTGTACGTACGTGGGTATGGGTCAAGGTGGTGGTGATTCATGTGGTATTTGTGTAATTGCTTTAAATTGCGCACGTACAAATTAGAAAAATGTTCTACGCAATTACAGAGAGCTGCACATGGTCCATTTTAGATTCCTCGAGTCCACACTAATTTATTTATTTGAAATGAAATGCCACGATTTATTTAAAAACTTGGGCAACAATTTGTAAAGTTAATATTGCAATTATGTACTAGACCCATATATAATGTTTAAAATAAAATAGTTTACCTCAGCGTAGCTATTTACATATTTAGTGCAGGTGAGTTTTAAAAACCTACAGTGCAGCTTTGCTTAGCCCGAGCCAGGGTGGGTACAACTAGAATTTGTTTACCAATCTTTACGCCAAAATTCAGCTTAATTGAGTGATTTTGCAAAATCAGTATGGGTCACCCCACCGGGTTCCTCTGGGTCAAAATTTTCAAAATTGTACATCATAAACTCCCATTATAAGCTGCTATCGACTTCCATACCAAATTTCAGCTTAATTGGACGATTTTGAAAAATCAGTTTGAGTGACCCCATAGGGTCCCTCCAGATAAAAATTTTCGCAAATTCACTTCATATCTTTTCATTAGAAGCCATTAGTTACATATTTACCAAATTTCAGCTTTCTACAACAATTTTGAAAATTTGATGCATAATAACCCCACCACCCATATGGCCCCCACCGGCCAACCACTTGACCGATTCGGCTCATCTTCGAACTTGATTTGTCTTTTGGGTAGATATAGATGTGGTAAAAATTTCAAGTCGATCGGTTGAGTTTGAAGAGAGTTATCGCGAAGACAGACGGACGGACGGACAGACAGACAGACATAACGGGTACATAAGCCCTGGCTCGGGCTAAAAATGCAGTGGTCTTTTTAGCAAATAAACTGCATAGCATTCAAAGTGCATGCAAGTACGAGTTATGCCCTGAACAAAGATCGAATGGAACTCGAATCCTTCCCGTGAGAGGGCTCGCCATTCCCTTACAACGAAGTTCTAGCTCCGAGCGATCTATCAAACATTGGTTTCGAAAAACGACTAATCTTTCGTTTTGAATTTTATTTACAAAATTCTCACTTTCAAAGCTCGTCCTCCCGAGACCCATGACTCGAAATTCGTAAAACTGACAAATTCAAAATAATCGCAAATTTTGATAAAAATATTTTTAAAAACCTCCTTGAGAGCTTTCTTCCTCTTTGATACTCTCTAAGATCTTTATTCCAAAATTACTTTACTAAATTTGTATTTTAAAATTCTCATTTTCGAAGATCACCCTCAAATTACATTTTGATATTAACCACTTGCCATGAATACGCCCATTACTGTCCGAGAGGAGAAAATAGCTGATGAGACTAATGTTTTCATGTACAATTCTGTTCATCATGAAATTCATTCTGTTCATCTAACCCGTTTTGCACAAATATGCTAATAAAAATCTCGTAAAATTGGATTTTCTTGAAATGACATTGTTCCAGTGGCGGCGGAAGTTGAGGGGACAGTCACATCGTGAGATAGGAAGAGGAGAGGTTTATTAACATGAGAAAGATATGATTTTTCTGAATTTCCGGGGGGGAAATGTCCCCTTCCAATGTAGTGTCCTAAACTATAATGATGAACTAAATACACTTACGCGCTCGCGACCTGATGCACTATTTATAAAAAAAATTTTTTTTTTGTAAATCCTTGATCGAAACTTATTGCACATTTACAGTGTCATTTTTATGAAATTGTAAATGTCTTTGGAAGATCATTAGTCATTATTATTAGCCTAAATGAGCAATGAACACAGCCAAGTCACGACTTTTTCTCGTGTTCCTTTTTCGATCCCTCTTAACAAAAAGTAACCTTTGACCCACCCATCGCTACAAGGATTCGACTTTTGAAACTTTGTTGCAGGGGATAGAATTTCATCCAACCAATTATCAATTTGGCTCAGCTCGATACAAAACTTTAGAAATTTTGAGAAAAAGGTGTGAGAAAATATAAAAATAATACAATCGTGACACATTTCATAACTGAAATGTGCGTACAAATAGTTAAACAAAATGGATAGCTGTAGTATTTAAGTACAAGTTTGCTGACAATACCATTTTGAAATTTTAACAGACAATTTTCTACAAATCTCCAGTTTTTAGGTGACAACTGCACTTGTTCACAACAAAGGACACGAATGACAATGGATTCATCGCATCCAACACCGCAAGGACCACCGTGAAATCGGAAATCACTTCACGCCAACTTTGCTCAAGCCTTTCTTTCTCGAGATGACAAAAAAGTGAGCGAGATTCTCAACAAACAATGAGAAATGTGTGTGTTATATATTTGACGAACTTTAATCTTCATTGTGAGACTTTGGCCCAGCTTGGGTCCGTTGTTTTCACATAAAATCGGTTATCGTAACTTTGTATGTTTATGCGAAAGGTGAAATATTGGCTGAAATATAATTCACGAGTTACATATTTATGTAAGTTTTAAGGATTCGTTTGGTCTGGTGCATTCAACTTTAGTGCAGTTGATTATTACTTCATAATTCATCCACTAATTACACGAGGAGGATGTTTGTTCTCATATTAAAACATTATTAAGTTTCAATTACACATACCGTCTTACATTTCGCCAATTACTGTAATAACACACGTGTCCATAAGTACTCAACTTCATACTTCATATATGCATGCATGTATGATGTATGTAAGTACCTCTTGAATTCAATAAAGTTGGAAATATTACAAACATGTACATATCTACATGCACATGTAGCAACTGGCAGAAAATAAGTCGGGTTGAAGTAATCCAAGCATATCTTTCATTAAGTAAAGTTATTGAGTACCCTGGCTTCCGAAACGTGTATGTAGGTGGATAATTGACCATGACGTACGAATACTTTCTCTGCGGTGATATATAGTAGTCATTTTTGAAAATATAATGTACGCACTGTGCCACTCGTCATATTGGGTCCAAGGGAGGAGCAATTATTTTGCGAGTGGCATCCCATCCAACGAAATGCCACCCTTCCAACCGGAAAAGAAAGAAATATGAAATGTGTAGGCTTGCTCAATCAATTCGCGACATGTGGAATTATTAGCATATTTATTAATTAGTGACCACACCCACGCCAAGCTACCCAGGCACAGGAATGACAACATGTACCAGAACTGATCCAGTATGGAAAAGGCAAACAGAGAGAGGGTGACAAGACAAACCCCTCCGGAATACAATACGTGATGTGTACAGACATACACGCAATATGGACGACTTGGTATGTATGTCGACGTGATGAAACAGAAAACTGAAATGTGACAAGAGGATTCTCGATATAGGCACTTGGTGTTGTTTGAAATGTGAGCAATATGGCAAATTAATTAGTTTCAGTCGCCACCATCCACTCAGCCAATCCACTCAGAATGGAGGTCTCCCAACATTTTTCACAGATTATGGCCAAATAATGAATTGATCAGAAATTTAATTAATAACAAATTTGCAAAAGATATTCTCAGCCAATGTGCAGGTTTGGCAGGGATATTTGCATTTGAAGAGGAGAAAACGCACAGTTAATTTTGAAAAGTGTAAAATTTGTCACCATTAGGGCGCGCTTTCTCCTCTTTTGATGCAAATATCTCTGCCAAACCTACGCGTTGAGAGATATTGTCTTTTACAACTTTCATATCACTTAACTTTGTGATCTATTGAGACTAATTTGACCAAAATCGGAGAGCATACGCTGGAAAACCTCCATTTTGAATGCGTAAAACTTTCACCACTAAGCGATTGATTCATCATTGTATGTTATGTAGCTTTTTTCCCTCCACAATAGCAATAATACTAATTCTGAGAGGCTCTTATGCCCATTTCGACTGGGGAGAGGTCGGCTATGATCATAAAAATATGTCATTCGATAATAATGGTAAAAAGACCAATTTATCCATCCACTCACAATAAATCCCGGCTCTTATAACACCAACCAACACCACACGGCCATGAGGAAAGTACAACAACAACAGGACGGGCTGGCATTCGAGGTGTGCCTTTACCCAACACCACAGGCAATTTATCAACTTAACAGGAGACAAGAATAAAAGAGGAAAGCAAGCAGGCAGAAAATTGGGCAATTTAGCGAATTCACCCCAATTCGGGTAATTGAATTGTCTAACAAACACTGACACTACGTAGCAGCCAAAACCCAACCGTTTCAACCTCTCTTGAATTATTTTCTCTACAATCTCGCAGAATTTCCTTCCCCAGAGCAATTTACAGAAATCTAAGAAAAGCAACAGTGGTGCAGTGTCGCGAATTATTTTATTAATAAAAGGACGCCATCGGTGCGTTCAGCAATTCTGCCACAGTTTTCGTGTCAGATCATATTTTATCTCGAGTACTTATTTACCACGACATTACTCACGATTTAATTGATCAAACTTCATTGTCCAACTTTTTCATGGCGTTTATGCATCAACTCCCAACTTTCCCCGCAACTTTCTCCTATTTCGTTGTTGGGAGAAGCTGTTTTTCGAGAAAATTGAGGTCCTAGTGGAATCGTTCCTCTAATATTTTATTCATCCTTCATCTATGTTCTTGGAGAAAGCCACAGGTAAAAGTGGCGGAATAACAGGAGGAGAAGCATGTTTCACCCACCACGGGCCAAACAAGTGCTAAATAAGTTATAAACTAAATTGCACATTTATCCAGCCCAAACTTTCCCGTAAACGGAGCTTATTCATCCATCCCCTCTCATTATTAGGGAAATAATAATTTTATTTTTCTCAATTTAAGAATTTCCCTTCCCTTCATTCGTGTCGACGAGGTGAACATTTATTTCTTTAATTCTTAAATCCCTTCAATTTCCTAATCCATAACATTACTTAAAACGTTTAATTGTGTTTAAATACAAGTCTTTAAATCTCTCAAGGACTGGTCAAATTTCGAGTTTTAGTTTCATTTTAAAATTGCTATGTATGTACCACCAGAAAATCGGCAGGATTATTTGATACACATTTCTAAAAACAAGAGATTTTCTATTTCGACACGATTTTCTGGTTGTGCTCGATTTGATTACAGAATCGAACGATGTAGGCAAGTCTTTGAATAGCGAAATCTTTCGACTCGGAGTCAAAAGTGGTTGGTGGCGTTGGAGGAGGTGGCCTGCGAGGCGTAATCCAGCCCAAGCGTTTCTGAGGCGGAGTCGGAAAACTACCCATCAGCCCAGCACGACCATAGCGTCAGAGCCATAGGAAAAAGGTACCTTTGCTGGGGGTAGTTTAGCATAGCTTTAGTTTAGTATGGGGAAGGTAAGGTTGGATTTGGTTTGGTAAGGTGAGGAATGATTCCCATCCGCAATTACAGTTTCACGAGGGCAAGCGAGCTGACGAGATCACGACTCACCTCACTTATTTACTCCCAACCAACTTCTTGTGAAAAAAGTCTCAATAAATTTATACACGGATCAGCCTCGCTTTTAGATACGATCTGTCATTTGTGGTTTCACAGATAAGCTGCACAAAGATTCCCAGCCCAACGCTTAATGGGCAATTTGTCCACGCTGCTCACTGCTCCTCTTCTTCTAATCCAGACCAATTTGTGGTTTATACGCGTCTCAAATGGTATCGGGAAAAGTGACACAAAACTAGAAACCTAGTTATCTAAAAGATAAGGACACGGAGGAAAAAGATAAGGCTGGAATTTTTTTGGGGGAAATGCAGCATTGAAAAGTGACTGAATTTTACGGAAAGTAAAAATAAAGCCGGCATTCAACAGTTTAGAGTTTTTGTGGTGCACTCATTAAGTGTAATTAGTGAAATTACTCTCACGTGCGCGTACCAACGAACGAATGAGCCCTTCTTCTTCGCCTTACTTCCGCTTGGGTTGAGTGCAGGAAGTGAAAGTTATTTATGAAATAAAACCTCGATTTTGACAAGAATATTGTAAAAGTAGAATTTTTCGAAATTTCAAAGACAACTTGACACGACTTAAGTAAGCTTGATATGGAACTACAGAGTGAGCTGAAACTTTGCAATTTGAATATCCTAGTGACTATTGCGGATAGTGAACATTTGATCAGCTAGAAATAAAGAAGGATTCCACGGGTGTCAGTTTACCCCCGATCGAACAAAACGTTAATCTCTGGGACTGAAACAGCCTGTCCCCCAGAGAAATTTCCAGTACCACGACCCGTCACACGACGTCGACAACAAGTCAGATTTATTTTGTCGTGATAACCTCGTTACAAACATTCTGAATTTCGGGGAATTAAACCCGTTTCCGGGCCTGGGACTTTCGTCACCGGGACCCGACGGGTTAGACGAAATGCAACACCAGGGGTCCTCGTATAGAGCGGCCGCGGCTGCTGCGGCCGTTGCTGCTTATCAAGAGCAGAACTACAGGTCAGGTGGATATCCCTTCCCCCCACAAAACCCGTACGGGTATCATCTCGGAAACTACCCGCCTCAATGTTCCTCCCCTCCGAAAGATGGTGAGTGACCGAATTTTTTAATAAGTTATTATTGTGACACGAGAATTGTAAAAATGTATTCACAGATAGTCAGGCATCGGAGAGAAATTCATTAGGGCGTACAAATTTTGGTGGTATAATGGACATTAATTGTCAGAAATTCTAAATAGTCAGATTTATTTATCGAACATTGCACTCCACAAGATCCTTTCTTATCATATTTTGTATTGCTGGTCATGATGCAATATCAATATAATCATATCACAATATATGTATAAGTCTGCATGGATTTTCTGCAGAACATTAATCCATTCTCACTCTTGTCAGTTGTAATGTTGTAAATGTATGTACACGCAAGTGTCTAAGAAAATGTGTCTCATAAAATCTCGACATTCCCCAAACAGGCATCGATGCTACCATGATTATTATTTTATCCTGGGCTTCCTTTTAAGTACTCGAATATTTTATGCATACGCTTTTTCCGGACATAATTTCTCCCATCGTGAATAATTAAGCATGTTTAACCAACTATTTAAACAAAAGCCTGGAATCATGCTCCCTACATTTATAAATATCTACTTGAGCCTAGTTAACTCTTTCACAAGGGCTGCAGGAGGGGTATCACGTATCCGACCGAATTTCCATCAGATAAACGACCACAAGAGCAAAATGGGTGCTTGCTAACTCGCTCATCCTATTAACCCGTATTACGTATTCATGATACCCGGTTGTTTGTATTCCTGGGAAAGGTTTACGAGCTCTTGTGTCACATATGTAGGAACCACCAAGGAGCTGTTGACATTAGCGGTTGGTGGGATTTCCTTCCTACGAGTGCTTAGTTAGCATGGCATGACAGTCTGTTTACTTTGGAGCTTATTACTGGGAAATATTTGAGCAAAATTGCAACTGCGAAGCCAAGAATGAAATGAAGTAACAAACCGTGAAAAGAGCAATTTTAGAGATAAAATAAAATAAAATAAATAAACGGGTTCGTATTTTTCGGCTTATGTACATATTCTTAGCTACATGTTTATGTAGTCGGCGTATTTTTGGTATTCAGCAGAACCTGAGTAAACAGAAAATAATATATAAAATAACAATGATTACGCAAAATCATTAAGTAGAAAATTTCCACGGCTCGCAGTCATAGTTGGTAAAATGAAATTGGTCTGGTTTCGTGTACAGCATGGAATAATTTAGTATGACGTGTTGAATAAGGAATTGAGGGCTCAAGTATTTCACTCTGCATTCACATTCATCATATCAAATGACACATGAAACTCTGGACAAACTGCGTACATGATCCCATCGTTAGTTGGTGAAGAACCAACCTGATCCACATCCCCCTTCCCAGCGGGACCAATAATAATAACTCGTCGCGTATGTATACCTGGTGGCCAGAATTGAATGACAATGAAACAAGGTCCTTGAGGAGTTGGGTCATGTTCGGGTCATCTGGTTTAAATGGGATCAAGTGTCAGACATACGAACTCACCCCCACCTCTCCGCCTGTACTGATCTCTGCCCTAATAAAATCGGGCATATCGTGTGCATACGTCCATTTGTGTTAAGACGGGCATAGATACGTGAAAATGGGAATAATTGTGATTTTCAGAGCCGAAAGAGGAGCCGGGTGGAATGCGGTTGAACGGAAAAGGGAAAAAGATGAGAAAACCACGGACAATTTATTCCTCCCTACAATTACAGCAGCTCAACCGCCGCTTCCAGCGCACGCAGGTTCGTTGCTTAATTATTTGGTTAATTAAACACTAATTAAAAATATGTAATAATGACTTAATTTCATTTTTGCAGTATTTAGCTCTACCTGAACGCGCGGAACTCGGTAAGAACCATCTTTATTTGCAATTAGTATTTGTAGTACAGTTTAAAATCTGGTAGAGTCACTAGTTTGGCATTAAATTCCTACCACATTGGTAGTAGTTTTGTTTCCCAGTGGTAAATTTTTCCTTATCACAACATTGCTAAACGGTAATGCCCGTGTTATTAGAGCCACATACGTACTCCGGTCAGTAATGATTTAATACCAGTTTTTTAAGAGTATATGGATAAAATATTAGCAAAAAATTCTGATCAAATTTCGATTAAGATTCCCTGTGCAATATTAATAACGCATCATTCTTATTTTATTTCAGCTGCCTCTCTTGGTCTCACACAGACACAGGTTTGCAACCCTTCCGTATTTTTGGAATTTTTACCTCATAAATACTACGAGCAATTCGGCTTGTTGTATCGCATATATACTTAAATGGTTGAGTAGATTTTACAGCAAATCATATCGTGGAGGAAAATATTATTGTATGAAATCTGAAAAGCACATCATCTCGAATATCAAAGAATTCCCTTTCGTCACCTTTTAAAAGAAGTATTAAGACTCCCAATAAATAAATCTCAAGTGCTCTGAATGTGTAAGGATCGTCATACGTGGTGCTGTTCCTCCTTCACTTCTTTTCCTCATCTTTTTCCCTCATGTCCCAATCTGCTCACCTTTCCTCACGTGAAGTTTGGCCGGAACGGAAATATCAAAGAAGCAAGACAGCCAAGATATGGGACTGAAAGAAGTTGAGAATTTAGAATCTCTTAAAGCAGCAGGGGACCATTCTTCAATTAGACACGGTTCTCCCTATTTCACTCGCCCTCTGTGCTCCACATTCCCTCATCTTCTCCTTCAGACTTATCACTTTTCGGTAGCTATTTCCTTCGTCCTAGGTGAGGTTGCAGACCTCACGAAATCTGAGACATTTCCACTTTTTACTACAAGTATGTACTCGAAAAAACAAATTTTTACACAGATTTTGAAGCCGAGAGCAATAAATTTCCTGGATAAAGATAACACAAAAACAATGCTGCTGCTCCTCTTGGTGGTAATAAAGCGAGAGATTAATTGCTTTCGGCTTGATATTTCACATTCTGTTGAGCACAGCAGTAGTTCACACAAACACAATGCGATATACGGACATAAATTCTGTTTCTAGTGAGTTATTCTCTACGTTCAAGTGTCCTTCCTGTCCCAGGTCGCACATACATAAGCATAAGTATTTAATAAATAGTAAAAAAGACAGCAGTACGGGTACCCTTTTTACTTTCCTTTTCTTAATAAAGTTCTTTTTTGCCGTAGTGTTGTACTCACCAAGTCAGAATTGAGAGCATGTCCATCCACATATCTGTAGGCAGGGAGAGGAGGAAATACAGGAACAATAGGCTGTGAGCAGGACAAGATAATTTATTTTGAGGAAGCCCGAACGGTAGCTAATCCAAGATAATTTATAAATTAGTCGTGAAGAGGGAGAAATGGAAAAAGCCTCATCATTATTTAACTTGTACAAGCAGAGAAAATCCATTGTGCTCCATTTAAAGCGTAGCGTATTAAAAGAGTCGAAGAGATGCAGCACAAGTAGTTCACTTCTTCTCCTTCTTTGGGGAAGAATGGATTAGATTTGCACGGTTGAGGTTGAGGTTGACGGTAAACAAGTGTGACATGATGTGATTGTGAGGACCTAAGTGATACCCCTCGAGCACAAGCAACCACATTTTTAACCCTTTTTTACTGTACCCCAGGAATTCCTTAAAGGATTGACAAAAAATAATGCATCGCAATTTATTTTACGATAATATTTGCGTAGGACTTGTGCACATTATGAAAATGTGGATGATGGGTGCATATTAATCGCACATGCACCCACTCCTTTCCAATGTTGTTGTTGTTTAGAATGCAGTTTGAAACAACACATTGTTGTCTGTGAGTGAGTGGAGATGGTGAATGTTTTAGCAGTTGGTAATGGAAGGGTTCTTCTACTCATTTGGTGTGGTTATTGGTGCCCCGGCCGAGTTGATGATGGGGCCGGTCTGACACCTTAGAATTAAAAGCAGCAGGGGAGCAGCTTGTCACTGTCAAAGTCTTCATGTCTTGCACTACACCAAACCAAAAGGTAATGATAAAATGCAATGTTGCGACTTTCTTCCTTCAAATGTGTGTCATGAATGAAATCCTTGGAACAAGCCATGAGACAGGGAAGTGTACATACATTCGATCGAGGGGTTCAAGTTTCTTAAACTTTTATAGAAATTGCAGAGTGGAAAGAAATGGTGAATCCCGTTGTGACGCCTTCAAAAAGTACGACTTGACTTGTTCTTGTCACATCAGAATCGAAATGAGATCAACTTTTGTAACATGGAGGGAGACGTCTGTGCTTGAATTGCTTAATCATCTCTTGGATTATTGTCCCGACGTCAGTGCGTGTGACACATGATTGTTCAAGAGGGGACTCAAGTATGGAAGTACTTGATCTCTAGGATAATCTACTCCTCCTCGTCGGAGGAACGTACTTACTTTATTATTTTGACTCCCGCCTGATGTGTGTACCGAAGGGCTTTTGTACTGCAAATTACAAATTACCTTAAATAAGTGACCTTCGTAGGCAGTAGGCACCCGCACCTTGCGGGCGTTGCATTGACCCTGTTCATTTACTAAAAGTGAAGTATTTACGAGGTTACTCCGTTCAGAGGGAAATAGGAGGACGAAAAAGTAATTGTGTTCCATTGTTCATACTGCATTCTGATCTGATCTTTTTGTATAGATTGTCAAAATATAGTATTCCAATCAGGCAGCTACTTTTGGCTTATTGCAAATTTGTTTGGGAACATTGAAATTCTAGTTTTTCCAAATTTGTGACTCGATTGAGTCGTAATTTTTTTTACAAATATAGGTAGATTTTTATTTTCACAACTGTCTCCACTTCTTGCTCCCTCGTGTACTTGGACCACTTTGAGCAAAAGTTTCCTCCTTTTCCTTTACTTTTGTGGTTTCGAGATGGTATAGGCTCGTAACTACATACGTTGCTGATGAGTGAAGTGGTGACCTTCCGAGAATAATTGAGGTATAGAAATTGAACGAGTGCTGACATTCACTTGAAAAGTGTGTATTCAAGCATTGTTCACGTTTCCTATTCTTTGATACAAGTTATACACATAGTTTCAAAACCGAAGGCCCTTCTTCGCCCATATTCACCAACCCAGCAGCATCATCTCGTCCCCGTACTGCATTGTATTCCATATTGTATTGTACAAGAGGAGAGTACATCATTTCATACAACATGAACCATAGTGAACAGCCTTTGTCTCTTTGTGCCGACTCATCTCGTCATAAACAAGAAATCTGCTGCTGCTCCTGGCTATGCATCCACGTCCAACTGACACCTTTTACCCGCAGTTTTATAAATTCTCTGAAAGGCTTCCTCAAAGTCAAGATCACTAAATATTCAGCGTTGATTTGTTACAAGTCGAGAGCGAGAGAGATGCGAGTAGTAAAGGATGGATGATGAGGTACAAAATTTCCAGTGAGTCAGTCAGTCAATTGCGGTTTCGTATTGTTGCGTAGAACTGAATGTGTCAAATCAAGATGAAGATAAAGAAAATGAGAAACAACAAGTCGACAAGGGAGCAGCAAAATACGTGGCGTGCATCATGATGCATAAGATCTTCCATTCTGGAGGAGAGTGGAAAAATTTTGGAAAATTGGACACAAAATTATGAATATTTATTTTGAAATATTTGAAATTATGATTTATTAAAAATCGTAGCAGCAACAAATCAAACACTGTTCAAAACTAAAATCTTGTGCAAATCCCATAATTGTTTTGTTGGGAATACTTTTTAAACTCGGCGAGGCTTATGAACCATTCTTCTCCTGTGTATCTGTGCATACGAAGTTTTTTAAGCCGACACCACAAATGGAACTCTTGCACAAAAGTAAAGTGATTTCATTTCGGTGCTTTGCTTTGCTTTACTTTTTTGTCGTTTTATTGACTTCGTGATGACTACAGTGGAGGGATGAATGGCGGTTGTTGGTGTTGTTGTGGACAGGAATTGAATGGTGGTGTAGTGACTCGGACACAAAACCAAGTGGAAAAAATGAATGAGTGCTAATTACAGGAAAAAGTGGAGCTTTTATTTGTCTGCTTTTTAAATGTGGTTGGTGGCATTGTGTGCTCTCTGCCACTGCCAAATTCAGCGCATCATATTTCATTGATGTTTTCCAATTTTAAATATTACTTTGAGTTCAAGTTTATAAGAAGCAATTATGAAATTACGGGATTATCAGAGATATGGTGAATTGAATTTGTGTCATTTTGATGCAAATCTCATGCCAAATAAGTTAAGACCGTGAGTAATAAACGAGATTGCTTAAATAGGCGATTGACCAGATATTTTGCAATGATTAGCACTAACACGCCGTACGAGTCATATGCAATATAAACTGAAACTTCAATTTATTTAGACAAGTATTGAGAAAAAATTCACACTTAAGCCCCACGGATTTGCATCACATGCATCCTTTTAACCCTAGGATGACCATTTTTATGTACATAAGTTATTTTAGCATTTTTTATAAAGTTGAATTTTTTTTCCCTCTGAAAGAACACAACAAGTGTTTACAAACGTGGATCTCTTATTTCTCTCGAGGCTTTTGGGAAAGGAGTGTCCCAATCCTGTCCCCGGAAGCTTCTTCGTCTTCACAACCGCCAGGGATTTCCTCGTCCTTTTCATTTCTCTCAAAATTTCCCCCAAACCCCAAAAAAATCTTATGAAACGGTAGAAGATCTACGATTAAAAATACTACGGACACCCAAACACCATAAATTTTACACTGCTATTTACTTAAATGGAACAGTATTTTTGCGTCTAGCGTGTGCATTTATTTCTGCTTAATTAGCAATCTCTGACTGGAACATTTCCACGTGTTACACAACCTCAACCCTAGGTAGACGTAGGAGTATTCGGGCGTCTCAAATAGCTCAGAGGTACATGATTTTCCAACAATACGACCTCGTATTTACAATACCGCAACCCTAATTTAATTGAACACTGTGTAAAAACACTTTTAGCTCGTACGGCACACGCTGTACAGCACCAAGCATCATTATCGTCATAAAGTTATTATATAAGTGAGTAAAAAGGAGTACGTAAACAAAGTAAACCGTGAAGATTACCAAAGAATTTTTCTCATCAAACTAATGTTTTTCAGCGAAATGAAATATATAATGGTGCACTTTTCTGTTGTACAAAGTCAAATTTTATGCTACACTTGCTTGCATTTACTCATTTTAGGTAGTGGTAAGCAAGGGAGGAATGTGCAGCATGCTGTAGTAAAATCGCATCCATTCA